ACCGGTTGAGACAGCCACGGAGCCGGAGGGGATTTGCCAGTCCGTCGTGTCGTAAGAGGGCAGAGAGAGTCTAGAGAGGAGGAAAGAGTTGAGAGGAGAGTCTCTGCAGCAGCGTTCGGATGCAAGAGTGAGAAGGAGTCAGTTGAAGGGAGAGCTGATAGAACAGAGGATGCCAGCGAGGAGGGAGAGAGGGAGCGAATATTGCGACGAGCCGGTACAGAGTTAGTCAATGAGGGAGGTTTGTTAGTTATAGAGAGTGGAAGGGAGTAAGAGATGAAGAAGTGATCAGACACATGAAGTGGAGTTACAGAGAGGTTAGTGGTAGAGCAGTTTCTAGTAAAGATGTAGTCAAGGTGATTGCCGGCTTTGTGAGTAGGAGGAGAGGGAGTGAGTGACAGAGCGAAGGAAGAAAGTAGGTGTACGAGGTCAGATGACTTCTCTGTCTGGATGTTGAAGTCACCCAGGAGGATGACCGGAGGACCATTTTCGGGGAAATTAGACAGGAGAATGTCCAATTCTTCCAAAAAATGACCTAAGGAGCCTGGCGGACGGTAGAGGACAATGATGGTTAATTGTACCGGGTGAGTGATTGTTACAGCATGGAATTCAAAGGACAATGGGGTGGCTGGTGGTAGAGGGAAGAGAGAAAATCTCCATTTGGGTGAAATGAGTAGACCTGTGCCACCACCCCTACCAGTGGGCCTGGGAGTGTGGCTGGAGGAGAAGGCGGAGGAGAGAGCGGCTGGATGTGTTCTCGGGTGTGATCCAGGTCTCGGTCAGAGCGAGGAAGTCGAGTGACTGCTGGATAGCAAAGCCGGAGATGAAGTCAGCCTTGCGAGTCGCTGACTGGCAGTTCCAGAGACCTCCTGTGACGAGGTGCTGGATGTGTGAGGAGCGGGTGGGATAGGAGAGAGAGGAGAGGTTACGATAGAGAGCAGATCTAGCCCGAGGCCTGTAGTATCTGCGGGAAGAGATTCGAACAGGCACGGGTGAAGGGGTCAAACACATTATTAAGAATAGCAGAAGAAGGCGCCGCATTCAGCCGCCCCGAAGACTGCCACGAAAGACTCCCTTGTCTTCGTGCTGCGAGGATGAGATAACGCTGAAGCTAACGCTTCCTACGATTTCTAGTTAAATACTCCCTCGTTAGTGGAAGTCGGCTGCGGCTGCGCTGGCCGCTCCCCCGTCGTTTAGGAGACAAAAGGTCGATTGGCCTCGACAGAAACTCCTCAAAATGCAAAGCACCAATAGCTTGACACCCTAATCAGTGAACAAACACCATGTGGTCTTTTGACAAAATGAGAGTTTAAGGATACAAGTCTTATTTGCTTCAGAAAACAAGGCAAAACAGACTTAGATCAGGTCAAAACCTAGCAGAGTTAGGAGGGCACACTGGCAGTTAACTTAATAGTAGAATCTAGAACACAAACTGGCACTAAAAGACTGAAAGAGCTTGAACAAACTAGCAACCAAGATAACTTCAAACAAAGAGAACTGGTCGTGAGACGACAAAAACTAAAGCAAATCAGCAATCAAATTAACTTAAGACACTAGAATCAACAGCAAATTTAGCAGACTAGCTTGGTTTAAAGAAAGATGATGAAGAGACGGTTGAAGGAAGACAGACTATGAGCTGTCTGCTGTCTTCATTGCTGCTGACTGACTTTGCTGTGTAATAATTCATCAATATGGTCCGAGAGGCTTAAACTACTTTCTTAACGTTACATCACCGCACGTCACTGTCACCAATGCAATTTTGACAAAAAAAAGTATAACATTATTTAAAGTGACATTTATGCAAAAGGAGCCTGAAAGACGTTCAAATCCGAGACAAAAACGTATTAAATAAAAGGCCTCAATTGTAAACCACATTTTGTGAGGTTGTCAGTCGGGCTGCCACAACGAATCGATCAAATTGGATTATTAAAAGAGTTGGCATTGGGGGGGGGGTCCATCCCTCCTGTCTGCCACCACCCACCACATCTTCATCCACTTCCTCCATCTACCAACAACTGAACCTCATACCGGAGAGTCACTGGACATTGGACACAGACGGGACACAGACGGGTGTAGGACGTTTTAGGACTATGCTCTAAGCGACAGCTGCAGGGGGGATTACGTAGAGAACAAATTCTGCTGTTCAAACAAATACTGTTCATTTTTCAAAAAAAAAAAAAAAGATTTATTGTTATGACAGCTCAGGTCCCTTTAAACAAATAACTAATATTGCAATCGTAAGAGTAAATCGCATTTATTAAACTTTTATACAAGAACATTTTTGAGTTAAATGTTAATTTAACTGTAACTAACAAGAGCAGTTTGTTCTCACGTCTGATGTGTATTTAAAAACACGTCATCTGTGACCAACATCACGATACTTTCATTAACTAAGATGTCATTTTATATATTAGAATATAATATTCGAGTGAATTCTATCACTTACATTTAAAAGTCAACTCTTCCCCGCTGTCAGCTCACCTGCTATATATATAGTAACCCTCTGCACACAGAGATCACACAGGACTGATAAACTGTAGAAGGGAGTTTAATGACAGGTGAGGACGCCAGAGGGACGGAGGCAGGTGGAGGTCAGAGGAGGGACAGCAGAATCTGGACAAAGGAATCAGGCTTAGACACAAGAACAGTATGAATACTTAAAGTGTTGGGGAGCCAGGATACAAAGTCAGGTTACCACACAGGGGTGTATGACGATCTGGCGCTGGAGAAGCAGACGGGCCGGGTTTAAACACTGGAGGGGTGAATCGTGGAATGGAGATCAGCTGTGTGGGGACGGTTCCGGATGACCGGCCACGCCAGCACAGACAGACACACCGGGCAAAAGGAAGGTACAAACACACAGGATGGGGAGAAAACAGCAGCTGACCCATGACAGTAGTTCCTACACCGTTCGCCTGATTTGGATGTAAATACCCTCAAATTAGTCTGCGCTTAAAGCACATCTTTTCCATTGTTTTTCTACTCCATTGTTGTGGTGTACAGAGCCAAAATAATGAAAAATGTGTCCAAATATTTATGGACCTGACTGTAGATAGATAGGTATTTTTTGTATGATACGATTATATAAGTTTACTCATTATGTGCTCAATTATATAAACCATTAATTTTTATTTTAAATGAAACAAAACAAAAGCTTCATAGTAAAATACTTAACAGTCATGAATTGTATTAAAATGTATTAGCAAAACCATCTGATACGGTGATGTGATCAAGTCAGCTGCTCTGACTCCTGAGTCCATCTCTCGAGGACGCAAGTCTGTTTTTCCCGTCTTAGGTATCGAGAAACGGCTTCTGACTAACATTTAGTTACAACCAAAGAACATCTGTTAGACACAACACGTTCTACAAAATAAAATGTTCATCAATCATTTCAGTCACACACCAATGTTTCTTATAATCAGTTCTTTTTTCTGTTTAAGGTTGTTTATGTGTCCCTGCGAGCAGAGAGCTGAAGTCAGCTTCTGTAACTGAGTGTTTTACTTGTGAATCTGGAGATGAAGGTCGTTCGTATAGAAGCTAAAGTATCTCTGCTGTGTCTTCATTGTAGGAAGAGCGAAACTCCCAGCCGTCCCAGCATGGAGGGTAGAACGAGTCTTCTCCTCTGCCTCATTGCGGTGGCGTGTTCCTCTGGATCGGCTGCTCTGACGAGAGGTATGTCTCAATAACTAAGGCATGTAAGTACAGAATATGGAGCACTGCAGTGCAACAACATGTAAAATGGAGACCTGTAATGTTTCTTTGAGACGTTTTTCTCCTCCGGTCCAGAGTGTGAAATCGCCACAGTGGCCGACATCGTCTTCCTGGTTGACGGCTCCGGCAGCATCGGGGAGGACAACTTCGAGGAGGTCCGGTCTTTTATCCGCAGCGCTATCGAGGCCCTCGACATCGGCATCAACAAGGTCCGTGTTGGCTTGGCTCAGTTTAGCAACGAACCCATCGCAGAGTTCCTGCTGAAGGACCACAAGAACAAGAAGTCCCTGCAGGCGGCGGTAGACACATTCCCCTACCGAAAAGGAGGCACAAAAACGGGCAAAGCCATCGATTTTCTCCGAAATAATTATTTCACAGAAGAAGCCGGGAGCCGAGTCAACCGACGGGTTCCTCAGATCGCCGTGGTCATCACAGACGGAGGCTCTCAGGATAACGTGAAACTCCCCGCCCAGCTCCTGAGGCAGCGCGGGGTCATAATATTTGCCATCGGGGTCGGAGCTGCCAACCACACAGAGCTGGTGTCCATCGCCAACCGTCCTTCAGAGCGTTTCCTGTACTCCATCGATAACTACCAGGCCCTGCAGAGTAAGAGAGACGATCTGCTGCAAACTGTTTGCATCTCTGTGGATGATCAGAGGCAAGGTGAGGCAACGGACTGGAGGAAACAGTGTGTTCATGTATATTTATATGTTTGATATGAAACATGTAGCCAACGTCCATCTCTTTAAAAGGTCTTGATGGATGTGTAGACAGTGATGACTGTTTTCTTCTCTGCTTTCAGCTCTGACTGACCGGTTTGGAGATATTTTCTTTTTGTTGGACAGCAACATAGCTATTGGACAGTTCAACATATTCAAGAAGGACTTCATCAGATTGATCAAAAATCTTGACGTTGGAGCGTCCGCCTACCGCATTGGCTTGGCCCAGTACGGTGAAGACCCCAAGGTAGAATTTAATCTCAGTACCCATCAAACCAAACCGCAAACCCTGGCGGCCATCGAGCGTTTCCGCCTGCGCCCACCATCAAACAGACAAAGAAACCTGGGTATTGCTCTCAAGTACGCCAGCGATCACTTTTTTACCCGTGAGGCGGGGGGTCGAGCACACCTAGGCGCCCCGCAGTCCCTGGTGGTTGTGAGCGGAGGAGACTCCACTGATTTTGTGTCCGATGGCGCTCATCTGCTGAAATCATCAGAGATTACTGTTTATGGGATGTCTGCAGGTGCAAGCCAAACTGCCATTGAATCAGTTGCCAGTCCTGGGTTCACTTTCATGTCTGCCCTTGTATATCAATTGAAGGAGTCCTTGACGACTGTTAAAAACGAGAGCATTTCTGAAGGTAAGAAGCATGATCATAATGAGCATTCCTGCTATGAACTTCATCTTCACATATATTTGATGTGTTTAGATGATAGCTCAAGTGACCAACTGCAGTCCTTTCCCAGATTGCAAAGCAGTCAACATGGCCGACATTGTGTTCGTCGTTGATGAGTCCGGGAGCATTACAACCCCCAACTTCCAGCTGGTGCGCGATTTCCTCCGCTCAGTTGTGAGTGGCCTGAAAGTGGGTCCCACTAAAGTCCAAGTGGGCATCGTCACATACAACGATGAGTCCACTCCGCGGGTCTATCTCAACAGCTTCGATGAGAAGGCCGAAATACTCCAGTTTATCAACATTCTGCCTTACAATGGAGGCGGTACGAAGACTGGAGCCGCCCTAAACTTCACACTGAAGAACATGTTTGTTGAGAAAAAGGGCAGCAGGATAGGGAAGGGTGTCCAGCAAGTGGCCGTAGTGATCACAGATGGGGATTCCCAGGACGACGTGGCTAAAGCAGCAGCCAGTCTGCGTCGGGCCGGCGTCACCATTTACACAGTGGGGGTTGGAAACTATAGCAAGACTGAACTGGTGAAGATGGCAAGTCAAACCTCTAATGTCTTTGAGGTGAAAAGCTTTGAAGATCTGAGGCACACTGCGAGAAAGCTGCAGAAAAACCTGTGTAACAATCTGGGTATCATAGATTCAAACGAAGAGGACATCAACAAAGGTTTGAACCGCTGTTTTTTTATCGATGATCAACAACAGCCTGTGCAGCAGGTTATTTGTTTAATTTAGTCTTCTAGCACATTTTCCCCAGTGCTTGAATGATCATTTTTAATATTCCTCCCTATTACTTTTGGAAAATAACTAACTTTTATACTTTCTTTTCCTCACCAGCATGTGTGAAAAAAGACGTAGCTGACATCTTCTTCCTGATTGACAACTCTGGGAGCATTGATGACCAAGACTTCAACGACATAAAGACGTTCATTTTTAAGTTTCTGAATACGTTCCGTATTGACCCAGATCATTTCCGCTTAGGTGTGGCAAAATATGCTGATTCACCGACTACAGAATTTACTCTGACGAACCACAGAGACGTCGAGTCAGTGAAGAACGCCATTTCGGCTGTTAGACACATAGGAGGTGGAAGGAACACAGTAAGGAACACAGGAACAGCTCTGTTGCACATGGGCAAAGAGTTTAAGAAGAACCGCCGTGACCCCAAGGTCCCTGAGTACCTCATCATCATCACAGATGGGCAATCTGCTGATGAGGTCAAGGCTCCAGCAGAAAATCTGAGGGCGCAGGGTATCATCACTTATGCCACCGGGGTGAAAGATTCAACCCGAACTGAGCTGGAAGAGATTGCCGGCGACCCCTCGAGGACCTTCTATGTCAGCAACTTTGATGCCTTGAAATCGATCGACAATAAAGTCATCACCGACATTTGTACTGAAGAAGGTAAGAAAAGAGGATCTACACTGGACTTTAAAAAGCATATTTAATAAATGCAGTAAAAGTAAAACAAGATGTTCTCATTTTTCTGAAAAACACTAAAAGCACAATCTTGAAACGTGACCACATGTAAGATGACTAGGTATTAGTGATGGGAAGTTCGGATCTTTTTACCGAATCGGTTCAGTGAATCCCGTTCACTGAAATGAACGAATATTTTTTCGAGTCATTCGTTCATGTCGGGGGTGGTAAGATGAACGAACGAATCTTTCTTCGAGTCATTTGTTGACGGGGGGGTGGTAGGGTGAACGAACGAATATTACCGACCAGTAAAATGAATAAATCTTTTTTTTGAGAGGACTCGTTACTCTCGAGTCCTTGAACGAATCGTTCACGAATGACACATCACTACTAGGTATATTTAGATATTTCTTCTCTCTCGTTAGCCGAACAGTCATGAGGCTGCTCTTAGTTCAGATATGGAGGCAGGAGACAGAGGGACGAACAGTTTAGACCTCTTTTAGACCGCAGACTTCACAGCTAAAACATTGAAATATGAATATGGAAGAAATCAACTCTTTTAACTAAACCCAAGTCTCAGAAAATGGACAGCAAGGGTGAGGGCTGATTATTTAAACTCTCCAGTGGTAGCTGGCGATACAAAATATATAGTACAGAAACTATGTTGAGGTTATTATGTTATCTGGTTGGATTTTTTTGTAATTGTAATTAGCAGTATTCAAAATTCAAGTACTCTTGAATACGGTTTTATCACTTCTGAAGCAAGATGGTGAGTAGCAGCGTTGCCCTCAGGGACTCCCACATTAGGCAAAGCCTTCCAAAAGCGCGAATTTAGGTTTTTAACTTTGACTTGCAAGATGATTTCGAACTCGTGATTTAAGGTCGCACCATCGTAGCTTTTCTCTTTGCCTACAATCTCATTGATACTTGACCACTTGGTTCGGTTTTAGGCAAGAAAGGTATGGAAACAAGTACAGCATTTAATGAATTCTGTGATCTGTGTCCACAGCTTGTAGAAATGTACAGGGCGACGTCTTTTTCCTAACTAGGGGCATCAAAGAGGAAGAAGACTTTCGGAAACTGAAAGAGTTCATGAAATCCCTCATCCGCAAGACCACCCAGCAAAATGAGTTGCGGGTCGGTCTCATGCAGTTCACCTCCGAAAGCCGTCTTGAGTTCCCCTTAAAGCCTTCCACAAGCATGGAGGAAATGATCTCAGCCATTGATGAAATGGAGCAGATGACGGGAGACACCTACTTGGGAAACGCCCTTGAAAATGTGTTGCAGTATTTCGATGAAACTGAAGGAGGGCGTCCTCATGCGGGTCAGAAGCTGATAGTGATAACCGACAGGAAGTCTGACGACGAGGTCAAAGGCCCCGCCAAGGCTCTGAGGGAAAAGGGAGTGGTGATCTACGCCATCAATGTTGGAGGTGACTCTGACCATCTGGCAGTGATCAGCAATTCAGGGGATAGGGTGTATAACGTCAGAGACTTTGATGCTCTGAAGGACTTGGAAGCAAAGTTCGTGTCGAAGGTCTGCGAGAATGGTAAGAGAAGTTTGAGACTATTCCAAAAAGTAACCAGATTATACGTTTATAACATCTTTGAGCCTTTAGGTCAATCTTTTTCCCACAGAGGAGTCTTTGCGGTTTTACCAGTTAGCATTAAAGCTAGTTGGGTGGTGTTAGTGCATGTAACATCTAAGTCGTCCTGTCCTCATAGTATGGCTGCCAGGTTCCAGCCCTGCCATAGCTCCAGTCAACCAACTTAGCTGACTCCAGCATGTAACACACTGAGAGCTAAAAAAAAAAAAAACTATATAGAAATAATTCTTCTCACTTGTCATCTGACTTCTGATTTGACAGAAAACACTTATTATATTTTAAATCATAAGTTGAAAATTGTATTTTTGTAACACCAGGATGAAAACTAATCATGTCTTAGTTTCCCTCCTGACTCTCTGTCTCTCTGTTCTCTTCAACCAGTTTGTCTTTTAGTTCAAGCTGACATTATTTTCCTGGTGGACACCTCCAAGTCCATAGATGCAACAGAATTTAAAAATATGCAGACCTTTATGAAGACAGTCGTGGACCAAACCAAAGTTGGCAAGGAAAACACTCGCTTTGGGCTCATATCCTACTCGACCAAGACCACGCGTCATTTTGAACTCAAGGAACATGACTCCAAACTACAAGTTTTGAAAGGCATCGACATTACAATTCCAGAACGAGATGACACCCACACAGCTGCGGCTTTAGAATTCTCGCTGAAATATTTCAAAGCTGAGTATGGCGGCCGGAGAGAACTTGGGGTGCCTCAGATTCTGATGGTGATCACAGATGGGGAAGCCACCGACCCTACCGACTTGAAAAAGAATTCTGATGCGCTGAGAAGCAATGGGGTCAACGTCGTCAGTATTGGGGTGGCAAATGCTTCAAGGGGTGAGCTGGAGACCATGGCCGACGACCCATCCAAAGTGTTCTTCGTGGACAAGTTTGAGGGATTAACCACTTTGTACAGACGCATGTCTAATATCTTCTGCAGTAAAACAGGTAAGAAAAGTAGTTTTCACATTTTTTTGTATGGTGTCCTACATCTCCTGAACAAAGAGGTGTGACGGATCAATTCAGCTAACAAAAATATCTGTGAATGCATCCTTCCAATAGGTCATGATGTGGGGATAAAGTGTTATTTTAGTTTTGAGCCCAGTAATTGATGAGTAGTATCTTTTGATAAATCAGAACCTTTATGATGATAGCGTTGCTGGGTTTCATTAATGTAATAGTTCACAGCTTCCTGCAGCATTGTCACCAAACATCTGTCTCTCTCAAGATACTTTTTGCAAGTTTTTATGAACTAAATGACCTTCGCTGTACAAAATAAATCCTGAAAAGGAATGCTGAAGATTTGAAATCTAGACACCGTAAGTACTTCCACGTTTCTCAGTCCTTTGGTTCTAAGAGACAGAGTGGATTCTTAGAAGTCGATAGAATCGTCCCCATTATGAGATCTTTCGTGTATCCTACTGGATCACTACTCATTATGGCAGAGTCTGCAGAGACCTCGACCCTCAGTGAATATGGGAGATCAGGGTGTATTGTGGCCAATAATGAATGAATCTATACTGTGATTGCCTTGTTTTTATTGGTAATGAACTAATACGCCTTTCTCTTGCTCTGCTTTCACAGCGTGCAATAACAGCGACATTGTCTTCCTAATCGACCGGTCGGGCAGTATCAACTCCACTCAACACGAAAAGATCAAAGCCTTCACCGTAGACATGGTGAAGCAGTTTAACATCAGTGAAGACCGTGTGCATATTGGACTTGCACAGTTTGCCATGGACTTTAACCATGAGTTTTATCTCAACCAGCACTTTGAGAAGGAGGCTTGTGTCTCACACATCCAACGCCTCAAATACACAAGTGGAACTACCAACATCGGAAAGGCTTTGCGTCACATAGAGAAATACTTTGATACGTCACACGGGGGGCGCATTGGGGTCCCCAAGATCCTGGTGTTGATATCAGATGGTAATTCTGATGACGGGGTGTTGGAAGCAGGTGTCCACCTGAGGGGTCTTGGGATAATTGTTTATGCCATTGCCGTCGGAGATTATTACCCCGTAGAGCTTCATCGGATTACCGGCGCCCCAAAGAGGATATTCCCCACGAATAGCTTCGACGAGCTGCCAGAGGTGGTGCAAAAGGTGGTGAACGAAATTTGCTCTGGAGATCAACCGAAACCCGACCCAGGTTTGAGGGAGTTGATTAGTGTGACCTCTCCTCTTGCTTGCTCCTTCTCTCCCACCGTGTTCTTCTGTTTCTCTGGCGGTCAAAAGGTAAAGACGTGTTTCCCTCGGTTTCAGACTGCAGCATTGATATCGCCATGGGATTCGATATTTCTCAGGAAGGCCGCGCTCCCGGTGAGATACTGATCAGCGGCCACGCCAAGCTCCAGGCCTACCTGCCAGACATTGTTCGCTACGTTTCGTCGGTGCCGAGTCTGTGCTGCGTCGATTCGGGTCCTGTCAAAACCAAAATCGCCTTTCGAGTGGTAGTTGGAGATGGAAAGTCGTTGTACGACACAAACTTTGAAGCCTACAACAATGACACGGTGTACAAAGTCATGAATACGTTGATGTCAGGACCTGCCTTCTTTAATGCTGCCCTGCTGAACTCCTTCAAAACGATGTTCAACGAGAAGTCCAAAGCTGGGGTGAAGGTGAGAGTGAAGCAGTTATGTTACCATGTGGTTATCATAAAATTGCCAAATAGTGGCAAAGGCGCGTTACCCTGTAGCCACAGATGCTGATGTTTAGCATGTTTACCACATTGTAAATTAGAATGCTATAATTACCACAAGAAATAAAGTACCAACTTCCTTTAGTCTGCAGGTGTTTGGTCATACACCAAAATATTTGGGCCTGATGATGGCACTTTATGAAAAGTCAGAGCAGCACCAAAGTTCTTAACTTTTATCCTCAGGAGAACATGGATGTTTGTTTCAAACTCAATCCATCCATTGCCACTTCAATCTGGGCCAAAAACATGAAACACAAATAAGGAATAAGAAGCAGGATGTTTACTGGTCTTCTGCCCTTACTGACATGATGTAGAGCTCCTATACATAACGGACATGTGACCCATCAGGTGCTGGTGATCTTCTCAGATGGAATCGATGACGACGTGATGACTCTAGAGCAGGAATCACAACGCCTGCAACAGTCTGGTAAAAGCTGCTCTACTTAATCTTCAACTTTATTTACTGATGTTTTTCAGTTGTCCCAGATCCCTGTTCACACTTTTTCTCTGCCAAATTTCTTGTGCCTCCCATGTTCTTTCTACGTGTTCTTCCCCTCTTACTTCCACCTCTTACTTCCTCCCCTTACTTCCCCATAAAATAAAATCCAAAATAAATAATAATAATAACATGATGTTTAATGTTTCTGAAGAGAAAACAGAGTTAAGACTAGAGCTGTCAACGAATGTTCTATCTAAGTTGTTAAAAACAACTAATCAAATAAATAAATAAAAACACGCGCGCCTGTACTGACTATATTGCATGAATAAAATAGGCTACAACAGCTTCATGCACTGGTTTGATTATTTACCGTTTCATGCCAAGGAAAAAATGTTTACCAGCACAGCTCGCTCGGAGCGTTCAATGTCGGTACTGTAAAACTTTCAGTTTCAATCACTGAATGAAGCCTGATGTGTGTGGGACAAGAATCACAACCTTAAATTGCACAAAACTCTTGATCAGCACTCAGCAGTTTATTGTTGTCTGCGGTCTTGGCCTTTAGTTAATGTACTTATTTGTGTGTAGGTAATATGTTGTTAAATATATTTAAACTTAAATAAATTACCTGTACAAGTTGTTATGTCTCGTTCTATTAATTTGTCCAGTTATTGACGCGTCTAATGCGCAACCAGATATTAGAATATTTGTGTTTTTTTAAAGCGAATATTCGAACGTCATTTTTGAGCATTTTGACAGCCCTACTTAACACACATACATGCCAATCATGCACTCAGCCCCTCTCACTTCCCATCGTCTAGGTAAGTCAGTAAAGCTGTGCTTCTGTTCACTGTGTGCAGGGGTCAGCGCTCTGCTGACGGTGGCCCTGGATGGGGCCCGAGACCCCGCCCAGCTGCAGATGGTGGAGTTCGGGCGAGGATTCGGCTACAAGCTTCCTCTCAGCATCGGCATGACGAGCGTCGGCAGCTCCGTCCTCAAGCAGATTGTGAGTCTCAGCTCAGAAAAGTAGTTCACACAAAGTCTGACGATCCCTGAATGTCTCACATCTCGAGAAACTCTCTGATTGATCATCACTGTGTAGAACTCCGTTCTCCCAAATTTGTGAATGATTAAAGTAAAAGAGCCGGAGGAAGTGGTTCATGTCCCGCCAGCCAATCCGATTTCAGTATGTGGTACTTTGGTTCTGCTCTGATTGGTTGTGTCCTGTGTCTCTCTGCAGGACACCGTGGCGTCCAGGGAGTGCTGCCACGTCACATGCAAATGTTCAGGAAATGAAGGCGTCCGCGGCTCTCGGGGCCCCCCGGGGTCAAAGGTCAGTGCAAGACGCGGCCCTTTCACCCTTAAAGATGATGTAAAGATGCCTGCGCCAGAAGCGGTTCCTCTGTCTGCGTTGTGAAGTATTCTCAGTGGAATGATGTAAGACACAAGGTCCTCTGAAAGCGTCTCTTTGTGTTTTGTGAACAGGGTCCACGCGGACCGTCGGGTCAACCAGGGTTCCCTGGAGAGGAAGGAGTCTCTGTAAGTTCTCTTCTTTCACTTTGTCCACACGGCGTTTACTCCGTCACACAAAGTCACATGACATCACATTACAGCTGAATGTGCTGCTGAGTAACTGACCAAAGAAACAACGTCATCGCGAACACTTCTTTCCTTTGAATAAGCAAACATGTCCACCATGACCCTCTGTGCTGATTCTCTGCTTGTTCCGTTGCAGGGAGAGCGAGGGCGTCCCGGACCGAGCGGACCCCCGGGCTTCAGCGGCTGTCCCGGTCCCAGAGGACACAAGGTCAGTAAAAGCACAGGGCATCTGGTCTTCATCTCGTATGCCACGGTGTGATGTAATGCTGAGACTCTGCTCATGTGTGTCTGCAGGGCTCCAGAGGACTGTCCGGAAACAAGGTGAGTAAAAAACACTCTGGTCCAAACGGGTCAGTTAGTTTCTGATGAATGGAACCAGAAGCAGTGACGTGTGGACTCTCTCCTGACAGGGCGAGAACGGAGAAGACGGACTGGGCGGAGTCAACGGAGAGCAGGTACCTCACAGAACCGATCTTGGGTCCAGATGGTCGTTACCACCGTCGGTCTTTAGGATCATTGCGCGTATCTTAAGAGCGATGAGCCGCCACAGAGAGTAGCACAACTTAAAGGAGTGCTGCGTAGCGTGTAGCGCACGCTACTGGCAAGCCTGAATAGAACCTCTGCCGTCTCTGTGGAAGAGAGCTCACGTTCTGGTTCTGGTTCTGCAGGGACTGACAGGCCCAGACGGGGGTCGAGGACCAAGGGGAGATTCTGGAAACCCGGTAAGGAAACACAGTGTTTAGCCATTCTGGCTTTAGTGCGTTTGTGTTGTGGACTCTTAATTTATCAAGCTAGTAAATATTCTGATTGATAGAATGATTATTAGCTGCATAAAGTTTTCTACTCTTATTGTTGTTGCAGATATGATTATTTTTATGTCTTACGTGTATTTTTTAAACGTTGTGCTACAATTCAGAAGAAATGTTTAAAGCATCACGCTGACCGGGTGGGAGGCGTTGACCTCTAACCCAGGTTGACCGTTTGTCCTTCAGGGTATCCCGGGTCTTAGAGGGGAGGTGGGGCTTAAAGGACAGCGAGGACTCAGAGGAGATCCGGTAAGTCGGTAACGTTTTATTATCCTTTTTCCTCACCAGAGGGATCACGATCCCTCACCAGCAAATTAGGAGTAGTAATCTATCAATGGCCAATCAGGAGGAGGCGTGATCCCTTACCGGCCAATCAGGAGTCGTGATACCTCACTGGCTTTCTTCAAGAGGAATAAAAACTCTGTTTATTTGTAATATGTAGAATATTTACAGTTTTACAATATTAACAGACACATTTATACAAGAAAAGGCAATATAAGCAATAGCAGTAGTTTAAACAGTAGAATAAAAACGTAGTAGTATAAAGAGTACTATAAACAGTAGTTTAAAGAGTAGTATAACCAAGATCACTTTTAACTAGTAGTATAAAGAGTACTATAAACAAGTAATACTATAAAGAGTAGAATAAACAAGTCGCATAAAGTGGATATTTCTGCTCCCTAGAAGGAGGTGAAGTTGTTTACGGTCCTGCTCCACATCCAAGCTCCACCTTAGATGTTTGGCCGACAGGCAGAAACACCACCCCCCCGTGTGACGGAGAATAAGGGGTGATGTTATCCTGGTCTCCTCTCTGTGGACTCCATCTCTCAGGATATTTGTGCTTTCTCCCACAGGGGGAACCAGGCGGCGATAATAACAGACTGGGAGTCAAAGGGGACCCTGGGAACCAAGGTCTACCGGTAGGAACCCACACACCCACATGTTCTGGATCCTCCTTCTGGAGGACACTCAAGCAAAGACGGGAAAGGGTTGTGAATATCTTACAATACTTTACACACCCAATCAGGGCTTCACACGGCTGGTAATACGATTCGTTGAGTCATCAGGAAAAGCATTCTAGATACCCAGAGCCCTTCTCGGACAGAGCTGTAAGGAGCTAGTACTGAAGGTCTGCTTGTTTTAACGTGGGTTATTCCTCCTTCACCTCAGGGTACAGCTGGCCAGGACGGGGAGAAAGGCGAAGATGGAGACACTGGGAACAGGGTGAGATTCGTGACCTCCATTCTGTCCCATCGTTCTAATCTCTATGTTATATCTTTATAATATCTATGCATATCTTTATCTATATAGATATCTGTGAATCAGAACCTACTGAGTGACACTGAGATCAAAAAGTGGCAGGTTCCTTTATCAGGACGGCCACCAGCGGCAAAGACCAGCCTCCTCATCCATCTGCCGATCCCATGTTACCACGTGTGTTTTCAAACAACGTGCGTGCTAAAATAATAAACTGATAACACATTGTTCCCTTTGATTAGTCAGACAAAAAATGATCATCAGCATCATTTTATTTAAGACACTACTACTGCTGCTACTTTTAATTCACTGTTTTTCTACTCATTTCTAAATAAAGTTAGAAAAGAATCAATCACAGGATTTTCATATAGGTGAGGATGCCGAGCCGCTACATGCCATTCTGAGATCGGTTTATGCCGTTTTGAAAAAGGAACCTGCCTCTGCCACTTTTCGATCTTGGCGCTAGTGAACCTACTGGGTCTCTGTTTGTGAACCATCTGGTCTGTTTCTGTGGTTCAGGGTCCAGACGGGAGGAGAGGCTCGGCTGGAGAGAAGGTAGGAGAGGAAGTCAACACCACGAGACTCTGAAGACGAATCTTTACAAGTTCTATTAGAAGCTGAAATTCTGTCCCTCTTTGAAGGGGAAACCTGGAAAGCCTGGGGAACCGGGCCTTCAGGGGCCCCGCGGTGCTTCTGGTCCACAGGTGAGTGATCAGAGCGTTTTGGGACCGAGGATGTCGCATGTGTACAGACTGTAAAGCCCCCTCTACAAGCCCGGCCAAGTATCGCACAAGTTAAATGCATAAGTGTTTAAATGTAACGGCAGATTAAAGAAGGCTTCATGGAATGCATCATCATCCAATGAGAATAATGATCTCAACTCTTTCAGAATAAGTAGATAAAAGCCCAAAGAGTCTTATTGGGACAAATGAATAGTTATGAGGATATATGTACTGTATGCGCTTATGTCATATGTATGTCTATACATGAATGTGTAGATGACCATATGGAACTAGGAGTTGTATTATGTGTGTGTGAATCTGTGTCTGTGCGAATCCGTATGTTTGTATTATTCATGATCAGAAATTGAATCAATTAAAGCAGTGAAACATGGAACATCGAAGTTTACAGAAGAGCACGACATGCTTTCCAGATGTTCTCTACATCGCAACACTGTACAGACACGGACATTGTGAGAGAGTGAAAATGCAACACAATTCTTTTGGGAGTAGGAGCCCTGTTAGAGGGAACTATCACACTCCACTACGTGTTGGAGTATGTTAGAGTACAAAAGTACTTGAGTCTCCACTTCACAGCCAGCTGTTACATCTGTTGGCTTATTGCCTCCATTTGGCTCCGACCGACTAGTGGGAAATGTGTTGGCGGGGGGACAAACTTCCAGAGAAATTCAGTGGAGCTGTTTAGTGGAATGGGAACCATCTGTGGAACTGGATTAAGGAGGAAAGGAAAAGAACCCTTTAATGAATCAAGCCTCCAGGCGGCTTCATGTTCATGTCATGGCACTCTTTCTCTCACATGGGATCTTCTCACAGATAAAAATAGCATCAGAAAGATCCAGATTTTTTTTTTTGTGAAACTGTCACATGGCACCATGTTGAATCTGTTTGATTATTGATCAGTAAATATTTGTAAGAGGTTTGAACTGGGATTGGATCAGCTAATGTTGCAACAGTAACCAAAACCAACTTTCTACTGTGACCGCTGGTTCAAGGCTGCTTTTGTTGTGAAACAGAAAGATGTTTAAATTGAAGCTTCTTCTTCTGTTTCTCACGATCTTTGTCCCCTTGAACAGCATTTAGTTAGAACGTCTAGTAAATTAAAGAACATCTCTCAGTAAAGATACATTCTACAAAATAAAAGCATCACATTGAGTCGAGTCAAGTAGGCCTATAGACAAAAGAGTGGTAGTCTTTAATGTTCCAAGTAAACATTAAGCTGCTTCATTGTAAGCTTTACCAGAACAAGAACTAAGCTGATAAAATGATCTGGTGGTAACACACTGCTCTACCATGGTTACCCACCGAGCTTGCCCAGTTCTTCCTAGGAAACAGAAAAGACAGAAAGAAATGATACAATAATAGACTAATAGAATGAAAGAGGATAATTAAATGATGAATGTGAACAAAAAAAATTTGGTCTTTGTTGTGTGTCCTCAACCAGTCCACATTGTCCCTGCAGGGAAAAGGTGGAGAAGCCGGTGGTCGTGGACCGAAAGGACTCTCTGGCTTCCCTGGAGTTCAGGTCCGTCCATCAACTCATTGCCTTCGTCCTGCGTTCTCCTGTGCTTATGTCCAGAACCAGACTTGTTGTTTAACATTGACAATGATTTAGGAAACAAACAGCGTGACACAAATGCCTGTTGATGTGCAGGAAGAAGACATAAAGTGGTGACAAGTATATATGTGACAATAAGGGTTTGTTTAAAAAGAAGACAGAAATGTGAATAACCTTGACAGAATACAGCTGTTGACTATGGTTGTCCTGTCTTTACCCACTTCTGGTCTTCATCTACTTGCTGTCTTTATCACCTGCTCCCTGTCTTCACTTACATCCTGTCTTCATCTCCTACTTCCTGCTTTCACCTGCAGCCTGTCTTTATCTACGTCATCTATTTCACTATGTTCACTTACTTCCACGTTGTGTACTTCATGTCTAGAGGGCAAGGTATTCACACCTATTCTGAATCCTACAGGGTATACCAGGACCAGCTGGAGACCCGGGATCAGCCGGACGCAATGGAGCTAACGGACCGAAGGTGCGTGGCATCATGTCCTGGCATGGCAAATCCACGACTTCCCCTGAGACAAGTGTAGCTCTAAGTCTACATTACCAAGCCCGCATTTAAAGGATTCGAGAATCAGCCAATACAGACAGTCCCTTTTCGGAAACGGCAGGTTGCTGTTTGCACTTTTCGCACATTTTTTTGCCTGGGGAGCAATTAGGGGTTTATGTGTCTTGCTCAGGGACACTTCGACATGGAACATGGGGCAGCCTGGAATCAAACCACCAACCTTGTGCTTCCCAGCACACCTTATCTAACCCGTGCGCCACGACGACCCTTGTTGTTGTTCCCCGGCCTGACACAATATACAATCCCTCTAAGGTGTTCTGGCTCTACCTCCGGTATCATGAGATTTGTTTAAATATGTGAAACCTCTAAAACAAGATCCTGTTGTGAAGGAAGTTCCTCCCACACTGTTTGAGTCCTCCGTCCATTTATTTCTCTCTCAGATGTAACCACCATCAGATGTAAAAACCGTGCCAAGTCACCCAGAAATTTACAAAAGAAGAAGAGATTAAAACCAAACAGATGTTCTTCTTACCAGAAGATGTCAGTGGATCCCAATCAACCTCCTGATGTGGTCTTAGACGGGGTCTCAACCTGTCTACGCCTACACCTCCTGTTGTGATGGGTGGGCCGCGATGAAGTGTGTCCACCATGCTCAACATCTCAGTCTCTCACTGTCAGTACACAGTCAAGAAGTCCGAGGGTCACCTGAGTCATAGCTATCCATTCCATAATAGAAGCTGAGATGTTTGGTTGAGGAGCCACCATTAGTGGGGCTACCAGATTAAAACAGAGGTTTAGATGAGGTCTGAACTAGAATGCATGAGGCTAACATTTACTGGATGAATAAATTAAATGCTTCTGTTGTTGCCTTTGTTTTTGTTAAAGGGCCAACCAGGAGACCCGGGTGTGAAGGGGGGTCCTGGATTGCAGGGACCCAGAGGGGCGCCGGTAATGAGCCGAGCAGGGTTGTGAATAATCAGATTTGCGGTTCCTCCAATGAGTCTGAATGTCCGTGTGTCTGTCTCTCAGGGTTTAGACGGAAAAGACGGTCAGGGACCTCCGGGACCCAAAGGAGCCAAGGTAGATCTGAACCAGCAACTTGAACACGAGACCATGGGAACACAAGTTTACGTCCTCTTCTGTTGTGTCAATATGTCAGTTTGATAAAGACAGCTGGCTGGGGCCGTTAAAGCACTACAGAAAAAGAAGAAGAGGGGATTAAAGGCATAGGATGTATTACTGCGAGGGTACAGAGACCCACTGAATCAGTTTATTACGTACCTTCTGTTCTGATCCAATAAAACACATACATGTAAATGTAAAAAAGGTCTTTACTTCCTCTGACTTTTTCTTCTTAGGGAGATCTTGGTTTCCCCGGTTACCCCGGAGTACAGGTGAGTCCATCTGTTTTTTTCCATCTGCAGCAGAGGAAGAAGGAGGAGCTCGCTGGAGTCCAGGCAGTTCAGTTCCATGTTCTTGTGTGTGTGTTCAGGGTGAAGACGGTCTGGAGGGAACCAAAGGATACCCAGGACCCAAAGGGAACCAAGGTCGAGGGGTGAGTGACAATGTGCCCTCTATTTCACTCCTAAAAGTCCTTCTCTTCTTCCGTGACCATTTATCTCTGCTCTGATGGATCCAGGGGAACGCAGGCGGTTCAGGAACCTATGGTGATCCTGGAGACCAGGGACATCCAGGATATAGAGTGGGACTTTGGTTTTATTCAGCAGAAATATGAGAACTATGAGCTGGACGATTACACTATGACATGAGAATCTTAACTCCTCCCCCTCCTTCAGGGTCCCAGAGGCCCTCCTGGAGGCAAAGGCATGACTGTAAGTCAAATATGGAACATTTTACTGTACTATACTATTTTCATACTTTTACTTCTGAAATGTTTTGAATGCAGGACTTTAACTTGTAGTGGAGACTTTTCACATGGGTATTAGAGTACCTTTACCTTTTACTAAGGTAAATGAAAAAGAGTAGAAGGACTTTAACTGCTTCTGTATGTCTGACTTTAATTTCTATGAACTGCCAACATAAAAAGGATATTAAATATGTATATTAACATGCTCTGTGCTTTGTCAGGAGTGTCAGCTGATCAGCTACATCAGAGACAACTGTGGTGAGTGTACTGCAAATACATACAATTTAAATTCTTAACAATCAGGTTCATAACACCCAGAAATAACCAAATACATAAATACTTCATAAGATGATTTCTGATGTATAAAAACTGCAATTACTTCCATGTAGATCCAAACAAACAATCATTATTTTCCTCCATACAGCTTGTTACAACGGTATGTATCCATCTCCTATTTGTCCTTCATGAGAACCTGGTGAGTAAAGACAAAACTAAAGTTTTACTCTCCTTTAATCAACCTTATAACCTCTTTAGTTTAGTTTCTTACATTCCGTTTGCCATGTCTGTACATTGTCAGTTACTTGATGCTCTCCCATCATTTTTAAGAGAACCATCTGTGTACAGTAGAGATCAGCATGTTGCCTGTCGCTGTGAGAAGGTGGTGCTCCGAACAACTAAATGTCATCAGAAACAATTGGTGTTTCTGGCAGGGTCAAAATGTGATACTGACAACCTCTGTGATAGCCACCTGTCAATCAGCGTGTAGCCCCACCCTAAAGCATCCCCTGCTTTATGGCCTGTTTGATTCCATATGCACCATAATTTGGTCCCCCTAGTGGTCACTAGAGTGAATTCCGCTCTAACACACCCGGGTTTGGGCGGTATTTTGTTACTTTCTTACCCTTTTCCATACCACGAATCCTTCAGGTCAGTCGGAGTGCCCGGCCTACCCCACCGAGCTAGTCCTGGGTCTGGACATTTCGGAGGATGTGGACTCGGACGCCTTTGAGAGGCAGCGCTCTGTCCTCCTCTTCCTACTGGACAAAATCACCGTCTCCGAGAGCAACTGTCCGACTGGGGCTCGTGTGGCAGTGGTGGCCTACAGCGATTACGTTGAGTACCTGATCCGCTTCCACGATTACCGCCGCAAGTCCCAACTGATCGAGTTGGTGAAGAACATTGCCTTGGAGAGGACTTCTAAGCGGCGCAAGCTCGGTGCCGCAATGCGTTTTGTGGGTCGGAATGTCTTCAAGCGTGTCCGAGCGGGAATGATGATGAGAAAGGTGGCCGTCTTCCTCTCTAACGGGCCGTCGCAGGATGTCGAAGACATTGTCACCGCTGTAATGGAGTACCAGGCCCTCGGCATCGTGCCGGCAGTCATCTCTTTGAGGAACGCTCCCACTGTTGGTCGAGCCATGGAGGTAGGTTTGGATCAGAAGGTCACATCCAAACGATGGCAGCTCCTGAAGAGGTTAGCACAGCCTCTGTAGTATCACTTCATTTAAAGAGGAGCAAAGATACTAAAGGCTTATCTTTTCCTCTTTCTGGCTTCGGGTTAATTGGCAGCTGGTTAATAATATCACCTGCCACATGCTTTTCTAAAAGTTTCTTCTGATAATGTTGTAATAACAAACCTGTTCACTATTCCACCTGACGGCACCAAGGATATTATTCCCTTTTTGGCTTTGGTTCCTAAACACATGAATCAAATCCAGCCCCCTTTGAACAGGCCCGGTTGAGATTCTTAGTCAGATAGAACTGATAAGTAGCCTCTGTGTCTCCTCAGGTTGACAATTCAGGACGCTCCATCTTCAGTGTTCTGAGGAAAGACATGGCTGCCGACCTGAAGCGCGTCCAGAATTGTGCCGTGTGCTACGGTAGGCGCAGAGCTTCCAGGTGGAATCTACTTTATCACTAAATGTTTGGTTCCTGTCAGAACTTTTACAAATTGACAGTCATGGAGAGGTTTGCAAAGGTATTTTTTTTCATTCTTACCTCACTATTTTTTACAAGTTTCCTGTGTACAAGCCTTGACGTCTTCAAGAAATGAAGATCACATCTCACCCTGTGTGTAGACGTAGTCGCACTATCTACAATTTAGTTCCTTCCTCTGGCTTCAATCAACCTTGGTTCTGGTGAAGGTCTTATTAATCTAGCACTCCATAATCCTGCAGGAACATCCACAAAGAAGCAGATATTTTTATATATATGGATAGTATCATTATGATATTGTGTTCCCTGAAGGACTCCTTCAGCCTCCCTGTGAGGGTTAGGAACTTTTTTACATTACATTACATGTCATTTAGCGGACGCTTTTATCCAAAGCGACGTACAATAAGTGCATTCAACCATAGGGTACAAACTCAGGAGAACAAGAAAGTGCAATTTCCTCAAATAAGCCAATTTACAATTTGCTATAGATGAGTGACGTTACAAGTACACTTTAAGTGCTACAATTTTTTAGTCTTTAGTCGAGGTAGAGTCTGAAGAGGTGTGTCTTTAGTTTGCGGCGGAAGATGTGAAGGCTCTCTGCGGTCCTGATGTCTTCAGAGAGCTCGTTCCATCATTTCGGCGCAAGGACAGCGAAGAGTCGAGACCTAGTCGAGTGTTTTGCTCTCAGTGAGGGAGGGACGAGTAGTTTTGCAGATGCAGAGCGGAGAGTGCGGGTTGGGATGTAGGGTTTGACCATGTCGTGGATGTAAGCTGGACCCGATCCACTCATAGCATGGTACGTGAGCACCAATGTTTTGAACTGGATGAGCCACCGGTACCAGTGAAGAGAGCGGAGGAGTGGAGTAGTGTGGGAGAATTTTGGAAGGTTGAAGACCAGTCGAGCTGCTGCATTCTGAATGAGCTGCAGAGGTCGAATGGCGGTGGCAGGGAGACCAGCCAGGAGGGAGTTGCAGTAGTCCAGGCGGGAGATGACAAGAGCCTGAATCAGTACCTGCGCTGCCTTCTGAGTGAGAAGGGGACGTATTCTCCTGACGTTGCAGAGCGTTTATCTACAGGATCGCGTTGTCGCGGCGATGTTGGGAGTCAGGGAGAGTTGGCTGTCGAGTGTGACGCCGATGTTCTTAGCGGTCAAAGTGGGTGTTAGTACGGAGTTCCCAAAGTTGACTGTCAGGTCCTGGGTAAGCGCATCTTTTCCGGGAAAGAGAAGTAGTTCAGTCTTGTCGGGGTTGATTTTCAGATGGTGGGCGGACATCCACTGAGAGATGTCAGTTAGACAGGGAGATCCGAGCCGCCACCTGGGTGTCCGAGTGAGGGAGGGAGAGAATTAGTTGGGTGTCATCGGCATAGCTGTGGTAAGAGAAGCCATGCGAGCGAATGACAGCGCCAAGAGAGTTGGTGTAAAGCGAAAACAGGAGGGGACCCAGCACGGAACCCTAAGGAACTCCCGTAGTAAGAGGACAAGGTTCCGACACAGATCCTCGCCAGGTTACCTGGTAGGTGCGGCCGTCGAGGTAGGACGAGAGAAGGGAGAAAGCAGAGCCTGTGACACCAAGTTCCTGAAGGGAGGAAATAAGGATCTGGTGGTTGACCGTGTCAAATGCAGCAGAGAGGTCCAGAAGGATGAGGACAGAGGAGAGAGAGGCGGCTCTAGCAGTGTGGAGTTGCTCAGAGACAGCAAGGAGAGCAGTCTCTGTGGAGTGGCCTGCCTTGAAACCCGACTGGTGGGGGTCAAGGAGGTTGTTACAGTGGAGATAAGAGGAGAGTGGATTAAAGATAGCACGTTCGAGGGTTTTGGACAAAACGGGAAGAAGAGAGACCGGAATGAAGATTCGATTTTGGATTGGTAGAAAGAGCTTTTGGCAGCAGAGATAGAAGCAGAAAACGAGGAGAGGAGAGATTGAAATTCGAGCAGGTCCTCAGGTCGTTTATATTTACGCCATCTCCTTTCCGACGCTCGCATGGTGGCTCTCATGGCACGGACCGGTTGAGACAGCCACGGAGCCGGAGGGGATTTGCCAGTCCGTCGTGTCGTAAGAGGGCAGAGAGAGTCTAGAGAGGAGGAAAGAGTTGAGAGGTGAGTCTCTGCAGCAGCGTTTGGATGCAAGAGTGAGAAGGAGTCAGTTGAAGGGAGAGCTGATAGAACAGAGGATGCCAGCGAGGAGGGAGAGAGGGAGCGAATATTGCGGCGAGCCGGTAAAGAGTTAGTCAATGAGGGAGGTTTGTTAGTTATAGAGAGTGGAAGGGAGTAAGAGATGAAGAAGTGATCAGACACATGAAGTGGAGTTACAGAGAGGTTAGTGGTAGAGCAGTTTCTATTAAAGATGTAGTCATGGTGATTGCCGGCTTTGTGAGTAGGAGGAGGGGGATTGAGTGACAGAGCGAAGGAAGAAAGTAGGTGTAAGAGGTCAGATGACGAGGTCCATTTTCGGGGAAATTAGACAGGAGAATGTCCAGTTCTTCCAAGAAATGACCTAAGGAGCCTGGCGGACGGTAGAGGACAATGATGGTTAATTGTACCGGGTGAGTTACAGCATGGAATAAGCATGGAATTAAATTTTGTACATTGAAGACGCACTCAGCTTTTTTACCCACAATGGGCAATCGTTTTGTATTCAGCTCCTCAGAAAGAAGTTTCTTAAAGCTTAAAGGTCTGACTCTTGAATAATTGGAGCACTTCCTTCAATGTCCATTTCTGAAAAATAGGAACTACCGGCCACATCCAACAGTCGGTAGGATCATGTGAACTTCACAGGCCTTACACCTCAACCTTACAGTTACAGGTTCATCTTGTTCGACCTCCAGCTGAGAGTCGGACAGTCCCATTGAAAAGGTCACTTGATTTTGGATCAGGGGTTCCTCACAGTAACACATGAGGAAATACATTAAACGGACATCATTTAAGTCACAGGAGCCATTTTCTAACCAGGCAAGTTGGCCTCTTGATTATCACCGTGTTGTTTCTTTAGACCCCTGCCAGAGTCCGGACCAGTGCCCCTTCATCCAGGAACCAGTGGGGCCTCAGGAGGTTGACATGGACCTGGTCATGGTGGCGGACGGCTCCAGGGAGATGCAGGCTGACGAGTACCGCGGAGTCCAGCAGCTGCTGGGCTCTGTGTTGGAACAGCTGGTTGTAAGTCCTCAGCCCCGCAGGGCGGGCAACCAGGCCCGGGTGGCCGTGGTCCAACAGAGCGGCGCCCAGGACATCAAGGTAGCGTTTGGCTTCGGGACCTACCAGACCAGCGCGCTGATGAGGAACCACCTGATTCGAAACATGACGCAGCGGGGAGGTTCGTCAGCGCTTGGACGGACACTGGAGTTCACCTTGCAGGAGGTTCTCCTGAAGGCCGGACAGCCCCGGAGGAGGAGGGTGCTGCTGACTGTGGTCGGAACCAAGACATCGGTAGAGGACCGAGCCAAGCTGCGCTACATTTCCCAGAAGGCCAAGTGTGAGGGGGTGGCGCTGTTCGTGGTTACGGTCGGGGGTCGCTACGACCGGACGCAGGTGGAGGAGCTGGCCAGTCCGCCTGTTCATCAGCACCTGATCCACATGGGCAGTCTGAAGGCTGAGGAACAGGGCTACGTCCAGCGCTTCTTCAGAGTCTTCCTCTCCGCCCTCAACAGTAAGATCACACCCACAGTGTGCCAACCAGATTGCAACTCGTTGAATTTGTTCTGATGCTTTATTTGTGTTGGTGTTTATTTTAGAGCAAATTAACCCGTATCCTCCGCCTTCATTGAAACGGACCTGCAACCAGCTGACAGACAAAGAATTGTATCTTCCAGACGGGTAACTCTCACTGGCTGAAGATTTACAGACAGGAAAGGAAATATATTGAATGTTACTGAAGACGAGACCCAAACTGCTCACTGAAATATGATTTTTGAAACAATTTTCAAACAATTATCAGATCCAAAGCTGAATCTGTTGTTATTAAGAAAGCTTGAAAACCTCTCAGTGTAAATTTAAATGTAGGAGCTAATCCCTCGCTTTGTATTTGTGTAAAAATCTGAAAAACCTGTTGTATTAAACACAGCTGTAGTTTTTCCCTTCTTGGTTGAATGCACTTGTTGTAAGTTGCTTTGGATAAAATCCTCAGCTAAATTAAATCTGAAATGTAAATGAAAACTGCACCATCTCCTTTAATTGAAAACATTAATTTGGACCTTATTTAGGTTAAAGCATAAAAGTCAAAATCTAATCTTAAATGACAAAAGTCATTGTCCGTGGATTTATGTAGCTGCTGTTAATTGTTGAGCTGGTTCTTTTCATTCATTATTCTTCTGTAAAGCCTTTATGCATATTAACACAGCACTATTTATTTCATTATTGTATTTTTTTCAACTAAAGCTGTTTGATGAATGTAGAACATTTATCTCTGACATGTGACTATATATGATTAGTTCCTGTTGAAAAATGAATCTGTATTTAGTACAATTCAGAAGAATATTATAAACCAATTATTGGTGGCTGCTGTTTGTCCAGTCAGGGGACAACAGAGCAGAGGGACGAGGAGACGGGTGGACAGACTCAGTCTGGACACATGGACGTCACAGAAACTGTAGGAGATGGACAAAGCTTCTTCTCAGGTAGACGGTAGAACACACACATCACCAAACATGCTCCTTTAGACCTGAGCCAGGAAAGTCTGCAACCTACTCTTGAATGTGGACTCTAGATGTCTTCAATGGAGCGTTTGAGACTTGACGCAGTTCTCTCGATGTGAATTGGTGTTCATTTACTCAGTGATGCTGTAAAACTAAGTGCAAGCAGCTCAGTATGTTCAAAGTGACAACTTTGGTTCTTATGTATCTGAAAGGAAGACGTTATCTTTGGTCATCATACAGTGTGTAAGGCTTTGACCCACCGAGGTGTCTCTCTCCCGTCTTCCTCCAGACATCTGTTTCCTCAGCAAAGATGCCGGCAATTGCTCCAACTACGCCATGAAGTGGTTCTTTGACAGCGACCAGGGGAGATGCTCTCGCTTCTGGTACAGCGGCTGTGGAGGCAACGAGAACCGCTTTGAGATGCTGAAGGACTGTGAGAGACTGTGTCCTACTAAGAGAGCAGGAGGAGGAGGAGGAACAGGAGGAGTAGCAGCAGGAGGAAGTATCGCAGGACGTCTCCGTCGTTTGAAGAAAGCTGCTTTGCACTAAATGTGGATCATGAAAATCCGAACTGAAAAGTCTGAACATTTTTATATCATATCTTGTTTCTTTCACTTTCATGTCTCCCTCATGTTCAGCTTCTCTCACAGAACAGATCATTGTTTCACAGTTTTGTTTATTCTTTGTCATATTTACTGTGAATTGTTCGGAATATCAAAAGCCGTTGCTGATCAAAGACTGTATTTAAAGAATTCTGCTTTTTAACCAGAACTAATGCGGGTTCATGTGCCTCGTTTGGATTTTATTAAACAAGTGCTGAATATATTTTGTACTATTTTCATATTAAACTATATATTTCATATGTATTGTCTTCTGATATCCATACAACATGACACCCTTGGACTTCTAGGAAGTCATCTATTTTTTTATTTATGTGCATCTGAATGGCTTTAATATTTTTCTGCATTTCAATGTATTTGAGTACATTTGAATGTTTTATGGTATTTTTATAATAGTTGCAGAGCAGCTGCTCTAATTCTTGCAGTAGTTGTTGAAAATGGAAATGAAAGACATCTCAACCAGATGTCTGTCCTCGATGTCTCCATCTGATGTCTTGGTTGGATTCGTTATCTTCGTCTCTCTCTCGTCCCTCTCGTCCCTCTCAGTGTGTCTTCATACCTGTGGTTCAGACATACGAAGCCACATGCAGAGACCAAACCAGTTGTAGCTCCTCCTCCAATTCCATGTAGTACTTCAGATTATTACAGTTTCTGAACCTGTTGAAATGTTCTCCGGGCTTTACTGTACACGTTTGAGTAACACAATGACATGACGTCATGCTGTGAGATGGTTGGCTCGCAGGTACTTTCAGACATGTGTGTCCTTTAATCCCTTTAGTCTCAGTTAATGAGCAGCTTAAAGAGAGGCAGCGATACAGCTCTTTGTTAGGGTTCTCCAGAGAACCTTACAGAACCACTGGGTTCCTCTGGTAAAGCAGAGGAACGCAGTGTTTTATATATCAAAATGATGTTATGACGTTCTGATAACTGACTGTCTGTCTGGACGTGTGCAAGGAGAAGCTGCTGATGTCGGAACTTGGATTAACAGGAGATCTATGATGTCGTCTCAGTTACATGTAGGAACGTTTAGCTGCTCCTGACTAATAGAAGCTATTTATTGATGTTGTATTATTTTAATTGTCTGACAGAATATCTTGTAAACAGACTTTAAATCAAGTTTATATCAAGACACGAATTTCCTTTGTATATGTCAGAGGTGGATTGGACTGTATCGTTAGTTAAACAGTCCCAGGTGACCAGTACCCGAGTAAATAGTGTCATAGCTGGCTCAAGCTATGCCAAACATCAGGGGCAGGAGACGGTGTACAAGAGTAAAGAATATACGTTTATTAAAGTATAACTTAACAGGAAGAACTTCAATTATAAACCATATCCAAAAACCATAAGGATCCTATGAGGTGGGAAGTCAGTAATTCAGTGGTGTAAGTGTGGATGTGTGAATGAAAAGAATAACTCAAACACAACAGAAGTGCATGGAGACGGCAGCAGGGAGCGAAGGCCAGGTCTGCCTCCTCTGGATCCCCCTCTGGATCTTCTCTGGATCTCCCTTCAACTGGCAGGGGCATGGCATAGATAGAGCTTAGGAGACACCGGGCCCAGGTGCTCTCCATTGGCCGTCACGACGATGCCCCAGCCAGGCTCACCTATAGGGCGACAGTTAGGTAGACCCTACTCATACTACGTGTGGGGCATCACAATAGTTTCCAGATAAATGGTCCAAGTGGACTACTTCACCGTAAAAAACATCTGAGGCAAACGTGTAATTTGCGATTCTGAGCTATACAAAATAAAACAAATTAACTGAAACAGTCACAGGTGACTTCCAGATAGCTCCCAGACAAATTCGTCACTCTTAGAGCGTTAGCATTCATTACCCTGAGCGTATTAGAATTCAGCATTGTTAGCGTGTTAGCCATCTGCTCTTTAAGCGTGTTAGTGGTCGTGATTATGAGCACGTTAGCATTTATAGTTTTTAGTGTGGTAGTGTTCAACACTTTAAGCGTATTAGCGTTTGTGATTGCGAGCTTGTTGGCGTTCAGCACTTTTAGCGTGTTAACATTCAACACTGCCTGTTATGGTTTGTCGCTTCAAGCTTGTGTGTTAGCGTTTGCTATTGTGATGATTTTGTCTCGAGAGCATAGAATAGTTTCACTTTACAGGTAAAGATTTGACTTAAAAAAATTATTTTGAGAGATTTTTTTGACTGAAACCCTAAAAACACATGTAGAAAATCCCCGTAAGGCAGCCGGTCCGGACTCCGTTTCCCCTCACACCCTGAAGCATTTTGCTGACCAGCTTTCTCCGGTGTTCACTGACATCTTCAACACCTCCCTGGAGACCTGCCACGTACCAGCCTGCTTCAAGGCCTCCACCATCATCCCTGTCCCCAAGAAGCCCAGGATCACAGGACTCAATGACTACAGGCCCGTCGCCCTGACCTCTGTAGTCATGAAGTCTTTTGAACGGCTAGTCCTGACCCACCTGAAGTCCCTCACCGACCCCCTCCTGGACCCCCTGCAGTTCGCCTACAGAGCCAACAGGTCTGTGGACGATGCTGTCAACATGGCCCTCCACTACATCCTCCAGCATCTGGACTCCCCAGGAACCTACGCCAGGATCCTGTTTGTGGACTTCAGCTCTGCCTTCAACACCATCATCCCGTCTCTGCTGCAGGACAAACTCTCCCAGCTGCACCGCCCGACTCCACCTGCAAGTGGATCACAGACTTCCTGTCTGACAGGAAGCAGCATGTGAAGCTGGCAAACGTGTCTCAGCCTCTCGGACCATCAGCACTGGTTCCCCCCCAAGGCTGCGTTCTTTCCCCTCTGCTCTTCTCCCTGTACAGCAACAGCTGCACCTCCACTCACCAGTCCTTCAAGCTCCTGAAGTTTGTGGATGACACCACCCTCTTTGGACTGATCTCCAGTCCAGTCCAAAGAGGGACTGGGACTGGGCCTACAGGTGGGAGTCTGACCATCTGGTGTCGTGGTGCAGCCAGAACAACCTGGAGTTCAACGCTCTAAAGACAGTGGAGATGGTTGTGGATTTCCGGAGGAACAGAGCCCCACCCTCCCCCATCACCCTGTGTGACTCCCCCGTCACCACTGTGGATTCCTTCCGTTTCCTGGGCTCCATCATCACCAGGACCTCAAGTGGGAGCTGAACATCAGCTCCATCACCAAGAAGGCTCAGCAGAGGTTGTTCTTCCTGAAGCAGCTGAAGAAATTCAACCTGCCGAAGACGATGATGCTCCACTTCTACACGGCCATCATGGAGTCCGTCCTCTGCTCCTCCATCAGCGTCTGGTACGCTGCAGCCACAGCCAAGGACAAGGGCAGGCTGCAGCGTGTCCTCCGCTCTGCAGAGAGGCTGATCGGCTGCAATCTGCCGTCCCTGCAGGACTTGTTCGCTTCCAGGTCTCTGAAGCAGCTATAAAGACCGTAGCCGACCCCTCTCACCCCGACAAAACCTGTTTGTGCCCTTTCCATCTGGCAGGAGGCTGAGGTCCATCAGGACCAAGACCTCCCGCCACACCAACAGTTTCTTCCCGTCGGCAGTCGGGCTCATCAACAGAGCCGGTCCCCCACTGACTGACTCTGACACTCCACCGGTCACTTTCTTTCATTCTGCACATGTCACTTTAACTGTCATTTTTCTCTTTGTCGTCACTCGTCACTTTGCCGTCACTTTGTCACTTGTTCGCTAGTGCACTTTATGCCTAATATTTTTTTACTTTTTAAATATTTTTAATTTTTAACTCTAACTTTATTCTCTTGTTTTATACTAACCCATAGCCTTATTCTACTAACCCATTGCATTAGCATTTCATTTTACTTTATTTTGTTACTTGTGCACTGCTGTCTTGTTGTCTATTGTTACACTGTCTACTTTCACGCACCAACCGCCAAGACAAATTCCTTGTATGTTTGACATATTTTGGCAATAAATGTTTCCTGATTCCTGATGTCCTCCTGACATCCAGTAATGCTCCTCAGGCCTGATGCTGTCAGATGGTGAAGCTCCTCCCTCTTTCAGTGTGGGAGGCGTAGTTGGCTGGGAGGGGTTTCCTGCAGAGACGAGCATGCGCCTCCCTGCGAGGCTGCAGGACGGGTTTGGCAGTGCAGAGGACAGCAGCAGCAGCTTCGTAAGTGTGTCTATACTCCTGTAATGCATGAATGCAATCTGAAAGCTCAGTTTATTCTGAGGGACATGAAGCTTTGCGTTACTTACTCAACTCAGCTTCAGACCAGCAGACTGGAGTTGGTTGCGAATACTGATTATCTTCACTGTTCATCAGCTGCGGAAAATTAAAGTTTCAGTATTCCAAAAAAAATATCTAAATAAAATGAATTCTTAATTCAAATTACATCCTCTTAGTTCTCTTTAATTTGGACAGACTCTTAAGAGGAAATTTGTGTCCTTTTAAGGCCAAATAACTCATACTTTTGGCCTAGCTGTTGGTGCTGATTTAATAATAATAATAACATATTATTATTGAATGGTAGGGGGAACACTGTGTATGCTTTGGAGGTCTCATCGTCAGTTAGGGCGGCCCCTGCATGTTCTCCCGTGTCTGCGTGGGTTCTCTCCGGGTTCTCCGGCTTCCCCCCACAGTCCAAACACATGCTCTGGGGATCAGGTTGATGGTTGACTGTAAATTGCCTGTAGTTGTCCGAATGTGAGGGTGAATGGTTGATTTTCTCTGTCAGCCCTGCCATTGGTTGTGCACCCCGTCTCTGGCCCGATGTTAGCTCAGATTGACCCCCAGCCCCCCTGTGACCCTGTATGCAGGATAAGCCGCTTTGAAGATGGATCTAAAGAAAATACAGACATCTAATCAAGAGTAGACAATCACATGTTCCAGCCTAAAAACAAAATCAAACCGCTTCAAACGGATTCAAATCAGCTGACAATAATCTACAAAAGAATAAAAAGAACATAGACCTTGTTTCAGCACCGTAATACAAGGGAACTGCCAAGTTTTAAGAACCTTTTCCAACACGTCTTTCGTCCTCTACCCCTGGGTCAAAGGTCAACAGGAGAGAAGCATTCATTCATACGTCCACACTAATGAAGGAAACGTCAAAAAGACATAACGATGTTGGCTTACTTCAGTGTGTCCTGTGTGAGTACCATCCATCAGCACTTAAATAATAGCAAAATAATAATAATATAAATATAATTAAATATTAAATAATGCTGTGCTTTGTCTTCATGTTGAATGAGACATGTTTTGTTTGTTTGTCTTATATTATATATTATTATTATAAAGAAGCTTTGAATGTCTGACGTCTTATCACAAAACAAGTCTTTAAGCTAAATCCTCGATTTGAAAGATAATTTTTTTATGGAATCTAATGCCTTTTACTGATATAAACTACACCACAGTTGAAATTTAGTTTTTAATTCTTGAAAAAAAAAAATTAAGTTGAATATTTTGTTAAATACAATCATATTTTGAATTTTGGAAATTACAATATCCATGTTATGGAGTTAACTCTTCAACTCTGTGGAGTGATTGGAAATGTTTGGATCACATGAGTCTGAAACACGATTGGTATATTTATGCTGATGCTAATAATGTGTCCTGATATGAGCATCAAGCACCAGCTTTATAGCTTAGCTTAGCATAAAGACCAGAAACGGAGGGACCAGCTAACCAAGCATTATTTTTTCAATTAACCTTTTTTTATTTAAAATGACTGGATTCTCTCCCAGGTACATGCGCTTGCCCTCTACGGCTGAATGTTCACCTACCAGATATTTTAATTAATCAAAAACATGAGAGAACCAGGTGACACACCACCAATATCTTTATGATCCAATGAAACCTCCAGGTGGTTTTCTGTGAGCATCACATGTGATGGGGATCTCAAGCAGAATGTAAACTGCACAAACTAAATGTTAAGTCTGCTGAGTAAATTAATGTAAACGCTTGATAACAGCTGCCTTTCCTGTTATTCAGATCTTTGATGAGTAAGGCACTTTCATTTTGTTTACACTATCTTGTTTGTTCTGCCGGATAACTAGATTGCTTTTAAAAAACACTGAAATGTCCAAAAAGTTTAGAAGAGGTAATGAATACAAACAAACATAAATATGTACAAATAAAGAGGAGGAAGAGGAGAGAGGCCCAGTTGTCTGGACCGATGAAAGCGTATCCAAGGGCGGCACCCAAGAAAAACCTGAGCCCTAACTATAACCCTAATGCAGCCCTAACTATAAACCTGAGCCAGCCCTAACTATAACCCTAATGCAGCCCTAACTATAAACCTGAGCCAGCCCTAACTAAAACCCTAATGCAGCCCTAACTATAACCCTAATGCAGCCCTAACTATAAACCGGGGCCAGCCCTAACTATAAACCTAATACAGCCCTAACTATAAACCTGAGCCAGCCCTAACTATAACCCTAATACAGCCCTAACTATAAACCTGAGCCAGCCCTAACTATAACCCTAATGCAGCCCTAACTATAAACCTGAGCCAGCCCTAACTATAGGCTCTTCAGACTTTGCACTCCTGTTCTGCTGAAGTGCACCTGAGCCGGAAGCTGAACCTTTGCCAGGTATCACATCACCACTGTCACAGCCAAGAGGACGACTCCACATCTTCATCATCTTCATCACCCTCATTCTTTCACATGTGTTGCTATAACACCAATGAGAGAAAGGCAGTTTTTCTTCTTCTGTAGTGCTTAAATATTGTAGGAGCTCTTAGTCGATATTGAGTTAGTGGGTGTTGGTTTGCTTCAAGAGCTATTTACTAAATCAGTCCAGGAGCTTCCTGCCTCACAGATCTGCTAATTAACTCCCTGATGAGGAATTTCCTGCCGATACCGTCAGCCTTCCCATTCCGTCTCTTCCCATCACTTCCATCTTCTACATTGTCTTCTACTTCATCCCTTCTTAGCATGCTTCACCTTCAAACTTATCTCCAGCATTAAACTAAACAGGAGCAACCAGTGAGAAGGTTCCAGCCTTTAAGAGGCGATCCGTGAGCAGGCTCAAAGTGACTGAATCCAGACTAAACAAAGGTACCAGAGCTTCACGGAGACTCTGGCTGAACTCCCTTCTTATCGCCCGAAGCATCAGAGAGGTTCAAACGAACACATGATGACTCCAGCCGAAGCCCTCGGAGGAAGTGTTTTTTCTATTTGGAGGTTTTTTTTTAAGTTCCTTGGACCTTTAATCATCTCTGAGCAAATTCAACTGGTTATTTGTTACAGTTTTCTATTCATAGACTTTAAACAATAATGCATAATAAATGCAGCTAAAATGCCAATTACTTCTACGACAAAAAACAGACTTCTCCTCCCAAATAAAAACTTATTTGCAAATACTTGATAATAATTGATTAATATTAATGTATCCATTGTGATGTCTACAAAAGTCCAAATTACAGATCTCCTGGTGATCTGATATCAAACTAGGAGCTGGGACCAGTTTATTTGTTTAAAAAAATTGAATCGATGCTCAACTAATACGTTGATGAATATATTTTTCCAGCACTTGTTAAATCCCAACCTTTGGAAGACCTTTGATCACAGAAGACACCTTTAAACAGCCCAATCCCTCTAAGTAGCCCCATAACATCGACCAAGTACAAGTCAGTGCTTGAGTGGTAGAATCCGCCTCGCTCAATTTGATTGGCTGCCGGGACAAGTGGTACACTGACGAGTGTTACAACTATCTAGACTTTTATGTGCGTCTGATAAACGGACTGGATGAGACGCTGCTGACGAAGACAAGGGGCGCTGGAGCACAGTGTTGTTTGAGGCCAAACCCTCTCATATTAATGTGGTCAAGTTCTAATTTCTATCTCAGAGCTTCTCCTATAAAGCAGGCAGCTCCACAATGAAACATAAAACACTCTCTTTTATGGACTGATATTGCTCAGGGTGTCTCTGTTCACAGACTCCTGGAGTGTTTGTCTGATGCAACGTACGGCTCACATTCCACACCGAGCTGTTTTCCATCAGGTCCAAACATGGTCTCCATACGTTGAAAAAAGGGCTCCGTTTAGACAGAGCACAAACATCTGCCTTTCAAACAATGCAGCCAGGGCGGGGGAGGGGAGGCCAGGGGCCCCGTCCTTGAACCTTCCAGCTGCATCGTCTCCAAACCCGACACATGTTTGTTGTTATCACGGCGTATAGATTTACAGAGGTTGTGCGCTCTGACGGACCTCCATGCAGCTACACTCTAACCACGTTCATCTAAAAGCTTCTTTTTCTTTAACTCTCAATTAATTTTCTGGTTTCTCACTCACTGCTCTGAAAACATTTAAGTTTATTAACACTTTTTTCATTTGACGGAATCCGGCAAGTCTCCACCCTCCTGTATGATGATGAGTGTCAGAAGGAAGGTAAAGTGAATTATTCATGCAAACACAGGACTTCCATTGTTGTCTAACAGAGATTATGTGTATTCACAATAAAATTGAGCATCTACAAATATAAATTGAGCCTCCCATCACTCCTGCTCCTGAAAAACATCCATCTTCAACCCAACAGACCAGAGCCCAGACCGAAGGTCCCCCATGTAGGGGTGAGGGTCCGTTAGGGTGGTGACTCTGTGTTGAGACACCCAGCCCGAGGAGGTGAGATGTTACAACCTCTGTAGAGAATGTGGCTGAGGAGCTGCTCGGAGGCTAAAACATGTGGATCAGGTCCAAAGTCGTCGTGGCGCAGGGGGTAGAGAGGGTAGGCTGGGAACCACAACGTTGGTGGTTCGAGTCCCTGCTGCCCTATTTCCCATATCGAGGTGTCCCTGAGCAAGACACATAACCCCTAGGTGCCCCTAGGGCAAAATGTAAGATCCAGTGGTTAAAAATGTAATCTAAGTCGTTTTGGATAAAAGCGTCAGCTAGATTACCTGTAATGTAAAAGGTCAATTGTTGAACCTGCAGTCTTACTTCTTTTGATGAGCTTTCCTTGTTAAAGGAGGTTTGCGTGAATTTTAAACAACTGCTCGACAGCTGAGCCTTTTTACGGCGCTCTCTCGACTGATATCAGTCGGCAAATATGAATAAAGTTCTCTCAATTAACTAACACTAATTAACTTACACTGGTTTAGTGCTGCAGTGGGACCCATGAACAGAAACCAGTCCATCCATTGAGGATTAAATGCTCTACTTGTCCATTTGTCTCTTTTTGGAGAGCGCCATTTGTTCCTCATTTTTCTCACCCGTCTCTTTCTCTGTCTGTCTCACTCGTCTTTTTCTCAAAGTCCTTTTATTTGTAATTTGCGGCTACCTCTCTCGTCTGTGCCCAGTATTGAGACAATATCATCCTGCCTGAAATGCAAAGACTCAATTGGTCGAGTAGTATCATGTGGGATGGTGTAACTCGAATGCTATTGGTCGTGCTTTAAGCCACTACCGTAAAGACGACCTAAGCAAATCAGGGCAACGGTCAGGTCGGCGGGGGCAGGCGCGGATGGTTCGGTTGACAAGAGTATATCACTTTAACTGTAATTTTTCACTCTGCCGTCACTCGTCACTTTGTTACTTGTTCGCTAGTGCACTTTAGGCTTAATATTTTTTAACTTTTTTGATATTTTAAATTTTTAACTTTACTCTCTTGTTTTATACTAACCCATAGCCTTATTCTACTAACCCCATTGCATTATCATTTTACTTTATTTTATTACTTGTGCACTGCTGTCTTGTTGACTATTGTTACACTGTCTACTGTCACGCACCAACCGCCAAGACAAATTCCTTGTATGTTTGACACATTTTGGCAATAAATGTTTCCTGATCCTGAGCTACGGAATAAATACCACCCGGAACGTATTTAATCTCCCAATAAGTTTGATTCATCTGACACTAACTGAAAGCGGACCACTGTACGTTAGACGTCCCCGTCCCTCTCTGCTTGTTGCTTGTCTGCTTGTGGAGTGAGTGAGGGGGGTGTTTGTAGAACGTTTACCGTTTGGTAAAGTTGGCAAGATATTCACAGGTTCAGACTCCCCGGTTCAAAAGCTCATGAGCGAGACGTTGTTAAAACACGACACCACTCTGCCAACAGCCTGCGCACAAGTCATAATTACGACTTTCTTAAGTCATCACCTTGACTTTCTAACCCTTCTTTTCTTTGTAGCGGAAATGGGCTTCCATATGGTGATCTTGCTCAACTGACAAAATAAAGTAAATGGAGTACAGTAGTGACCAAAAGACCCGGAGAAGGAAACTGAGAGAAGCGCTAGAAGCTAATGGGTAGCTCGTTAGCTACAGCAGGTCACTCGTCATGGTCAGACATTCTCGCCTCCTCCTTCAAGTCTTTGTGGTGTCTCAACTTCATGAGAAATCAGGAGGGAAAGTGCATGTTTCCCTGCTTGATCATGTGTAGTACAGTGCTGATCCTGATCCTGAGCCCGATAGTAATACAGATCCAGAAACATGTGACCTCAGTCCTGACCCCCTGGTTCCAGCTGTAAATAACGAGCCCCCCCCCTTTTGATCCTGTATGCGGCTGAAACGGAGCCAGAAACTCTGGCTGAATAAATAAGTCTTTGTAAATGCTGCAGAGACTCTCCTCTCCATCAGCGCTTTGCTCTGATCATCCTCACAAGCTTCACATTAAACGTTGCCTTCTGGCAGCTCATTAAACACAGACCTGCCACATGTTTGTGGAGGCGGAGGGGGCGGGGCAAACGCATAATGATGAATGCACATACAAATATGTTCTGATGAAGGCATGCTATGACTTAACGGTCTCACATAAACAAGGCGTACCATTGAGGACTGCCCGTTCACTGTTACTGCGCTGTGAAGGAGAGAGACTGGCTTCATCTTAAACAGAGAAGATTCTCCACTTCACCTGGAATTCTGCAGCAGTTTGTACTGAACCTGAAACTGCAAACATTAAACAGTCCATTTCCTCTGAGCTCGGCCCGAGGGGGATTCCACAAGAGTGATGGTACGGCCTGTGTTACATTATGACATGTTGGTGACATATGTGGGCTGGCAGAGGAAAGAAGATTTGAATTCTTGGAAATTTACGAGTGGAAATTTACACTTACATATTCCATGTAAAAAAAACACTCACAATGCAACAATAACTTACTCACTAAACAACAATGCTCTGAACAACAACTTTCTAAACCAGCCCTTTCTGGATAAAGAGTTTTTATTTCTTTACAACAATAATTCACCCCTTGGGGATTAATATAGTATACAGCCATCTACCCATATATCTAATGTTGGTGTAATGTCCTTGGAAGACAAAGTAATACATCCATTCTAGAAAGTGCGCAGTCGTTACATCAGAGCTAATGATAATCTGCGGTTTTGTATGTGAGCAGGATGTCAGGGCCGCCCCAAACCAGGAAAGCTCCCGGTCACATGTCCACCTGCCGTTGGTCCAGACCGTCTGCTGCCCGGGGACGACTGGGAATGGAGCCATTAGTTCATAAGAAGAGCCAGATGCAGCTGAGAGGAGACGACTGTCTTTTGTGTGGCAGAAATGGTTTGAATTCTGATTTGAATGGTTTTAATTCAGGCAGATTTAGGGGAAGTTATGAAGTTGGCCTCAGCGGTTGTGTTTCTATTTCTTATCTCTCTCTTTTCTCTTCCCGTTCTCTGGAGAAGAGAGGAGTCGTACGTCTCCACGTATGAATTCATCGAGATCTGAGTCTGAATAAGACAGGAGGCCGACGGTTCTCTACTTCCTCCTTTGTCTCTGTACTCCGCGATGTCGTAAACCCAAACACGTCGCTTTTGGTGTGAACGCAACATAAGGGTCAGGGAGCGAGATCCCAATGGAGCTGCAGCAGTCGAGATAAAATATCTCTGTAACATTTATATTTGGGTTTTGGTGAATGCAGATTTCCTTCCTTGTCTGTATATGTTAAAGCAATTATATCTAAAAAGTGATGATGATGAGTTTGGTAATCTGTCTCTTCAGACTAATGTTACTTTCATCTGACTTTGAATCAGAAGTCGGACCTGAAGCCGTCTCTGCATCTCTGTCATCACATTATATATTAACAGAGAAATAGAGAACACTCACATCCATCACAGATAAAAGTATATTTCACAGCAATAATTAATATTTCCGCCATCGTGAAATACTTTGCCTCACACATTAAAGGCTCCAATGAATTCCTGTTTTTACATTTCCCAAAATGTGCAAGTTGTTTGTTGAGAAACACAACATCCACATCTCCGAAGCGTTTTTTGCCTGTCACCATGTGACCAGACCAGTCGTGTCTTCCGCTGTTGCTGATAGGGAATAGACCCTTGGTTTCATGGTCGCCTCTCTCTTTGTCTTGCAGAGAGAAACCTAAGAGCTGTTCCAGCATGGAAAGGGGGCAGGGTCTTCTGCTCAGCCTCGTCATGGCAACGTGTTTCTACGGCAACACCGCTCAAAAAACAGGTGGGTGTGATTATACAGCTTCCTGCATACCAGCACATGGAGGATGCTGCTCGTCGTGTGTGGTACTGGGTCTACTCATACTAACCTGCACTACTTTGTGATTCTTGCCAAGCACACAATGCACACCATGCATTAACCAACACCACCTATCATCTGAGCAGCAACATGTGGGTGCAGGATTCCAGCTCTATTGCACGTATCAGATTGTTCATATCTGAAAAAGTAAATTAAAAAAGAGCAACTAAACCATGGTTACGGGGAGACAACTACTACTTAGGTTTATTTAGAAACAACCCAAAGGAGGAGAACCCTGAAAGTGAGTCTGAGAAAAGAAAGGCCAGGTAATTGGATGAGCCCTTTGTTTGCACCACCACCGCCAGAAATCTTTCCTTTCCTTTCCTCACACCTTTCACATCCCAGAATCCACCTGGAGGAGAGTGCTATCACACAGTAGCCAGAAGCTGCTCACGTTTCTCCCCGCTGGCTTACGCACATCACAGACTACCCATGCTGATGCTTCTCACTGGCCCACACGCTCTCAAAAGAACCCTGAGCTGCTCTGTGCCGAGGGCTTTCCTCGTACCATTCTGACGACCTCTCTGTGACGACCTTCACTCTCAGTCTGCACTCAAGAGGCCGTGGCTGACATCGTCTTCATGGTTGACGGCTCGTGGAGCATCGGCAGCGAGAACTTCAAGCAGATCCGTCGTTTTCTGCACACGCTGGTCGACAGCTTTGACGTCAGGCCGGAGCACGTCCGCATCGGACTGGTCCAGTACAGCACCGCTCCGCGCACCGAATTCCTGCTCAATACTTTCAGGAGCAAGAAGGACATCCTACGTTACGTCAGCAGCTTACCCTACCTGGGCGGCGGCACCCAGACGGGGCTGAGCCTGGACTTCATGCTGAAGGAGCACTTTGTGGAGGCTGCCGGGAGCCGGGGGGCAGAGAGCGTGCCACAGATTGCCGTGGTGATCACCGACGGCAAGTCGCAAGACAACGTGGAGTCCCACGCTCAGGACCTAAAGAGAGAGGGAATCGTTTTGTACGTTATTGGCATCAAGGACGCAGATGAAGAGCAGCTGAGAGAGATTGCCAGCGAGCCGCACAGTCAGCACGTCTACAGCGTGTCCGACTTTGCGGCGCTGCAAGGAATCTCTCAGAGCATCGTTCAGACGCTTTGCACCACGGTGGAAGAAGTCAAACGACAACTCCTGCAGTTGTCTCAAGGTAAAATGTGTGACACCATAGGCTGATGTTGGTCCAGTGATTGGTCTTAAGTATTCCTCAGAGAGCCAAGTGTAGCTTATCGGTTAATGAGTTTAGATATCCAACAGAAGAAGTCAACTTGGCCAAGAAAGCTTGAAGCTTAAGGATTCAGAGAGGGCAGACAAAACCTGTGAATGGGTACACACACAAGCCCCCTCCCCCCACACCTCCCTCCGGTCATTGCTGACATTTTTCTCCCTTGTCCCCAGAATGTGCCAAAGCCACAGTGGCCGACATCGTGTTCCTGGTCGATGGATCCTCCAGCATCGGCATCAGTAACTTTCAGGAGATCCGGCAGTTCCTCCGTAGCGTGGTCAGCGGCCTGGACATCGGCCCAGACAAGGTCCGTGTTGGCTTGGCTCAGTTCAGCGATGAAACCACCCAAGAGTTCCTGTTGAAGGAGCACATGGACAAGAAGTCCCTCTTGGCCTCGGTGGACATATTCCCCTACCGAACCGGCGGCACGGAAACGGGCAAGGCCATCGACTTCCTCCTAAATAACTATTTCACAGAGGAAGCCGGGAGCCGAGTCAACCAGCGGGTTCCTCAGATCGCCGTGGTCATCACAGACGGAGACTCTACGGACGATGTAATGGAGCCTGCCCAGCGCCTGAGGCAACTCGGGGTCATAGTGTTTGCCATCGGAGTGGGAGCAGCCAACCGTAAGGAGCTGGAGTCCATTGCCAACCGTCCTCCAGAGCGGTTCCTGTCCTCCATCAATAACTACCAGGCTCTGCAGAGGCTGACCGTAGGTCTGCTGCAAACCGTTTGCATCTCCGTGGAGGATCAGAGGCAAGGTGAGGGAAATTAGAATGTATACAGAAAGAATACAATTAGCCAAACATGTATTACAAAATGAAATGATTGAGCACAAATAGCCTTGGTGGTCACTTGAGAAAAGTATAGTTGTGCTTTCAAGAGACAGATTTCAAAAGAAACACAGTGACATTAAGGCTTGATTCTCAGCAAATCATGCAACAAGAAAATCGTTGTGTCACTTGCATGGACTATGTAAGTGTAATTTCAGAAGTTGTGTCCATAAGCCCTAGCTAAGTTAACCCTGATTGCATCACAGTGACATCAAGTCTCAAGTCAGGTCATCAGGTCTCAGATCAGTTCATTTGGTCTTTAGTCTCAGGTTTCAGGTCATCAGTCTCATGTCAGGTGAGCACGTCTCAGGACAAGTCATCATGGTCTCAGGTCTCAAGTCATCTCATCATCAGATCTCAGGTCATTAGGTCAGGGCAGGTCGTCACGTCATCAGGTCAGTTCATTAGGTCTCAGGTCAGGTCATGAGCTCCTAGATAAGGTCTTCAGGTCTCAGATCAGTTCATCAGGTGTCAGGTCAGGTCATCAGGTCTCAGATCTCAGTTCCAGTTAATTCATTTATTTATTAAATTCCAGGAAAAGGCCCCCAGAGAAGGATTACTATTTTCTTTAAGCATTGTGCTCTTTGATTCTTCTATAATTTTGAGTCCTTTTTGTTTTTGTTAATTTAGGATTATCCAACTTTTGCAACCTGTAAGAAAAATAAAAAACAAATTAAATAATACAGAAACATAAAAAAGAAATAATCCAGTATCTTGTAGTTTATGCTTGAGATGCTCTCTGATCTGGACTAACTATGTTACAGTTTATAGATGGTTGTTTTCTATAACAGTAGATTTTCACACTGTCATCGCTGTTCTTTGTTATCTTTCAGCCTTGGCCGAAAGGTTTGCAGACATCTTCTTCCTTGTGGACAGCGGCATGTCTCAGAAAGACTTCCAGCAGATCAGGACACTCCTCACCCGACTGGTTAATCAGCTGAACATCGGAGGGTCCTCCCACCGCCTGGGCTTGGCCCAGTACGGTCAAGATACGAGGGTTGAATTTCTTCTCAACGCTTTCCAAAACAAACAGGACATCCTGAACGGCATTAAGCAATTCGGCCAGCAAAAACTCCAAACCAACGAGCCTCGTAATCTGGGCGGCGCTTTGCGGTACGCTGCCACTAACTTCTTCACCAGCGAGGCAGGCAGCCGGGCAGACCAAGGCTACCGACAATTCCTGGTGGTTATAAGTGGAAAAGAATCCGCCGATCCCGTGCACCGGGAGTCCCGTCTGATCAAATCCTCGGGAGTGACGGTGGTAGGGATGAGCCTCAGTGAATCTCTGATGGAGATGCGCATCGTAGCGACAGCACCCTACATCTACCAGTCCATCAGCAGCGTGGCATCTCTGCGGGCTATCTTTGAGAGGGAGGAGGCGGAGACCGTTCTTACTGGAGGTGAAAAACCTATTATTTATTGTTTACCTGAATGAAGTGTCAGACATGTGAGCTGTTTCCAACTAACAGATGGGTCAACCAATTTGATTACCTTCTTATTACGTTGGTCTATCGCACACCTGAGATATGATCACATACACATCTTCCTGAAGGTCTTCTTATAAATTCAGAATTTCTAATAAAATTAGCTCATGTTAGTCTGATCATCGGAAATCTATAAATGTTTGTGGGGTTGAGCAGTTTGGTGAATTATGATTATGATTAAAGATTTACAATTGATGGTTCACAGATTGCAAAGCAGCCAAACTGGCTGACATTGTGTTCATCGTTGATGAGTCTGGAAGCATCGGATCCCCCAACTTCCATCTGGTGCGCACTTTCCTCCACTCGCTCGTGAGCGGCCTGGAGGTCGGTACCTCGAGAGTCCGCGTGGGCATTGTGACGTACAACGAAAGGGCCACGGCGCAGGTCTACCTCAACAGTTTCAATGACAAGAGCGAACTGTTGAAGTTCATCAAAATGCTCCCTTACCAGGGTGGTGGTACGTACACTGGTGCGGCCCTGGAATTTGCCTTGAGGGAGGTTTTCATACCGCAAAGAGGAGGCAGGAGAGCGAAGGGTATCCAGCAGGTGGCGGTGGTGATCACAGACGGGGAATCCCAGGACAACGTGAGCACAGCAGCGGCTAATCTCCGTCGAGAGGGTATCACCGTTTACGCGCTAGGGGTTAAAGACGCCAACGATGCCCAGCTGGTAGCAATGGCTTCTTACCCCCCCCACAAGCACAAGTTCACTGTTGACAGTTTTGCCAAACTGAAATCAGTAGAGCAGAGCTTGCAGAAACTGCTGTGCAACAACATCCTCCGGCAAGCAGTCTCAATCAACACAAGGAGAACTGGCATCAAAGACGGTGTTTGTTTGTTAATTCTTTAAACTTTGAAGAGTAACAGCATATATGGCATAGAACAACAAATAAATTAATGTAAATCTGATAATATCTTTGCGTGTTCTGTTCCAGGCTGTGTACAGACGGATGAAGCTGACATCTTCTTCCTGATTGATCACTCAGGAAGCATTTACCCCAAAGACTTCCAAGACATGAAGACGTTCATTATCGGGTTTCTACACACCTTCCGTTTAGGGCCACAACATGTCCGCGTGGGTGTTGTAAAATATGCAGATTCGGCAGATTTAGAATTTGATCTGACAGCCTACTCTGATGCAAAAACATTGGAGAAAGCAGTAGAGGGAATTAGACAAATAGGAGGTGGGACTGAGACGGGGAGAGCGCTGGAGTTCATGAGTCCGCAGTTTGACCGAGCCATGGCAACTCGTGGTCACAAAGTCCCGGAGTACCTGGTGGTCATCACCGATGGAAAATCTTCCGATAAGGTCAAGGCTCCTGCGGAAAAACTGAGGTCAAAGGGCGTCATTGTCTACGCCATTGGTGTGAAGAATGCCGATGTGGTGGAGCTTGGAGAGATTGCTGGTGACCCAAAGAGAACTTTTTTTGTCAACAATTTTGATGCTCTGAGGCCCATCAAAGATGACATCATCACAGACATCTGTTCCCCAGACGGTAAGAAAACTAGATGTTAAAGACGACACAGACTTTAGCATTGATAGAAGTGACAGGAAATGAGGGCCCTTGGCTGGTTGTTTTTGGCATAAAGCAGATATATTTGGTTGCGATACATTTTGCTTTTTGAATAGTGCCTGGCTAAGTAGGAATAGGAATGAAGAAAACAGAAATGCCATACTAACATTTCTGTGCTACTTTGTCCAAAGCTTGTAAAGACACTCCAGCCGACCTCCTTTTCTTGATCGACAGTTCCGGCAGCATCTATCCACAAGACTATGACAAAATGAAGGACTTCATGAAATCTGTCATCAGCAAGTCCATCATTGGGCAGAACAAGGTGCATGTTGGTGTCATGCAGTTTAGCACCATCCAACAACTGTCATTTCCCCTCAACCAGTACTACACCAAGGAGGAAATGTCCAAAGCCATCAATGGCATGCAGCAGGTTGGCGGAGGCACGCTCACAGGTGAAGCCATCACTGAGGTTTCGAAGTACTTTGATGCCATCCAAGGAGGGCGTCCTGAAATGCAACAGAGGCTTGTAGTCATCACAGATGGCGAAGCCCAAGACCATGTCAGAGGCCCTGCCGAGGCTCTGAGGGCTAAGGGAGTGTTGATCTACGCCATTGGAGTGGTGGACGCCAACACCACCCAGCTGATGGAGCTCAGCGGTTCACCGGACAGGACATACGTCGAGAGGGACTTTGACGCCCTTAAAGACTTGGAGAGCCAGTTGGCCTTGGAGCTCTGCGATCCAGTGAGAGGTAAGAGGCTTGGACTGAAACATTAGGACACTTCAGAGTTTGAGCTTACCTATCTGTAAGCCGCAACTTCCCATTTTTTTCATAAATGACCATCTAGTTTCACAATTCATTATTTTATCACTAGATCAACATATAGATAAGACAGCTCTGATCGGTGTACAGTTATTGTAAATTGCAGATTGCAAAGACCTCTGAGGCAAATTTGTTATTTTGTGATTTTTGGCGGTGCAAAGTAAATTTAACTGAATTTATTTTAATTAAATGAATGTTGAAACGATCATGTCCATGTTTCCCCTTCCTCATCCCACCTTTTACCTCCACCCAGAGTGTAAGAAGACCGAAAGAGCGGACATTATTTTCCTGGTGGACGGCTCTACTAGCATAACCCTGAAAAAGTTCAGAAGCATGCAGAAGTTCATGGCATCATTGGTGAACCAGACCACAGTCGGCAAAGACCTGACTCGCTTTGGAGTCATTCTTTACTCCACCAACCCCCAATCTGTTTTTACTTTGAATCAGTACAACTCCAAACGAGAGGTTCTTAATGCGATCTCCGCCCTGAGGTCCCCGTATGGAGACACCTTTACCGGCAAGGCTCTGGCATACTCGTTACAGTTCTTCAACGATGCACACGGGGGTCGAGCAGCTCTCCAGGTGCCCCAGATTCTTATGGTGATTACAGACGGCGATGCCACCGACCGTAACAATCTGGTTGCTCCTGCGGAGGGACTGCGAGACAGAGGGATCAGCGTCTTCAGTATCGGAGTGGAGGGGGCCGACAAGTCACAGCTGGAGATCATGTCTGGTCATGAGAAATCTAGAGTTTTCTATGTGGACAACTTTGATGCCCTGGAAAACCTGTACAAGAATATTACTCATGCTCTCTGCAATTCCACCAAACCAGGTAAGCATTATCGCAGGTTAGCCACTATGGACCTAAACAGAAATACGTAAATATCCATAGCATCATTAATAACTTTCCTTTTAACTTTACAAGCATGCATAGACAAACATAAATTATTATACTACTCACTTGAATTTCACAAATTAGAAACTCACTGTATGAGATCATAGTATACTGATATAGTTTAGTGAGTATGCAAGTAAATGTCTGCCAATAATTGCCTCCTAGCAGCTCCTTAGTTAGGCTCTAAATGGGATTGTATTGGGAACACAATTGATTAATTTAGATTAGTGTTCATAGCGAGATTATGAGATTAGTAAAACAAATACCTCCAACCAGTGTTGAAACTGAAAGAATAAACTTAAATAAGCTTGAAGTAATTTTTTATGATGAACGTGGAAACATTTCCTCACTTTGTCTTTACAGTTTGTGAGAAACAGCAGGCAGACCTGGTCTTCCTGATCGATCAGTCTGGCAGTATCAGTGCAAACGACTACACCACCATGAAGCAGTTCACCACAGCGCTGGTGAGCAGCTTCAAACTCAGTGAAAACTTAGTGCGGGTAGGACTCGCCCAGTTCAGCAGCACTTTCCAGAACGAATTTTACCTCAACCAGTTTTATAGCGATCAAGCCGTGACCAAGCACATCTTAGACATGAAGCAGATTGGTGGCGGCACCAACATCGGACTGGCCCTGCATTCTATCATTGATCACTTTGATGCATCACGGGGAGGTCGAAGGTCTGCCAGGATCTCCCAGAACCTAGTGCTGATCACAGACGGCGAATCGCAGGACGATGTGGAGGAAGCAGCTGACCGTCTCAGGGCTCTGGGGATCGAGGTGTTTGCCATCGGTATCGGAGATGTCCACGACTTGGAGCTCCTGCAGATCACCGGCACCCCAGACAGGCTTTTTACTGTGCAGAGCTTCGGCAGCTTGGAAAAGATCAAACAAAAGGTGGTTGATACAATCTGCAAATCTAGACCCATCCAAGATCCCAGTGGTAAGTTGATTGGTGTGACCTTGCCTCTCCGTTGCTCCTTCTCTACCACCATGTTCTTTTGTATCTCTGGCGGTCAAAAGGAAAATAAAATAAAAAGTTTCCCTCTGCTTCAGCCTGCAGCATTGATATCGCCATGGGATTCGATATCTCTAGAGGAAGCCGAGCACCCGGCGAGATGCTTATCAGCGGCCACCCTAAGCTCCAGGCCTTCCTGCCAGACATCGTTCGCTACGTTTCATCGGTTCATGGTCTTTGCTGCGTCGGGCCGGATCCCGTTAAGACCAACATCGCCTTTCAAGTAGCGTCACTAGATGGACGCCCGCTCTACGACTTCAACTTCGAGGGCTACAGCTTAGAGGTTGTCAACAAAGTCATGACCTTGAATTTGTCAGAGCCTACTTACTTCAACAGCGCCTTGCTGAAGTCCTTCGAGAGGAAGTTCAGCGTCCAGTCCAAAGCTGGCGTGAAGGTGAGATTGGGACTCGTTTTGTGAAGGCAATGTAGATTTTGGTTGGACTGACCACTGAGAGAGATGAGCATTTAGAAAACAGATTTTTTATCAGATTCTGTGTCACCCAGTAAACTGTCTTCATAGCGGTTCACTTCTTGCAATCAGTTTTCTGCTGAAAAAGAACAAGACATCTTGAATCTGTAGCTCAGTCAGAGGGATGTTTCCGTGTGGAAAGTGTTAATTCAGATGGAATAAAAACAAAATGAGTCATAAACACACAATGAATCTTGATTGGGGGTTAGGATTAGGGACATTGTGACAACAATGGCTTTTAGGTACTCTGCACCCTTATCGTGAATAATGTTGCAGAAAGATTTAGAACTTAGAGAACTTACTGCTTTTAAATCTAACATGAGGGAAATAGATACAGGTTCCCAAAAATGTCAATGTCTTTTTTTAAACAAACCTGGTTACATCACAGTCTCTTAAACGTTTAGTTTCTTTTAACTTGTCTCATTGTGTTTGTACCCAACCAAAGCATGCATAATTTATATATCACATATGATGGTCTTGTTCAAATTCCATCATTGTACACTTTTAGTCCTAACAACCTTAACATTTTAATAATGCAGTTAAGTAATTTGTTTTAAATACTGCCTGCTTTCACCAGGTTCTAATGACCATGGTGAAGATGGATGATCGGTTATACTTTATCCAGTCTGACATGTGCCCAATCAGGTGCTGGTGATCTTCTCAGATGGACTCGATGAGGACGTGATGAAACTGGAGCAAGAATCAGAGCTGCTGCGACAGTCTGGTAAACCCCGGGAGATCCAACATGACCACAACTTGCATTCCTTGTTTTTAACTTACGTAGCTTACGTAACTCCATTATGTCTGTGACTATATCTTCTTCCATGTGTATCTACTTCCCCTCTCAGTTCCCATCGTCTAGGTAAGTCAGTAAAGCTGTGCTTCTGTTCACTGTGTGCAGGGGTCAGCGCTCTGCTGACGGTGGCCCTGGATGGGGCCCGAGACCCCGCCCAGCTGCAGATGGTGGAGTTCGGGCGAGGATTCGGCTACAAGCTTCCTCTCAGCATTGGCATGATGAGCGTCGGCAGCTCCGTCCTCAAGCAGATTGTGAGTAGTTTGTGTCCCTTTGTTCACTAAAGAGACAAAATTCTACCAGAGGGTTACATTACATTACATTACATGTCATTTAGCGGACGCTTTTATCCAAAGCGACGTACAATAAGTGCATTCAACCATAGGGTACAAACTCAGGAGAACAAGAAACAAGAAAGTGCAATTTCCTCAAATAAGCCAATTTACAATTTGCTATAGATGAGTGACGTTACAAGTACAATTTAAGTGCTACAATTTGTTAGTCTTTGGTCGAGATAGGGTTAGTGTTATTATGAATTAAAATGAATGACATTCATATGTAACAAGAATATGCTGATTGATTATTTATATTTCTGTGAGTTTCTCTTTGTAGCCATTTATATCTTTGTGTCACGTTGTTTGTCTCTTTCTGTGTCTCTTTTTTGTGGTTTCATGTCTCTTTGTAGTCTGTGTTTGCCTCTTAGTGGCTGTTGCAAGTCTCTTTGTGGTCTTTGTGTATCTCGTTGTAATTTGTGTGTCTGGCGCAGGGGTAGAAAGGCTGCACCGGGAACCGCAAGGTTGGTGGTTCGAGCCCCAGCTGCTCCATGTCCCATGTTGAAGTGTCTCTGAGCAAGACACTGGCCCCTAATTGCTCCCTGGGTGACAATGTAAAAAAAAGCCATGGGTTAAAAATGCAGTGTAAGTCGCTTTGGATAAAAGCGTCAGCTAAATGACCTGTAAAGTAATGTAAACCTTGACCTAATTTCATTGTCATCCACAGCATGCATAACGTAACGTAGTGATAAACAAGTCAGGATACACGTTAATGTGTTTGGCTTTGGTGTTTTTTTAACTGCAATCATAATCTGGGAGGAAATAAGTACCCTCTAAACATAGTTGAGATATGAGTTGCATGGAGACGGGTTTGCCCTCTGACCCTTTAAGAAACCGACAATCCGGGCCCCTACCGATCTTCAGCCTTAAGGCCCGTCTAGAAGCCCATCTGTGGCCTGAACCTTGGTGATGATTTGTTCTTCTCCTGAAGAGCAGATTTTCTGAACGTCTTCTTGTTGTGACGCGTCTGTTTACAGAAATGAAGACGAAAGAAAGCTTCCCTGCTGAAGAACATATGTTAATGCTCAACATATTAAAAAACAGTCAACCTTCTCAATTCTCCTATTTAAAGACTGTATTTAAAAACCTTCAGCAGGTAGACGTGCTTACATTTCTATTACCATAATTCAGTATTCATGTATTTACAATAAATAAAAACAAGACTTAAAGCTTTTGTCTTCATCAAGGCTATTGTTTGACATTAAAACCTGTTTTGAAAGGAAAATGTTTTCTTTCAGGTTTGAAGAAGGGAAATTCAGTTAGTGAGAGAACGGACTCAGCTGTATCTGATAATATTCACTTTAAAGTTTGGTTTCATTAAAACGCTGCATCCAACGCCATGCACCACCCGCCATGTCCAATTCACACTTTGCCAATAAATGTTCCTGATTCCTGATCTGTGTCTCTGCAGGACACCGTGTCGGAGAGAGAGTGCTGCAATGTCATGTGTAAATGTTCGGGACATGAAGGCATCCGAGGCTCTCGGGGCCCCCCGGGGTCAAAGGTTAATTTAATTAATTTATTATTATTCGATTCTTATTTATTTTTATTTTATTACACATGATATATATGTATATATTAGGGCTGTCAATAGATTAAAAAAATGTAATTAATCTCGATCAATGGCGATTAATGTTGTTGTTGTGACAATGTTGTTATAATGAAAGTTTATTTTTCTTCTATAGACTACATCTTAAAAGTAATGAGTAATCACTTAAGATTTGTTTAATTGTTATTTCAAACACAAAACTACAAACATTTGATCATCTTGGAGGCAGAATTCCACCTGGTGGAACATGTTGAAATAGCGACTCTTCCAGCTAGCTTAGCCTAGCAGCTAGCTTAACATGGCGGCGATTAAGTGGTCCGTTTGACTCTCACTCCCCTTCTATTTGACACGTGGAGTCATTCCTCTGCACAGTTCTCTGCTGTGTGCCTCTGCTTTACTTCCAATGCAAAAAGCTTCTCCATCTTTATGTGACTGACTGCAGGCCGTTTCGTTTCCGCGGTCAAACCCCACGGTCTTAGACCGTATATGTATATATATATATATATATATATATATATATATATATATATATATATATATATATATTGTTTATATACTGTACCCTATATACTGTATCTTATATATATATATGTATAAATACGTATTTATTATTATTATCATTCATATTTTTTTTCACTTATTTTATTCTATTTCTATTTATTTTCATATTCTATTCTATTCTGGTGAATCAACCTCATCAATGAGTCAAATGATCTCCATCCTGGTCCCTCATTGGATATCTGATGGAGCTGCTGGTCTTCAGGTGGACAGTCGAGTTGGTTCTGCTGTCTTCTGAGTTTCTGCAGTAGTCTTCGATGAAGCAGAGACGCGTCCTCCTGATACTGCTGTCTCTCTGTCCTCTGCCAGGGTTTGTCTGGACAGAAAGGTTTCCCCGGGTTCCCAGGAGATGAAGGAGTCGCTGTAAGTGTTTCTTCTTCACTCTCATTCACTGTGAACTTCATCTTCATCTGTTGAAGGCTGCAGTTCACTGGAGATCCTGAGGAGTTCTTTAGGTCTAGTAGGTCCTCTGAATTCAATTAGTCCAGGAAGTGGACTAGCAGCTGAACTCCTTCAGAACAAAATGTCCTTTTATTCACTACATCTCCTCCCCCCTCCCTCCGCACCCCCTTCTCCTCTCCCTGCTCTACATCTGCCTTTTTCTTAACCTCCTCCTCTTCCTCTTCTTCCACTTTCTCCTCCTCACCGGTTGTGTGTGTTGCAGGGGGAGCGTGGTCGTCCTGGACCGTCTGGACTTCAGGGGGTTCAGGGTTGTTCTGGTCTGAGAGGATCAAAGGTATGTCGCCCCTCCCTGTGATGATGATGATGATGATGATGATGATGATGATGATGATGAATGATGTCTATCTCTACAGGGCTACCGAGGTCTCCGTGGTAACAGGGTAAGTGACCCGGGTGAGTTTACATGATGTCAAGTGATGAGATGTTCAATCTGCTGGTAGTTGACTTGTTTCTGTGGTTACAGGGAGAACAAGGAGAAGATGGGCTGGACGGAGTCCACGGAGAACAGGTGATCGATGAAGAGCAGCTGATGAAGTTGATCATTATATTATATGAATATATTAGAGTTCATAATTATATTATTGTATTAACTTATATATTAATATTATATTACATTACCATATGGTATTATATTACATTTAACAATACGTAATTATGTTATATTATAATACGGGTAGATGAAATCCAGCGTTCTGATTGGTTGAGAGTGAGTCACGAGGGGCACATTACTGCACGATAATGTAAAGCACCTGTTCACATTGACCCGAGTGTTCCGTATCACTGCGCACCCAAAGTAACAGGTTAGATTTTGCGCGACCGTTAGTGGACATTTTAGCTTTTGGCTCGATGGCGATCGCCGAGAAAAACCCACAAATTATCATTTTGGGGCAATGCGAGCTTTCGCAACGGGACGATTAAGGTGGACGTCATGAGCGATGTGGATGAATGAGATGCTGCAAGACACAATGCTGTTTACGTGCACGTACAGGGACTATTTTTTCTCTAACCTATTGAAATGCGATACACAACGTTTGGTGGCTGATACTATTTTGTGCTGAAAGGCAGCTATTTACTTACTATTTATGATTTTGCTGGTAACCGTAATATAAAAGCAATAAGGTACCTGAGGCAGCACTTTATCTCCAATGATGTAACCACGCCCCCGAACTGTTACACTATTGGACGATAAAGTACAGCCTCTCGTACCTTATTGCTTTATTATACAATAATATTATTTGAGTATAATATAATATTGCATTACATTACATTTCTACCATATTCCATTTTCATATACCATATTCCATATTCCATTTTCATATATTATTTATTTATTTATATTTTATTATAAGATATTATCCAAAATCAAATAAATATCTGGCTTTAAAGCTGAACTTTAGAATGACAACAGGTGAGCGCTGTGTACAAGGAACCAGCTGAGCGTGGGAATCTCCGGTCCTGAGCTGGTTCTGGTTCTGTGTCTGCAGGGACGGACGGGACAGGATGGAGGTCGAGGACCGAGAGGAGACTCAGGAAATCCAGTAAAACAACATCTTTTTCTTGTTTTCTTCTCCTGGTTATCAAATCAGAGAACTCAGATGAATGGCACCCATTGACCTCTGACCGCTGGAGTGACAGGTTGCCCTTTAATCCTTCAGGGTATTCCGGGAATCAGAGGGGAGGCGGGGATCAAAGGACAACAAGGACTCAGAGGAGATCCGGTGAGTTTTTCTCTCTTTGCCATTAAATACGTTCAATGTCACGTCCGACTGTTAGCTTAGCCTATCCTAGCTTAGCCTAGCTAAGCAGGGAGCAGGTGAGTCCATAGATATATATAAAGGCTAGATGTCTTATGGTAGAGTCTAGAACAAACCAATTTGGTTTGTTATAAAAGTCACAGATGCAGTTATGACACTGCATACTTATGTAATGTTAATAATGTTATATTTAATATTATTTTCATATGGTTATAATTATAATTATTCAAGTAAGTGTCTTAAATACACGTCTGTACATTTGGTGGGGATTTCAACATTCAGCATTTTTTGATGTATATTTGTAAAGGTAAATCTTGTACATATTTTTAGAACATTAAACTATTTTTTTAATGTATATATATTATAACTACATCTCGGATGTTTATAACCAACCAAACCGTTTAAAAATCGGAAAAAAAGCAAGATGTAGCAAGATGGCCGCCATGTGCGGACGTTCGACTCCGTTGGCCGGCAACGCGGACGAAACATCTAGCCTTCATATATATATATATATATATATATATATATATATATATATATATATATATATAGTGACATTGAGGGACTCAGTCATATATATATATATATATATATATATATATATATATATATGACTGAGTCCCTCAATGTCACTAGAACCTAGAACCCTCAGAACCAAATGACGCAGGCCGAGACATTACGGGAAAGAATAAGGAGAGGACATTCTGCCGCCTGTGCATCACTTTGACTCGTCTCCAGCAAAACGTTGTGGTGATTTGTTTCTGCTGATGAGACACAAACACAGCTGCAGAAAGTCAACAGTGAAGATCTCTGTGTTGGTCTTCAGGGCGCACCAGGTGCAGACAACACCAGACCAGGAGCCAAAGGAGAACCGGGGAACCCTGGATTACCGGTAGGAATCTGTCCAGTGTGTGTGTGTGTGTGTGTGTGTGTGTGTAAAGACATTAATAAATAATTAATTGAGTCTGTTCTCAGGGATCTTCTGGACAGGACGGACGGCCAGGGGAGAGTGGAGTGGTCGGGATCCAGGTGACCCTTATAACCCCATATTAACATTATTATCAAAGACATTATCATTACCGTCGTTATAGTTCTAATCATTATTATTATATAACTCTGGCCCAACTTCAAATGGCCCTGCACCCCAAAGGACGCAAGGGACAAGTTTTTTTTAGATTCCGTTGTTTGGTGGGTTCGTCGGGTTGGAAAACCTTCAAAACACAAAAAGGGAAATACATCATTTCAACTTAACAAATAATCATCACAATAAGAAACAACAAAACAAAAGTTACTGTACCGGTGGCGTCTTTGGATTTACCGTGAGTAGTTTTTTTGCTTCTCTCTCTGCTGAGATGTTTGCTGAGACCTGCCATTCACAGGTGTACCTCTACTGGCCTGCTGATGGTGCATTCTGGGACTTGCTGTTTCTTTTGGTGCAAAGTTAGCTGATGTAAAAAGCTTGAAATGTTCTTTTTTACTTCAACATTCACAGTTACTAAAGAAATTGTCATTATTATTAATATCATGACATAATTACTATTATTAACATTATGATTATTCTAATTAGTAACCTATAATAAGTAATAATAATATCAATACAATATTAACATTATTAATATTATTAGTATTGTCATTATTCTTATTATTTGCATCATTGTTGTCATTATTACACTACATTATAACTTTATTGTTGTTATTTAGAATACTATTATTATTAATAGTATATATGATAATAGCACTATTATTAGTACTATTGTCATAAATGTAGATATTGATGAATTGATAATGAATATATGATTTTTTGTGTTCAGGGTCCAAATGGAAGAAGAGGAGCGATTGGTGAGAAGGTACGAGATGATGAAGAGGAGGAGCTCTACTCAGTGCTGCTCTCACACAAACACACACACATCCTGTTTACATTGTGCGCATGTGTGTGTGGTTCTCCTCCTGCAGGGGATTCCTGGAGGACCAGGAACCTTTGGAGTCCCGGGAACCTCCGGTGCTTCAGGTCCTCAGGTGGGTGATGACATCATGAAATCAGTTATGCTGGCAGTCAAGCCCCCCATCAGAGGTCTAAACAGTTGTGTGTGGTCTCTGCAGGGTCCCAGAGGGGTCAGAGGTCAACCTGGACCGAGAGGGGTCACTGGACTTCCTGGTCCCCAGGTGAGATCACAATAGGTGTTCCCTCAACAAATGACAAGAAATTAACTTCTGATTAATAAAAATAATCATTATTTTAGAAGTCATCAAAGAGTCTGAGAACAATTCAAAATAATATGTTAATGAATGAATTGGTGCCGGGCAACAAGTCATTTTCTGTGATTAATAGCATTGTAATGCACAACAATGAATTCAAAAGGAGTGTACTTTTATTAAGTATTAATATATAATCCCCTTTCAGAGGGTGTAGATGTTGTACTTCAGTCTGCGGAAGTACAATATCTCGTAGTACTTCAGGCACGTACTATAATAAATATATAAATAATAAATATATTAATTTCACTATAATTAATATCACACAACATAGTTACATTTACAACTGACATCTGATCTGGTCTGGTCACCTGATCATTTTTGCTCAGAGCCCCCCCCCTGTTTTAGCATGTTTATCTTGGTCCATGACTTGTATGTGTGTCAATTGTCCTGTTTTGATGATTTTACACCTGTGTCGAGTGAGAATCTTTCTAACATAATCATTGGGTGAGGTGTGTGGTGATGCATTCAGGGACCCTGAGTGTTGTTTTCTGTGCAGGGAGGACCAGGAGCATCTGGAGCGCCGGGGTCAGTCGGACGACAAGGAGCCAACGGACAGAAGGTTTGTGACTTGATGACTTTCTTAACATCACGGATCAGATTAAGTTAAATCAGATAACATTGGATTAGAGTTTAGAATAGACAGGGTACGTACACATTTTGACCAATTTCCATGACCAAAAATGTAGTATTTAAACTTACAATGAGAATACCAAAGCAGACAGTGTTTCCCCTACCATTCAATTGTTTACAATTATCCCCTATGGGTGAGTATCGTTTGGGGTTTTCCTGATACCAGTGCTAAAACAATGCTTTTATTTACCGGTGCCTAGACAGTGCCTTCTTTGTTTAACTTCAAATGATGGACAATACATGAAGTGTTAACAGTTTACAGTATATGTACCAGTTACCAGTTGGGAATCTTGTCTCCTGGATACAATGATAGTCATCAGTAGACGTCATGTGGTTCTATTCAGCGTCTTCTGATGACAAACTCTTGTTGTTGTTGTTGTTGTCCACATCATTGTTGATGGTGTTTGTAGATATCATTTTTGTTGTTGATGTCATTGTTGTTGAAGATGTCATTGTTGATGATGATGATGATATCATTGTTGATGATGCTGAAGGGCCAGCCAGGAGACCCAGGTGATACAGGTGCTCCAGGCTCCCAGGGATCCAGAGGAATGCCGGTGAGCAACTAAAATACACAGGGGCAAAATTGCCCCAAAGAAATATAATTTTGGCCCTGTGGGTGGGTTGCCGGCCCTCCACTTTGCGTCGGGCCTAACAACTCCCCCGAACTGTTACATTTTAGGACAAGTACAGCCTCTCGTACCTTATTGCTTATTGCTATTCCTTTTTCTCCCCATCAAATGCTTTTTCCTTGGGGAGTCTTTCCTGTGTCAATGTGAGGGTTTTGGGACAGAGGATGTCACATGTGTACAGACTGTAAAGACCCCTGAGGCAAATTGGCAATTTTGGGCTATAGAAAATAAAATTAATTGAATTGAATATTTCGAGGGCTACAAGCCCACCAGTATCGTGTATGGTAAAATGTATAGGCTCATTTGAAGTGCCTCATCACTCTAATCCATCACATTATACTTCTTTAAATGTGCCTGTTGCCAGGAAGCTTAATGGAATCCTTTGAATCAAATGAAAAAAAATATCTCACAATTATCTCAATTTGTTCAGAATAAGTAGATTTGGAAAAATCTATCCAGCTTAAATCAGCCTACGCTGGACCAGTTTCAAGTTTTTAGATGTGTTTCTATGCTGATTTTGCCAAACTTGCGTTGTGGAACCGAAAAGCTTGATTTATGTAATCTTATCCTAAAAATTATCTTGCTGAGTTAGCCACGTACGAGGAATGGGACCGTGGTGTTTAATCACCTGAACATACCTGTCTGGATTGTGTTTGTGAACACGATGTAAAGTGTGACCTCCTCCCTCTCAGGGTCAGGACGGTAAAGACGGTTACGGCCCTGCAGGACCTAAAGGAGTGAAGGTAAGAACCTAAAGGAGTGAAGGTAGGGACCAACATGATGGAAGGTAGGGACCTAATGGAGTGAAATACCTAAGTGATGGAAGGTAGGAGTGAAAGTAAATGAGTGAAAGTAGGGACCTAATGGAGTGAAAGACCTAAGTGATGGAAGGTAGGGACCTAATGAAGTGAAGGTAGGGACCTAATGGAGTGAAATACCTAAGTGATGGAAGGTAGGGACCTAATGAAGTGAAGGTAGGGACCTAATGGAGTGAAATACCTAAGTGATGGAAGGTAGGAGTGAAAGTAAATGAGTGAAGGTAGGGACCTAATGGAGTGAAGGTAGGGACCTAATGGAGTGGAATACCTAAGTGATGGAAGGTAGGGACCTAATGAAGTGAAGGTAGGGACCTAATGGAGTGAAATACCTAAGTGATGGAAGGTAGGGACCTAATGAAGTGAAGGTAGGGACCTAATGGAGTGAAATACCTAAGTGATGGAAGGTAGGAGTGAAAGTAAATGAGTGAAGGTAGGGACCTAATGGAGTGAAAGACCTAAGTGATGGAAGGTAGGGACCTAATGAAGTGAAGGTAGGGACCTAATGGAGTGAAAGACCTAAGTGATGGAAGGTAGGGACCTAAATGAGTGAAAGTAGGGACCTAATGGAGTGAAAAACCTAAATAGAGTAAGGAAGGGACCTAAATGAGGGACGGTAGAGGCCTAAGGCATTCAAGGTAGGGACCTAAAGGAGTGAAGCGTCTGATGAAATAAACTCACACCTAGTCCAAGTTAATCATCTTCTTGTTACAGGGAGATGCTGGTTTCCCAGGTTACGCCGGTCTGCTGGTGAGTAGATATTTAACACAATTACATCAATTTCAACTGCCACATCACGCTAGTGCGTCATGTGACTCAAAGAACTTTTATTCATTTCAAAAGCAAACCGTCCGTCAATCAGTGTCTGGAGGGAAAAACCCTGAGAGCTTGAATCTTACAATGACTGTAAGTTGTAACGAGGTGTTTGTGTTCAGGGTGAGGACGGCCTTCATGGACCTAAAGGACATCCGGGACGTAAAGGGAACCGAGGACGAGGCGTGAGTTTTTGACCTTTATTTCCCTGCTGTGAGTGATTCCTTCATTCAGCTGCGGTAAACTGCGTCACGTTCCAGTTTTCACTTTGTCTGTGTTTTATTCAGGATCAGGAATTAGGAATCAGGAAACATTTATTACCAAAATATGCCAAACATACAAGGAATTTGTCTTTGCGGTTGGTGCGCGACAGTAGACAGCGTGACCATAGACAAGACAGCAGTGCACAAGTAATAAAATAAAGTAAAATGAAATGCTAATGCAATGAGTTAGTAGAATAACTTCTCGTTCACTGCTCCTAACTTCCTGTAGTGGGTGCTGCTGAAAACACAGAGGACAGGTGTCCTCTACCCTAACCCTGACAGATCACTGTAATATCAAATTGTCTTTGGCTAACAACTAGCAGCCGACATTTAATGAAAAAATACACACAGCTGGCTGCATCACTGCCGCCACAATCTAACAGGTACCCAAACTGTGGGTTTGATCTCTGCAGGGAAACTCAGGCAGGCTGGGAGAATCAGGCATGTCTGGAGAACCAGGATATCCAGGTCACAGGGTGAGTTATCATCGTCATCATCACCGTCAGCATGAAAACAAGACACTTCATTCTTTTTTACTAAGAATAATGATTGTAAGATTCAATTATCATAAAAGTGAATAGATGCAATACCACCCAAAGAAGGATATCTTTGTGTGACACATACCACCTTAAGACCTGAAACATTTGTAATATTCTGTAATATTCACCGACCGTTTGAAGAGACATTAAATGTCTTCTCTTCTGCTCTTTCAGGGTCCCAGGGGTCTTCCTGGAGAAAGAAACATGACTGTAAGTCCACCTGAAAAACTCACTTCAGCTGCCAACGTTACGTGACATGAATCATTTTGCTGTGCTGTCTTTTCTGGATGTCTTCTGTGTTTTCTCAGGAGTGTCAGCTGATTACCTTCATCAGAGACAACTGTGGTGAGTCAACAAAGATGAGCAGGAAACATAATGCTCTGTTTTCATTGTTTGTATCATAAGTTATGTTTCGTTTTCCTCCCCAGCTTGTTCGCTCGGTACGTACCTCCACTCTAACTATCTCAGAAGGGGTCTGGTGAGTACAGAACAAATCTATATCATCACCACCCCTTCAGTCAGGGCAGGACAAAGGTTACAGAAGTTCTAAAAGCAGAGTTCCAGAGAAACTCTATGTGAGACCAGTGGGTTCAGGGGACAAAACCATCAGGGAGGTTCATGGAACGAAACCACTACAATAAAACCACAAATTTTTTCTAACCAACATTGCCGAACTCTCCGTTGGTGTTCAGGTCAGCTAGAGTGCCCTGCCTACCCCACCGAACTGGTCCTGGGTCTGGACATGTCGGAAGACGTGACCCCGGCAGCCTTCGAGAGGCAGCGCTCCGTCCTTTTGTTCTTGCTGAAGGACATTGCCGTTTCCGAGAGCAACTGTCCGACGGGCGCTCGCGTGGCTGTGGTAGGTTACAGCAGCTACACCAAGTACCTGATCCGCTTCCATGATTATCGTAGCAAGACCCAGCTGATTGAGTCGGTGAAGAACATTGCCTTGGAGAGGACATCCAACAGGCGCCAGCTCGGTGCCGCAATGCGTTTTGTGGGTCGGAATGTCTTCAAGCGTGTCCGAGCGGGAATGATGATGAGGAAGGTGGCCGTCTTCCTCTCTAACGGGCCGTCGCAGGATGTCGAAGACATTGTCACCGCTGTAATGGAGTACCAGGCCCTCGGCATCGTGCCGGCAGTCATCTCTTTGAGGAACGCTCCCACTGTTGGTCGAGCCATGGAGGTAGGTTTGGATCAAACTACAGTATTAAAGTCACGTCTCTTTCTTTTATCACAAAAATCCAGAAAGATTTGTGAACTGATAAATGACCTGTGCGCCTCCTTAGGTCGACGACTCAGGACGCTCCATCTTCATTGTTCTGGGTAGAGATATGGTTGTTGACCTGAAGAAGGTCCAGAGCTGTGCCATCTGTTATGGTGAGCTGAGGATGAGTATCATAACCATTGGCTCATTTACTACTTATTGTCCTACAACTATCCAGATCTATAGTAAGATAACTAGGCTGCTTCTTTATGAGGGTTGTCGGTTCTTGTTTCTCTAGATCCCTGCCAGCGTCCGGACCAGTGCCCCTTCATCCAGGAACCAGTGCGGCCTCAGGAGGTTGACATGGACCTGGTCATGGTGGCGGACGGCTCCAGGGAGATGCAGGCTGACGAGTACCGCGGCGTCCAGCAGCTGCTGGGCTCTGTGTTGGAACAGCTGGTCGTAAGTCCTCAGCCCCGCAGGGCGGGCAACCAGGCCCGGGTGGCTGTGGTCCAACAGAGCGGCGCCCAGGACATCAAGGTAGCGTTTGGCTTCGGGACCTACCAGACCAGCGCGCTGATGAGGAACCACCTGATCCGAAACATGACGCAGCGGGGGGGTTCGTCAGCGCTTGGACGGACACTGGAGTTCACCTTGCAGGAGGTTCTCCTGAAGGCCGGACAGCCCCGGAGGAGGAGGGTGCTGCTGACTGTGGTCGGAACCAAGACATCGGTAGGGGACCGAGCCAAGCTGCGCTACATTTCCCAGAAGGCCAAGTGTGAGGGGGTGGCGCTGTTCGTGGTTACGGTCGGGGGTCGCTACGACCGGACGCAGATGGAGGAGCTGGCCAGTCCGCCTGTTCATCAGCACCTGATCCACATGGGCAGTCTGAAGGCTGAGGAGCAGGGCTACGCCCAGCGCTTCTTCAGAGTCTTCCTCTCCGCCCTCAACAGTAAGACCACACGTCCAATCAAATCAGCTTGTATAAAGGAATACCAAATATCATAAAGCTTCTTTCATTCATATTGGTACTTCACTCCCTTCAGAATGAAACTGTTTATAACAGGTTTTGTGTTATTTTGACATTACTGCCAATCACATTAATGTTTGGATGTTTATTTCAGAGGGAATGAACACATATCCTCCTCCGTCTTCAAAGTGGACATGTGAGCAGCTCACAACACCAAATGGGGAACAAATATTAATTAACAGGTAACATAAGGCCATGATTCTATATATTTCTGTACTGTGTGTATTTGTCGTGTTTATTGTGGGTCGTCGTGGCGCAGGCGTTAGAGAAGGTGTGCTGGGAAGCACAAGGTTGGTGGTTCGATTCCAGGCTGCCCCATGTTCCATGTCGAAGTGTCCCTGAGCAAGACACCTAACCCCTAATTGCTCCCTGGGCAAAAATGTGAAAAAGCCATGAGTTTAAAGTGTGATGTAAGTCGCTTTGGATAAAAGCGTCTGCTCAATGACCTGTAATGTAATGTAATGAGATGAGAATGTTTAGTTTCATTTGTAACAGAAGGATCAAACGCTGCAGTCTTCTCTGAGGACACAAGGACAGCACAGGCTGTAATTAATAAAACTAATGCTCGCTAAAACGCTGTATGCAGTCAGGCGACGGCATTGGTGAACGAGGAAGCGCTCTGGGACAACCAGAGGTTCCAAGAGCAGATGGGAGGACGAACTCAGACGAGCCAGCTGGACGTCAAGGACGGTTGGACCAGAGGAGACAGACTTGTCTCCCTGTCCCACGGTAGTCAACATACCCAACCACACACAGTCGCCTTCTATAAACAACGATCCTCTACTCTCTTGCTCAGCCAAACACAGACGTGCTGTGATAAAACAACCAGAGGTCCTTTGGTTCAAAAAAGGTTCATTTATCAGTCATGCAAAAAAACATGCAACCATTTTCAATTTGGATCTTTCCCAAACATTTTGTGTGACAATCATCGATAGGTAGAGGATTCTGGGTGGTTTATTTATAAAATCCTTCATGACGTCACATCCCCACTGTCTTTTTATTGAGCATCCGAACTAACGACAAGACATAAAAAAGTCCAACTACATAGCTCATGTGGAACTATGGCTGATGACACTTTATGACACACTATAATATACATTTTTATGTCATTTACAACATAATATACCATGACTTTTCCTTTTGCTTATTTCTCGCCATTTTACGACTTTTTTTACAAATCAGTTTTAAGGAAATTGCTGTAGTATGAATATAAATTACATTTTTAACAACATTTCGAAAATTCCTACCATGTATTTACCCCCACGGGCATACTTTTTATTTCTAGCTGTACAGCCTGTTGATCACATCACTTGTTTCATTGTGGTGGTGCCTGGTCTTTGCTCTATTTTAACACTTTCTTCCTGTCATATTAAACACTGACATGTGGTACGTTTGTCTGCATGAGCTTTCCTGAAGCAACATGTCGAACTTAACAGCATTCAGATGAAAGGATCACAATGAGGAGCCTTAGCAGATTGTCCCTGTAGTAAATGTGTGTGTTCTGCTTTCAGCCCAGTGTCAGCTGGCTGCAGATACTGGCGTCCCGTGTGAGGACTTTGTCCAAGTGTGGTTCTTTGACGTAGCCATCGATGCATGTTCTCCCTTCTGGTTTGGCGGCTGCGGCGGTAACGCCAACCGCTTTAACACTGAGATTGAATGTTTCCGGACATGTGGCTCTCGCAGTAAGTCCTGACTGACAGAACGTCACCGCTTCCTGTCTCGTCTTCTCATATCGTCTTATAACATTTAATATGTTATGCTGCTTGCTACTCTTTATCTCTATCACAATTGTCAGCAACACTGGAAACAACAGAAACACGTTAAACTGTTTTTCAGTTTGAACGCAGCGGGTCAAAATAACTATAACGAGTAAACTAAACTAGAAATTCAGCATACAGAAGATTCCTCTCTAATCAATAAACACACAGTAAACATACTGCGATGCTGCTGTTGAGTTAACAGTCAACTTGTTCCAGGTCCGAACACCCAGCCGACTCCGGAGCTGCCCAGCTTTGTCTCCAAAGGTACAAACTTTGTTTTATCTCTTTGACTACAAAGGAAACAGAACTCTTCCACATAAATATTCATGGCCTGTCTTCCTGCAGGCCCCTGCCTTCTCAGCCAGGACCAAGGCAGCTGCCAGAACTACACCATGATGTGGTTCTTCGACAGCCAACAGAGGGAATGTTCTCGCTTCTGGTTCGGCGGCTGCGGCGGCAACGAGAACCGTTTCAAGACTCAGGACGAGTGTGAGAACGTCTGTGTGATGAAGAGTCGTGAGGAGGACGAGTCACAACAGTATCCATCGTCCAGGAGACACTTGGACACCATATAAAACCTTTATTCACCACTGAGGCTTTCTTTCAAACCGCCCACTAGTTTCTGTTTCACAACTTGGATTAGGCCAAGACCTGTTTTCCTCCTGAACATCTGTTCTGTTGACCCTTTGACCTCCTTTTGACCTGTCTGTTGACCCTTAGAAAGGAAATGAATGTTTGACAAATCTTAAATGTAATTAAAGATTCAGTTTATTGTAAACCGTTGTTAAACTGTACTCTTAGGATGGTCCTTCTCTCCAATTCTTAAAGTTTTAATAATGTAAGATATGAAAGCCTTATTTTGGACAATTTATTGGACCATTTTGTAGTAAATGTGTTTGTGACTCCAGAGATCCGATCAAACATGTCAGAGCTTGTTGCATCTCACGTTACATTTAATGTCAACAAATGGATCCAGCTTAGAAAATAAGAACCAGAACTTCCCTCAATAAAGTTCCAAAGATCAAAGTGGATCTTTAGTTTATTCCATAAGCACCAAGATGACGAAGCAAAGATAATTTCTGTCTGTGTGTCGTTTATTAAACTGACTAAAAATGCTTCATGTGAGAAAAACTGCTTGTTTGTTAATGGAGAACAATTAGTTTATAAATCACTGTGTAACAATAAAACGGCAAACTAATGCATATGGGTCAATAATGAGATGTAAACAATATGAGAATAGATTTAATATTTAACAGTTTGACATGAAATCAGTCGCATGATTCATCTTCAGCAACAAAAAATGAATTTACTACAAACTTTAAAATAAAGTATTTACCGACAGAAAGACTTAACTATATATATTACAGTCCCCTCCAAAAGTATTGGAACGCTACGGCAAATTCTTTTATTTTTGTTGTTCACAGAAGACATTTGGGTTTAGGATCAAAAGATGAGTATGAGACAAGAATGTCAGCTTTATTTCCTGGTATTCACATCTAGACGTGTTAAACAACTCACGACATCCCACCCGTTGTTTGAACACACCCATTTGTCAAGTGAGCAAAAGTATTGGAACACATGACTGACAGGTGTTGCCTTTTAGGTTGGTTGTCCAAACGTGAAATAGCTCTGCATGACTAGTCCAAGTTCAAACCCATCAGGACTGCATCTCCTGTTCAAGAGGATAAACCAACATGAAGACCAGAGCGGCCTTTGGGAGAAAAGAAGGAAAGTCGATCAGAGTCATTGGACAAACATTGGGCATAGCAAGCACAACTATTTGGAATGTCCTGAAAAAGAAAAACTACTGAGTAAGCGATGTCGAACAGGTCGGAAAACAACAGTAGTTGATGACAGAAGTATCGTGAGAGCTGTGAAGAAAACATCAGTAAGTGACCTCACACAGTGCAGAGGTGAAGGAATCACAATCCACTGTTAGAAGACGACTCAGAGAGCAGATACATAGAGGCCACACCACGAGATGCAAACCACTCAGCAGTCACAATCCGAAGGCCAGATTGGAACTTGCAAAGAAGTACAGAGATGAGCCGCAAAAGTTCTGGAACACAAGCTTATGGACCGATGAGACCAAGATGAATCTCTACCAAAGTGATGGAGAAAGAAATGATCCGAAGCATAAAAGCTCCTCTGTGAAGCAACGTCACGGCTGCTTCTGGAACCGGCTCATTGATATTTATTGATGACGTACCGGATGATGGCAGCAGCAGAATGAATTCAGAAGTGTACAGAAACATTTTGTCTGCCAATTTACGGAGAAATGCATTGAAACTGATCGGGAGGAAGTTTATCATGCAGCCGGACAACGACCCAAAGCACACTGCCAACAAAACAAAGGACTTTTAGACTGGCCAAGTCAATCACCCGACCTTCACCCAATAGGGCGTGCATTCCACCTCCTTAAGAGGAGACTGAAGGGAGAAACACCCCAGACAAACAAGAACCAAGAGACGCTGCGGTAAAAGCCTGGAACAGCATTGTTTGGTGATGTCGACGGGTCGTTTTTGCAAGCAAGGGTTATTTACTTTAAGATTATTTGTTCCAATACTTTTGCTCACTTGACAAATGGGTGTGTTCATACAACAGGTGGGATGTCATGAGTTGTTTAACACGTCTAGATGTGAATACCAGGAAATAAAAGCTGACATTCTGAACTCTTGTCTCATACTCATCTTTTGATCCTAAACCCAAATGTCTTAAGTGAACAACAAAAATAATACTTTTGGAGGAGACTGTATATAATGTATCAGGATAGTTATAAATAATAGAGGATCATTTATGGTTTCTGTATTGAATATGCCTCCTTTAAATATGAATACAATAACAAACTGGTTAACTTTAGAACAAGGTTCTGGAACAGAAGTCTAATAACAGCGTAATAATTAGAAACACGATAATTCAAACACAATGAAGAGACGTAAATAAGACATCAGACTTTATTAAAAACGACTAAACTTATTGTGAATATTTCATCTGTGGCCTGAAATGAACGGAAAGTCACTGACACTGTGTGACCTGTGACCTTTGACAGGAAGCTACCCGTGACCCATGTGTGAGGTGGGGGGTCGTCACTTCCACACCTTAACGATTCCGTCCCTGGAAGAGGTGACGATGAAGCCCTGCGTGGTCTGGAAGGTGGCGATATCAGTGATGATGTCATGGTGGCCCACAGGGAGGGATTCTGGGCCGCGGCGGGGCGAGTCCTCCACTGCGCCGCTCTTCTGTTTGCTGTGGATCTCCTGCAGAGGTCAAGGGTCAGAGAGGGGATGAAGCATTCAGATGGTAGAGGCACAATCCAACCTGGTTAACATGTTAATACAATTCAATAAAACAAAGTTAAATGAATACAGGTCAAAGTTTATGAAAATAAATAAAAGGGCAAATGAAATGTCTCTTTACATCGTACAACGTGTGTCCAATGTATAATAAAGTTCAACATCATATGATAAGGTGTAATAACTTTAAATACTGTACAATGTGCCTGTAATAATATGTAATGTATAGTAATATTTAATGATAATATTGTGTAAAAATGCTGCTAAAACACGTGCAACATGACTGAACTAAAAACTAAAAACAGGATATGTGGTTGCAGCTTCCAATCTCAAATCACTTGCATAAGCACAAATCAGACCAATCAATCAATCATCGGTGCCATATTGGGACCTATTCTTGGTACCCAACCCTAATCGCATCAGACCAAAGTGTTAATGTTCTGCTTCACTAAGAACAGAATACAACTCTAATGATATGAATAACAGGAGAAGCTCACCTGGACAACTTCAGTGCCTTCAATGATCTTCCTGCTGTAGAGGACCGAAGGACAGTGCAGCGAGTCGTTGGCTCCTCCGACCACGATGTAAGACCTCTCAGGATAGGCCAAATCCCAGAACCTGAAGACGACAACAACAGCAACCACAAAGGTCCTTGATTTTCAAAGGAACACAATCCCACCTTCCCCCATCACCCTGTGTGACTCCCCCGTCACTATTGTGGACTCCTTCCGTTTCCTGGGCTCCATCATCACCAGGACCTCAAGTGGGAGCTGAACATCAGCTCCATCACCAAGAAGCTCAGCAGAGGTTGTTCTTCCTGAGGCAGCTGAAGAAACTCAACCTGCCAAAGACGATGATGGTCCACTTCTACACGGCCATCATGGAGTCCGTCCTCTGCTCCTCCATCACCGTCTGGTACGCTGCAGCCACAGCCAAGGACAAGGGCAGGCTGCAGCGTGTCCTCCGCTCTGCAGAGAGGCTGATCGGCTGCAATCTGCCGTCCCTGCAGGACTTTGAGACGGGCAGGACAGATTGAAGCCGACCCCTCACCATGGACTCAGGCTCTTTGAGTCCCTTCCCTCTGGCAGAAGGTTGCGGTCCATCAGGACCAAGACCTCTCACCATAGAAACAGTTTTTTCCTGTCAGCAGTTGGTCTCTTGATCCAAGACCGTGTGACCCAAATACTTCATCTCTGGAACATGCAGTGGTTTCTCTCACCATGGAGACATATGGACATAGATACATGTTTTAACATACTTATTGGTTTATATAGTTAATTATTGCTTCTATATTTTTTATCTTATTCTTATATTGCACAAAAACTCTAATTACTTTATATGTAACACATGTGGCTATAAATGGCTTCGGATTCTGATTTGTCAGAAACTAAGTCGTCCTCACGCCTCATTCATTCCTTTTCTGAATAGATGATTCATATTAAATCAATGATCAGATCCCCTGTTGACAGTTAATGAACCCTGATTGTATGAAAGCTATTGATTGTGTTTTGTGTGTAGTGTTGTTGTGGTTCAGACCTGATCCTCATGTCCGACCCGGCAGTCAGCAGCAGGGGGTTCCCATCAGCAGGACTACAATAGATCCCATGAACGCTGTGAGGGGACGGCTGCAGACACACAACTTATAAGCTTTCTGCGTTTTAAACAATCCTGCTGCTTTGGAAACAATGTTTCTTTATTAAAGCTGACTGGTGTCACACACACACACACACACACACACACACACACACACACACACACACACACACACACACACACACACCTGCATCTCGGAGAGTGGGGGCGCAGAACTCGCCCACAGGGTGAATTTACGATCTCCGGTTTCCATGTCCCACATGGACACTTCATTATTCCCCTGGACAGCTGCACACAGACAGAGAGACATCACATTGATTGATTATTACATCACATGTCATCTAGCCGACCCTTTTATCCAAAGCGACTTACAATAAGTGCATTTCAACCACAGGGATACAAACTCAGTAGAACAAGAACTCCATCAAATAAGCAGATTTACAACTTGCAAAAGATAAGAGCCATTAGTAGTACAGTTTAAGTCTTTTTAAATAGATGTTTATATTTATATATAATTAATTAATATATATATATATATAATTAATTAATATATATATATATATATAATTAATTAATATATATATATATATATATAATTACATTTATAATATATGTAATATATTAATAATTCGAAATGAAACTGATGCTATCCCCTCACCTGCGATGATGGATGATTGGTAGAGTGGATGCATCAGCAGTCGTCTGATTCGTGCACGTGCAGGGTGGGAGTGGTTTGAGATGGGGAGCTGAAACCGCATATCCCAGCATGCCATAGTGCCACTGCTGGTACCTGTGGAGGAAAGAGGAAGATCTAAAACCTATGCCTAAATATATGGACTGATGGTTTTTAAATTTTTTTTAAATATTCAACCAATTTTTTTTTTGTCTTCAGAATGAGAATTGTATTTATTGTCTTTAAATACACATTAACATGAATCCAACATATTTGTAGCAAATGGAAAAATTGATGGAGAAGACGTTATCAGTCTCACAGCAGCTCTCAAGCTGGACACCGGTTCACTCACAGCTCCTTTCACGCTGATACGACATCCAGGCACCAGCCAATCAGATCCATTCATGCCGATACGACATCACGGGCACCAGCCAATCAGATCCATTCATGCCGATACGACATCACGGGCACCAGCCAATCAGATCCATTCATGCTCACGTCTAAAGAGCCAAGCTCCAAAATAAAAGATGGAGGACCAAACTCCGTAGAATACGGGGTCCCTGCTCCATCTCGCCATTACATTACATTACATTACATTACAGGTCATTTTAGCAGACGCTTTTATCCAAAGCGACTTACATTACACTTTAAACCCATGGCTTTTTCACATTTTTGCCCGGGGAGCAATTAGGGGTTAGGTGTCTTGCTCAGGGACATGGAACATGGGGCAGCTTGGAATCGAACCACCAACCTTGTGCTTCCCAGCACACCTTCTCTAACCCCTGCGCCACGACGACCATCAGTTTGGGGGTCCTAACCCTAACCCCCGTTGAAGAACCCTGATCTAACGGGTACATGATGCCAACCTGAACCTTAAAACCAACTAACTTGACCTTAAGACTATCGTCTGAAGAAAGACTGCCCTCACTTGAATAGCCTACCCTAAATCACAATCCCCACCATTTATTGCCAAGTATGTTGGACATACAAGGAACATGTCATGGCAGGTGGTGCATAACATTAGACAATAGTCCCCACAGACCTAGGCAGAGCCAGCACTGGTGCATGTCCACGCTGAAGGAGGTAATGAGTCCCAGGCGGAGGTCGTGCCTCAGCGTCCAGGCGTTGGAGTTGGAGCGAAGGTCCCAGCCGACCAGCGAGCCGTTGACGGTGGCGTAGGCCAGCACCGACTGGGCGCCAGAGTTGAAGTGGTGGATGTCCACCGCACAGCCGTCTTCCTGCGGGTCAAGTAACCTGAAGAGAGAGGACACGTGGTGTGACACGTCGTCGGGGCAGAGCAGAGACCTGTGGGTGTGGCTCACTTACCTTGTCTGGAAGGGCTGAACTTTGGGAGACTTGGGCGGTTTGTTTGCTTCCACTGCCAGCAGCTGGATGGATCCGTTGTCTGAAGCCACCGCCAGATAATGTGACCCCTGACAGAAGGTCAAGGTCTTCACGTGACCCCCGATACGGGAATAGGTCAAGACCGACCTGTGACAGCACACGTCAGCAATGTTAGAGTGAAGCACGAGTGAATGTGTTCACAGCCCTCAGCTTGTGGTCTCAAGTCTAGTATTTCAATAATGTGGGTTCTGGTCATGTGGTCTGTTGTTTTGGGTACCGTGGTCTTTGAGGTTGAGGTCTAGTGTTTTGATTACATGGACTCACGTCTATTGTTCACTAAAGTGGTTCTCTGGGGTTGTGGTCTAGTGTTTCAGTAAAGTGGTCTCTGGGGTTGTGGTCTAGTGTTTCAGTAAAGTGGTCTCTGCTTTTGGTGGACTGGTGTTTCAGTAACGGGGTTTCTGGTCTGATCTGTGGTCTTAAAGACTCACCTGGTGGTGGTGGTCTTTCCCTCCATCTTCTGACTGTCCCAGACCTTAACAGTTCCGTCATTGGAGGCCGTGGCGAAGATAGAGTGTTCGTCTGAGACTCTGATGCGGTTCACAGACGCTTTGTGCTCGTGGAGGTGAGCAACCAGCAGTCCTTTGGGGTGCCACCCTGAAACACGTACCACTTTGAATGAGAGCAATTACAGGATTGTCCTAAATTGGATCACATTTGACAGGTTCTCCTCTATGGAACGGGCCTGACAAGGGGACAGGTTCTCCTCTATGGAACGGGCCTGACAAGGGGACAGGTTCTCCTCTATGGAACGGGCCTGACAAGGGGACAGGTTCTCCTCTATGGAACGGGCCTGACAGGGGGACAGGTTCTCCTCTATGGAACGGGCCTGACAAGGGGACAGGTTCTCCTCTATGGAACAAGCCTGACAAGAGACAGGTTCTCCTCTATGGAACGGGCCTGACAAGGGGACAGGTTCTCCTCTATGGAACGGGCCTGACAATGGGACAGGTTCTCCTCTATGGAACAGGTATTCCTCGTGGAGTGTTCTGGTTCCTCCCCATGATACAGGTGAGCGAGGTTACCTGGTGGAGGAGGGCGACTCTCCCACTCTGCACTCTCCATCATCTGCTTGGCCATCCTCTCTGCGCTACACTGCTCCCTCTTCTGCTGCACCAGCTGCTGCAGCTCCACCTTGCAGGTGTTGATGCGTCGGTGGTAAGCGGGGCCGCTCGCCACAGACTGCAGGACGGGAACAGCTGGCACTGAGGCGCTTCTCAGGTTCTGACCCGCCGGCCCTTCAGCCGCCTGCGATCACAGTGGGTTTGTTAGTTACCGACTTCTGGATCCGGTTCAGGTAATCAACCAGAGCTCAAGGATCTCTTCATCAGATGGTTCTTAAATCATAAAACTCTGTGAACACGGCTACAAACGTCTACAAACACCTGTAAACGTGTATAATGACGGCCATGAACACGTGTTTGTAAACATGTCTATTAACATGCCCTAAACACGCGTGCTAACATTTTATACCACTCGTTTCCTGGAGGAACTTAAAGACAGAAGAGATACATGGTTCCTAATAGCTGCCTCCAGGAGGTTGTTGATTGTGAGAGGAACCCAAAAGCTCCAGACTGGCACTGCGTGGTGTTACCGTGGAGGGCGGTTCCTGAGACCCGAACATGCTCTTCCACTCCTCATTCATGGTGGAGTCCTGCTTGGTGTGCTTCCTCGCTGAAAGGCAAACAAACATGATGTTAAGTCTAGAAATGTCTGCTTCATGTTTAGATACGTTGAGATTGGCTCTAATGAAACAAGTTCTGCTTATTTGTACCAACTCTGGACCTCAGGGATTGAGATGTCCTAACATGTCATAGTCAGAGGTCCTTCAGGATCAGTGACATTATGAACCCCTTCGATTAGACTGTACATACCAGCAGATGCTGACGAGCTGATCATCAATCATCTGCAGAACATACAGGGCTTCATGCCCACCTCCATCACCACCCGGCCCCCCCTGTGGCATCGCTGGGCCGACTATTCCCTGCTCCACAGATCACGTTACATCTAAAGGTTAAAGCTGGGAATCACTGACTGATATTTATACTACATGGTTTCCATCTTCTTTCCTCATTTAATCTCTTCAGTCAGTCTAACTTTGTTTTAGGTGTCCTGTCCATCATGACGAGCCGCGGATCAATAGCACGCGGCTGATATTAAAAGTCCCACAAGGCAGTTTGACCCCACAGCGCTCTACTCAACACCTGCCTCACTCGCTCGCAGACGAAGCCGCTTTAGAGCGCCAGACAAAAGCAAAACGTCTTTACAGTACCTTTAAAAGTGGAACCAAAAATCTCAGGAAGAAAAAGAGAGAGACGTCTGGAGGAAGATCCTACATCTTATTTTAAAATCTCTGACTTAGTCGAGAAACTGTTGTTGTGTCTCTGTCACTGTCTCACACACACACACACACACACACACACACACACACACACACACACACACACACACACACACACACACACACACACACACACACACACACACACACACACAGAATGTTTTGGGTTGTATTGAACACCATTAGCAATATATTAGTGAAATATATAGTATATAAAAAGGTATAAATACAAACCCAATTCCAAAGTGTACAAATTGTGAATAAAAAAGGAATGCAATAATTTACAAATCTCATAAATTTATATTTTATTCACAATAGAATCTAGACAACATCAAATGTTGAAAGTGAAACATTTTGAAATGTCATGCCAAATATTGGCTCATTTTGGATTTCATGAGAGCTACACATTCCAAAAAAGTTGGGACAGTTAGCAATAAGAGGTCGGAAAAGTCAAATGTACATATACGGAACTTATTAGGTCAATTGGCAACATGCTTGGGTATAAAAAGACTCTCAGAGTGGCAGCGTCTCTCAGAAGTCAAGATGGGCAGAGGATCAATTCCCCAAATACTGCGGCAGAAAATAGTGGAGCAATATCAGAAAGGAGTCTGAAGTTATCATCATCTATAGTGCACATCATCATCAAAAGATCCAGAGGATCTGGAACAATCTTCGTACGTAAGAGTGAAGGCCGGAAAACCATACCGGACGCCCTCAATCACATACAGGAATGCTACTGTAATGGAAATCACTACATGGGCTCAGGAATACTTCCAGAAAACATTGTCGGTGAACACAATCCACCGTTACCGGCTAAAACTCTATGGGTCAAAAAGGAAGCATATCCAAACACGATCCAGAAGCACAGGCGTTTTCTCTGGGCCAGGGCTCGTTTCAAATGGACTGTGGCAAAGTGGAAAACTGTTCTGTGATCAGAGAAATCAAAATTTGAAGTTATTTTTGGAAAACTAGGACGCCGTGTCATCCGGACTAAAGAGGACAAGGACAAGCCAAGTTGTTGTCAGCGCTCAGTTCAGAAGCCTGCATCTGTGAACTGTCTCTATACGGTCTCACACACTGTCCCACGGACTGTCTCTATACGGTCTCACACACTGTCTCTATACGGTCTCACACACTGTCCCACAGACTGTCTCTATACGGTCTCACACACTGTCCCACGGACTGTCTCTATACGGTCTCACACACTGTCTCTATACGGTCTCACACACTGTCCCACAGACTGTCTCTATACGGTCTCACACACTGTCTCTATACGGTCTCACACACTGTCCCACGGACTGTCTCTATACGGTCTCACACACTGTCCCACGGACTGTCTCTATACGGTCTCACACACTGTCCCACGGACTGTCTCTATACGGTCTCTAACACTGTCCCACGGACTGTCTCTATACGGTCTCACACACTGTCTCTATACGGTCTCACACACTGTCTCTATACGGTCTCACACACTGTCCCACGGACTGTCTCTATACGGTCTCACACACTGTCCCACGGACTGTCTCTATACGGTCTCACACACTGTCTCTATACGGTCTCACACACTGTCTCTATACGGTCTCACACACTGTCCCACGGACTGACTCTCATACTGTCTCATGTCTCTCAGTGTCAGACACACTGTCTCTCATACTGTCTCATGTCTCTCAGTGTCAGACACACTGTCTCATGTCTCACAGTGTCAGACACACTGTCTCTCAGTGTCAGACACACTGTCTCTCATACTGTCTCATGTCTCAGTGTCAGACACACTGTCTCTCATACTGTCTCATGTCTCAGTGTCAGACACACTGTCTCTCATACTGTCTCATGTCTCAGTGTCAGACACACCGTCTCTCATACTGTCTCATGTCTCAGTGTCAGACACACTGTCTCTCATACTGTCTCATGTCTCAGTGTCAGACACACTGTCTCTCATACTGTCTCATGTCACACAGTGTCAGACACACTGTCTCTCATACTGTCTCATGTCTCAGTGTCAGACACGCTGTCTCTCATACTGTCTCATGTCTCACACGCTGTCTCTCATACTGTCTCATGTCTCACACGCTGTCTCTCATACTGTCTGTACGGTGTTGCGATGCAGAGAACATCTGGAAAGCAGCTGCATGTCGTGCTCTTGATAAAGTTCTGTTGGTTTATTTGTTGCTTAATAAACTTCTGAATGTTCCACATTTCACTGCTTCAATTGATCAAATGTCTGATGATGAACAATAGTTGTGTGCTGATTATCTCTACACACACATAATAAACTAGTTCTATGTGGTCATTACACACGTATGATACATAGATTCATTCGTATCAATCTGGTTCTTTGGGCTTGTTTTCATCTACATAGATGATTATTCTCATTGATGATGATCATCATGAAGCCTCCTGCAAGCAGACACATTTAAATATAATGTGATTGATTAGAGTGACGAGGCCCTTAAATGAGCGTCACATTTGACCAACACGCGTAACGTTACCTTGTGTGATACTTTGTGGGGCTCACAGGGGGGCCGTCTCAGTTTTGATTATATGATTCAAGTCGACGTGGCGCAGGGGTACAGGGGGTACAGAGGGTGCGCTGGGAACCGCAAGGTTGGTGGTTCAAGTCCCGGCTGCCCCATGCCAAAGTGTCCCCGAGCAAGACGCCTAACCCCTAATTGCTCCCCGGGCAAAATGTAAAAAGCCACGGGTTAGAAATGTAATGCAAGTCTCTTTGGATAAAAGCATCAGCTAAATGACTTGTAATGTAATGATTCATTTTATATCGCACAATATCACACATTTGCCTCAGAGGGCTTTACAGTCTGCACACATACGTTCAATTCATCCGACAGAAATGATTCAAATACACATATTATCTCCTCATATGCGTTCATGATCATCTCGAGAGAGCCTGATGTCAATCATCTCAGTAATCTGAGCTGGATAATCAGACATTTGATGGACTTAGTTGAACCACGTACGAGGAACAAGGCCCAGATCTTTCACCCATAGAAAACATTTGCCGCATCATAAAGAGGAAGATGCGACAAAGAAGACCTAAGACACTTGAGCAACTAGAAGCCTGATAGACAAGAATGGGACAACGTTCCTATTACTAAACTCTCCTCCGTCCCCAGACGTTTGCAGACTGTTAGAAGAGGGGATGCCACACAGTGGTAAACATGGCCATGTCACAACTTTTGTGAGATGTGTTGATGCCATGGACTTTAAAATCAACTTATTTTTCCCCTAAAATGATACCTTTTCTCAGTTTAAACATTTGATATGACATCTATGTTGTATTGTGAATAGAATATTGAGATTTTAAACTTCCACATCATTGCATTCTTTTTTTTTATTCACAATCATCCGAACTTTTTTGGAATCGGGTTTGTGTGTCCAAATGGGCCAGAATTTCTATTTTGGAAACCTTGCCTGAACTCTCTGAACTGAAGCTTCTCTAGATTTGTTCTGCTTCATGTGTGTCCATCCAGGCAAATCGGTGGATCCAAATGTTAGAAAAGACAGATACGTTGTAACTTCTTCTCCAAAATAATGTTGTGTGTGTGTATACAGGTGTCTGAGTGTGTATATGTGTCAGTGTTCCTCACCCCTCTTGTCCTCCAGCTCCACCTTGGCCTTCACGAGGTCCACTTGGCGCCCGGTGATGCCGAGTGTTGCCAGGTCAATAAACCCACTGTGAGCCTCCCCCCCCAGGTGACCCTGCTCCCCCATGGTGGCTTTGGCCTTGTTGGACTTCAGCATGAAGTCTTTGAGGGCCAGCAGCTGGTCCTCCTCTGCCTCCGTCATGCCCTGATCAGCAGAGGGGAGAGGGCGGAGTCAACAAGGAGACCTTCATGCCTCCAGTAAACATCTACTCTGACCTCATCACCTCAGAGACCTTCTGGACTTTCATGTCTTCACACTATAAAGTATTACATGTAGTACCAGTTGTAGTCATGACTACATGTTCAGCTAAGCGACACAACACACAACCGACCTTGTGCCCCCATCGAACTTTTGCTGAGATGATGTAATTTGTCCTCCTGCTTCAACGAACTATCAACTAACTAATTGTATTAAGTTTCATCTTTCTCAACTAAACATTAGACGGTGTGCTTCTTTCTCAGAAATCACTCCCCTCAAACTGTGAAAGACCCTCTCTTTCTCTCAGGAACCACTCGTATAAATCACCTGACAAACCCGTCTGTACGTGTCAGTATAGGATTTATTATGCTTATAAAACTCTGGTTGGGATGCCCTTTGGTCCTTCTGAGCAGAAGCCCATTAAATATACATTTGTCTTTTATTCAGTCAAACTTCCCATCAGTCACCAGTCCGTTTGTGGATGACACCACCCTCATTGGACTGATCTCTGGTGGGGACGAGTCCCCCTAGTCTGACCATCTGGTGCAATCTGCCGTCCCTGCAGGACTTGTTCGCTTCCAGGTCTCTGAAGCAGCTAAAAAGATGGTGGCCGACCCCTCTCACCCCGGACAAAACCTGTTTGTGCCCCTTCCATGTGGCAGGAGGCTGAGGTCCATCAGGACCAAGACCTCCCGCCACACCAACAGTTTCTTCCCGTCGGCAGTCGGGCTCATCAACAGAGCCGGTCCCCCACTGACTGACTCTGACATTCCACCGGTCACTTTCTTCACACGTCACTTTCTGTTCGCTGGTGCACTTTATTTTTAACTTTTTTTTAACCTACCCATAGCATTATAATTTATTCCTCTTGCACTGCACCAACCGCCAAGTCAAATTCCTTGTATGTCTGACATATTATGGCAACAAATGTTTCCCGATTCCTGATTCTGAAAGCGGAGGCGGGACTTAGGCAGCGCAAACACTGACAGGGGAAGGGATGCGTGAACCCACTGACTTATGAAGTGTTCTTTTCAACAAGTCCAAATGGACTTCGTTACGAAGCCTCAATCTTCAGCTCCGGTGTGGGAACATTTAAGGCTGCTGCGTGTTTCTGCGTCTGCGTGTCGACGCACTGGTTTCACTTCCTGGTTGTAAAGTCTTGCGTGTGTTGCAGAGCGATTCACCTCCAGAACAACAGGTGGAGTCACGTGGAGAACCGAGCCGCTCAGCCGCGGAGCGCGTCGCCGGCGGTTGAAGCCCCCAAGTCAAACCTCCCTGGCTGCCGCGGCGCACTTATCCGCTGGATGGTTTTCTGGAACCCGACGCCCGATGCTTCGCCCGCTCAGTGTCCCGAGCACTTATTATTTATTTTTTTAGGATATATTTTTTCACGTTACGATTCTAATCTAAGTATTCTGACGAATAAAACGTTCTTTGTTCTTTGAAAGAGCGTACTTGTATTACTATGCTATTATATTGTTATTATATCATTATATTGTCTGAAAATTACAACAATATCGCTTATTTATCGCAAATAATGTTGGTGCAATAATCGCACAACCCAAATTTGATATGGTGACGGCCCCACCCTGAAAGGAGCTAGAAAGATAAAAAGTCTGAGTTCCCATTGACCAAATACTCCATCCGTGGAACACAGTGGTTTTCTCTCACCATGGAAACACTTGTACATACATGCATACGTGTTTGTGTCGGGGGAGAATTTGTGCAGTGTGGGTCTCCCAGGAATGTGACCTTTGAGGTGGGCCTGTGACCCAGAGCAGGGTGAGATAAGGGTTGTCCTGACTGATCTTTCAAAATGTGGTTGATTGACTGGGTCCCACTAGGGGAGGGCCGCGGTGTCTCCCCTGCCTTGTCTGAATTCCTCTTGACCCTCCCTGAAGTGTATAAAACCTCCTGTTCTCCCCAGAAACTTGGTCAGATCTTCCTGCCCCTTTGTAGTCATTTGACTTCTGTCTGTACTTACGACTTGTGATTTCTGTATTTTTCTATATTCTAGTTAGTAATAAATACTTAATGACAAAGCAAGTTCAAGATACTTTTGATTTCTCACAAGAGCTGAATCCACAATTTTCCACCACAGTTTTAACATACTTATCTCATCTTGTTGATATTGTTTTCACTTTTGCTTGTATATTTTTATTTTATTATATCACACCAATCATCAAGACAAATTCCTCTATGTGTAACATATGTGGCAATAAATGGCTTCTAATTCTGATTCTGATGTATTCGTACCTCTAAACTGAAGTGTACTACTAGCTCCTACCTGTGAGAGCAGCTTCTTCAGTAGCTGAGCAATGGCTGGGTCATCGGGAGTGAAGCATTCTGGGATTGATCCCATGCGCTTCTTCTGCCTCAGCAACAGATGACGGAAGAGACTGGAGATGTCTTTAGAGCGAAGGGCGTAGTCAAAGATGGAGCGACTCACCGGCTCCTTCAGCACGCTGAGCAGGACCAGCTCCTTGTCAATCTAGGGGAGGGACAGAGGACAATTGAGGGACAGCGGGACAGTTGAGGTTGATGGAGGACAGGTAAGGGTGACAATGTGATGATGATGAAGGGGTTTTGGAGGAGGAGGACTCACCTGGATGATGGGCTGGGTGATGAAGGCGTTGAGGTGGGGCATCAGCTTGCAGTAGACGTCGGCCACGTTGAGGTGCTGAGCGATGACGGTGATGAAGCCCACCGCCCCGTATCGGATCCACAGGTTGGGGTGACACAAGAACGGAGCTACGACAACACAGACAGGACAAAGGTCCACGCGTTACCTCTTGTGAGGGTCCATCCCGAGGGGACCTTCAGCAGGGGGTCACACGAGCAGCAGGTGAGCTTACCGATGTCACTGACAAACTCGTAGATATGAGGTTTCTGCAGAAGACCCAGCTGACACATACAGGTGAGAGAGTTCAGAGCTTTGTAGATGACAAACTCCTCGGTGTCACTCAAACCCTGCTGGAGGAGGGGCTTCAGGATGGAGGAGCTCTGCCAGCCCACGTAAGCAGCTACACCTTCAGGAAAGAAACAGATCCTCCTTCACCTGGTAGAGAACAGAGTACTTGACCTTCTCCGATCTCCTCTTACCCACGATGCTGTCGAAAAAGGCCCCCCGTAGGTGCCAGTCGTTCTTGTCGTTGAGGAAGGTGATCATGTGAGACAGAAGCACGTCGTTGGCTTTCTGCCGGCCGAAGAAGACGCAGAGTCTGGTGATTCCGTTCTCCATCAGCGACTGTTTGACTATGTTCTCCGAGTCGCTCAGCAGCGTCACCACCTTCTGCTGCACCATCTCGTGCAGAGCCTGCAGCTCTATAGAGGTGCAGGGTCTTGGTGTCAGAGATGAACGCTATCCATGTGTCAGCTATTCTGCATGTGTTTCTTTCCTGTACCTGAGTCGTAGTTCTCGTTTGGGTGGAGGATCTCCTCCACGTCCTCTCCGATCAGGTCCTGCTGCTCTGTGTTCACATTGTTCTCCTGAACCAACTCCAGGAAACGCAGCGCACACTCCGCCAGATGGGCGATGTTCTCTGAGCATCACAATGGACACAAGAACACAGGATCATCTATACAGCATATTAGGGCAGCCAATAAATTAAAACAAATATACTATGTTAGTTTTTTTTCTAAATACTAAATCTTATAGAACCAATGCCGGGCGGCACGGTGGTGTGGTTGTTAGCACGTAGCATGTTCTCCCCTGCGTGGTTCTCTCCGCGTTCTCCAGAAGTGGTCCTCTGCAGGTAGATCTTGCGATGGAAGTAGCCTAGCAGCTAGCTTAGCCTAGCAGTCCTAAAGTGGTCCGTTTGCACTCGCCCCCCTTCTGTTTGACACGCGGAGGAATTCCTCTGCTCTCTCCATCTTCAGCTACCGTTTCGCTCTCTGCATCTAACTGACTGCAGCACGTGGCCTTCAGGGGTCAAGGGTCAACGCACCCCAGAAGAAACAAAGCTGCGTTATATTTTATTGCATTAATCTCAACCACATTAATCATATAGATTAACGAGTTAACTTTGAAAGCCCTGATATGTATGTACAGTGTGGCATCACACAGGGCAAGATGGCTGCTACTTCCCCTGTAAGGGGCAGCAGGTCAGCTTGGTCAACTCGCATGCACTGCTCCCACCTAGCTGGCCGTAAGGACCGCCTGTGACCTTACAGTGTATGTAAAGAAGCCTGTCTGAATTGTAGACTTAGTTTGCTGGAGGGGCCACAGGGTGGTCTTCTGCTGCTGTAGCCCGTCTTCTCCCAGGTTCCACGTGTTGTGCGTTCACAGATGCTTATTTGACTTCCTGTTGCCTTTCTATCATGTGGAACCAGTCTGCCGGTTCTCCTCCGACCTCTCACACCCCCTGCTGCTCACTGGGTACCTTCTCTTAGGCCTTCACAAAGAGAGTGACGTGTACCTGTAACTTGCACACTTTTTACTCTGTTAAGGGAGACGTTAACCATTCATCTAAAAACTAACTCACGCCTGGATGTCTCATACGTCCAGGTGTGCTACACACTTTACTCTGCACACCTGCATAGGCCAGCCTGACGATGGTGGCGTCGTCCTGTGCGAGGTGGGCAATGCCCGGCAGGATGTACTCTGGGTAGATGTTCACGTCGTTCCTCGGTACCTCCTTGATCAGCGCCAGTACTTTGGTCAGTGTTCTCACGGCCTGAGCGCGCATGCGGGGCACCGGGTCATTGCAAAAGTGCAGCAGGAAAGGTGTGATGCGGTCCAGCAGGACATCCACGGCCAGTCGCGGCGCCAGGTGCAGGACCAGCTCCAACGCCGCCAGCTTGGAGTCGCAGGAGTGCAGCGTCTGCAGGCAGGAGGTGATGACGGACACTAGGACCATGAGGCCCTGTTCCTCCCTGGAGCTCGGCGCCCCATGGCTACCATCCAGAGAGGAGGAGGAGCCTGGGGGGAGACAGGTGTTTAACATAGACAACAAGGATCTCACCGGTGGGCCATCAGAAGTACGCTCACCTCCTCGCAGGTTGAGCAGGATGTTGTCCAGGTCTTTGCGGATCACGAGCACCCGCTCGTCTGCGGACTGGAAGGTCTCTTTAGCAAACTGAGCCATGTATGGCTGCAGGAAGGTGTAGAAGATGTCAGGGAAGGCTTTCCCTCTCTGCTGCCTCAGGTACTCTTCAGCTGTCAGACGCTTCTCTGGTTCCCTCTGCACCATCTGAGCCACCTGAGGGAGAGATGACCATGCTGTTATTTGGACCGGAGTCTGTAGACCCTCGCAGCTATAGATCATCTGGAGCTGTAGAACCTTTGTGTAACAAGATCATATGTGGTAGTAGGGCTTCACAGTATACCGGTTGTAGTTTCTTCAGGCCGTAGCGGAGCGTAATCGTTGAGTTGACGCGTGTTCCTATTTGTTTGGTCACATATCTCACACCGCTTCGCTCAGTTTGTGAAAGCCAACTGTCTTTATTTATGCAATATTCCCGAAATACAGCTTCCTTTCTTCGGTGAGTATCACCGTACCACTATACAAACGAGGATGTCACAATATTATCATATACACGGTCACAAGACTGTGCGGCTCCGCTGCGCCACTGTCGTTTACCAACCACCGCAAAACCAGTCATCACGTACGACTGGTGACGTCAGTCCGCAGCACGAGAAGCTGGGAAACACGCCTCAGCCTCTCGGACCATCAGCACCGGTTCCCCCCAAGGCTGCGTTCTTTCCCCTCTGCTCCTCTCCCTGTACACCAACAGCTGCACCTCCAGTCACCAGTCCGTCAAGCTCCTGAAGTTTGCGGATGACACCACCCTCATTGGACTGATCTCTGGTGGGGACGAGTCCGCCTACAGGTGGAGTCTGACCATCTGGTGTCGTGGTGCAGCCAGAACAACCTGGAGCTCAACGCTCTAAAGACAGTGGAGATGGTTGTGGATTTCAGGAGCAACAGAGCCCCACCCTCCCCCATCACCCTGTGTGACTCCCCCGTCACTATTGTGGATTCCTTCCGTTTCCTGGGCTCCATCATCACCCAGGACCTCAAGTGGGAGCTGAACATCAGCTCCATCACCAAGAAGGCTCAGCAGAGGTTGTTCTTCCTGAGGCAGCTGAAGAAACTCAACCTGCCAAAGACGATGATGGTCCACTTCTACACGGCCATCATGGAGTCCATCCTCTGCTCCTCCATCACCGTCTGGTACGCTGCAGCCACAGCCAAGGACAAGGGCAGGCTGCAGCGTGTCCTCCGCTCTGCAGAGAGGCTGATCGGCTGCAATCTGCCGTCCCTGCAGGACACGCTGCAGCCACAGCCAAGGACAAGGGCAGGCTGCAGCGTGTCCTCCGCCTGTCATTTCTCACTCGTCACTTTGTTACTTGTTCAATAGTTTATTTTTTAACTTTTTAAATATTTTTAGTTTTTAACTTTAACTTTACTCTCTTGTTTTATACTAACCCATAGCCTTATTCTACTAAGCCATTGCATTAGCATTTTACTTTATTTTATTACTTGTGCACTGCTGTCTTGTTGTCTATTGTTTCACTGTCTACTGTCACGCACCAACCGCCAAGACAAATTCCTTGTATGTTTGACATATTTTGGCAAAAAAATGTTTCCTGATTCCTGATTCCTGTTCGCCTTCCAAAAATAGACACAGCTTTGTAATGGGCCTGTGCAAAACTCTAGTCTTTGTCTTTAAGATTTGCGTACGATATGAATTTCTCATGTACCGTTCATACCGGTGTTACGTCATAACAATTGACGTTGCTGACGTGGCCAGAATTTATTTCTACACGTCATCACGGAGCGCCAAGTGGTCGGAGCTACTTGTCTTACGTGTGTTGAAATTGAGTCATGGTTATAACACGATGAATATAGCACAACAAACACTCTGTTAACAGGGTGAAACACCACAACACAACAGCTTGTGACACATAAACTATTTGTAACACCAATAATTGTACATTTATAAAAATGACCCCGAGAACTGCATGCTGGGTAAAGCTCACAACAAGAAGTAACTCTGTTGCTACATGAAAACATGGAAAAAAGCGATACAGAAGGACACCAGAGATGCACCAACACAACTTGTGCCCAAGACAGGAGCTCAGCCTGTTTGGGGGGTTTTGGTTTTGGAAAATCCGACGTAAGTTACGTTAGATCAGAGAACGATTTATTGCAAAGTCTGTCTGCCTCTAGTGGCAACACTAGCAGCCACAACGAGCTAACACGCTAACCAGCTAACACGCTGGCCAGTAGGAGCGAGTTGGGGAACAGCTGTTCGGGTAGGCGGTCCTTTTCCTGGGTCAATCAATGAATGTGTTTACTTGAAAACGCAATACCGTCAGAATCTTTCTAAATACCGTGATATGGATTTTTGGCCATACCGTGCAGCCCTACGTGGTAGACCGATCTTAAATCCATATGCCCGCATGAAGTAATCTTGTTCAGACTGACCCCAAACCAGTTCCTCCGAGAAGAGATTCATGCAACAATGATAAAGATAAACGGTTACCAGCTCTCGGACGCTCAGGTCTTCGATCTTCAGGAGGACCTGCTCTGTCAGAAAGTGTCCTTTACGATAGGCCAGCAGCTGCGACAGATCGAAGAGAGGAACGCCCTCAGTGAAGAGCTCAGCTATCACGCAGCCTGAAAGCCAAGAGAAAGAGGCCTTCAGATACACCCAGAAACTAGAGAGAGACATTCATCCCACATCCGGACCGATCTGGGATCTACCTGCAGAGAAGATGTCCATTGCAGCTCTCAGCTCCCCTCGGCTCCTCTGGTTGTTATTGGTCAGGTCCACCAGCGGTGTGTTCTGGTCGTTCTCGGCAGTGAACATGCTCCCGTCCACAAACCTCTCGGGGGCAATGTAGCACGTCCTGCGCCGGGACGTATCGAAGAAGTAGTTGAAGTCGGCAGGATTGTCTTCGGGCAGAAAGGTGGGCTTGAAGCTGGCGAAGTCAGTGAGCAGCACCCAATTCCAGCTGGTGACCATCACATTCTCCGTCTTGATGTCGCCGTGGCGGACACCAGCCTTGTGCGCCTGGTCCACAGCGTTGAGGATCTGGAAGGCCAGCCAGCGCTTCTCCACGTTGTTGAGGAAGGGCCGAGTGCTGATGCGGTCGTACAAGTTGTCCCGCACGTACTGGCGGAACAAGATGGCCGCCTTCTCCGTCAGCGAGGTCTTCTGGAAGGGCAGGCAGTTCTGGCAGGAGTGCAGCCGGATCTTTAGCTCCTCCAGCTCCTGCTTGTAGCTGGTCAGGGGCAGCGAGGGGTCCTGGATGGCGAACACCTTGACCACGACGAGGCCCTCGCGGTGTTTGGCACGGGCCACCTTGAAGAAGCGGGTGCTGCCCAAGCTCTTGTCATACTCGTGGTCGTGGATGTCTGAGAAGTAGCTGTCCACAGACAGGATCTGAGAGGGGGCAATGCCCGCCAGCTGGTTCCCCATTACGCCTCCACACCAGACTGTGGAGAGGTTACCGTGAAGGTCAGCCAAAGGGAAAAAGAACTGAGGTTACACTATCGGTCTGATGGTTACTAAGCTTTATCCAGAATGTATAGAAGAAGTTACAGATAAGATCAAATAACTTTGTAGAAATGTAACTAGAGATCTATGTAGACATGTAACTATGTAAACATTTATACAGTGTTTCCCCATCTTATTATTTTGATTCATAATGGATTATTTTAATAAAAATCATTTTTATTTATAGTCTAAAAAAATTATATTATTAAAGATTAGATTATTTTATTAAAACATGGATATTATAATTTTTAGTTATAGATTCTCTTAATAATGACCACACGTGGAAAAATAATGTATTATTATTATTATAAAAACATGGCTATTATAAGTATTATCTTATATAATTTTAATATAACATGGATTTCATTATTGATCTTTATTATAGATTAATAAAACATGAAGTAAACCAGTCACATGACTCATGACGAGTTTGTTAGTGCTAATGTAGCATGCTAGCCAACCATTGTCATCGCCCAAATTAAGCTATTTTAGTTAGCAAAACTTCGCTCTATCGTTCACGTTGAAACTATTTAAAACGCAGGGTACGTTTTTTACCGGCAGCAGTTGACAGGACCTCTGTTGTGGTTGTTGTTGTTGTTGTTGTTGTTAAGAGTAATGACAGTGTGTGTGCTTTGGCAGGCTAACGGCTGCTAACGGCTGCTAACGCAAACAAAGTCCCGCCCGTCTTCATGTCGTGTCTCGGTGCGCGTTCTCCTCCCGCCGTCCGGTGTCTCCGTCCTCCGGTCAACGGATCGTAGCCGTGAATGTTAACCGTTACAGCAACAACAGTCGGACTCACTCGGTTAGCATCGCAGTGGTCGTCAGACGCTGTTGTGCATCCGGGTCACACCGGAAATACGTAACTCGTTATTTTTCCCTTGCTGGCCAACCTCTATTTATGCATGACGGTCTATTAAAATAATGAATCACACCTTTATTTATAAGACTGTGTAAATATTAGCTACAAGTAGAGAAAGTATTGTATCTGTCTGTGGCCATAACAGGAAGTTAGATTGGTGGACTTTCAAAATGAACCTTTTTCTGAACTTGATTACACTGACAGGTATCTAATATCATATATATGAGAGTGGAAGATATAAAACGTTACGGAGATAAACATTTAATAAAGGGTGTTGTATTACATCACACTGCATTAGGTTTATAAAGGTTATATGCTGAATTGTATGAATAATATGTCCGTATTATGTTAAACTTGCCATTTTGTTACCGTTTGCATTGTCGACCTCCCACCGCCTGGGGGCGCAGAGCGCTGTTTCTGATATATAATCAGCAGGTTTATCTGCCACAGGTTGGTGTTTGGGAAGCAAACAGTTTTTTTGAGCGTGACGTGAAGAACACAGGAAAATGTGTGGGATAGTTTAATGGTGTATGTGTAACCCCCGTGGGGATGTCTTCTGATTTCCCTGTATTTGTTGTGCTGGAGCTGTTAACCTCTGTAAAATACAACGGACACAAAAGGAAATTGTGGACCTTCTTTTAATCCTCCATTTCTCTGCACAACATACATAGACAGTGATCGTATAGTTTTAGGACAGAACTTGACTACACAAGCAATAAAAAACGGACATTGTTACAGACAATAAACATATCACTAACTTGGCAACTTAAAACAAAGACAACGGACATCTAAAATAATAAAGCTAGCTAAACCATACATGAAATAAGTAAACATTTTCCACGGACATAAAAAAAAACACGTTACCTTCTTTTAATCCTCCATTTCTCTGAGGTTTACCGACAATCCTTCCTTTTTACGGTCCCGTTTTTGTACCACTTTGTGCCAGTAGATGGCGTAGTTGGGCCAATTTAGAAGGGTTTTAGCTAACTATGTTACATATGACTGGTGTATAACCAGCGGTAAAAATGTTAGGATATTATGTTCTTTTAGAATAGGAAAAGGTGGAAGACAAAGGATGTGATCTGTCTTCTGTTTTTTTGGAGAACAAATAAATTGGCATCAAAGGCAAACTGGACTTTTCAGGGTTTATTTCACCTGTCAAAACAAACTATTTTTGATAGGAAAACATTACTACACTGCATTAACTTTTCTTTAAAAAACAGAAACTCTGTTTCAAAGTGTGGATGGTGTAGCAGGCTGATTTGATTTGCTGAATGACTCTTACACACCAGCCCCTAATTGGTTCTCGCAGACAGAAAGACAATTCCATACAATTTTAACATAAGGAGCCATTATGTTAAAAACAAAAAACTGTTTGAAATAGTCAGTTTCATAACTCCTTTTATCCACATACTGTTTCCTTGTAAAAAAAAACGGTTTGTGGGTCTTCAATATTATCATTATTACATGTCCGTTGCTTCACAAAGAAGACAAGTCTTCATCTCTCAATTATACTGTTCTTGGTTTATCTGGTCAATCCCTTTTCTCAAATAGACAAGTTGGAAAAACTGGGTTTCCTTTCCTCAACAGAATATGATTTTATGTTAATGTCTCAAGGTCATTGGGTCATCAGACAATTGTGTAATAGGTTGTTCATTCGATCATTCGTATGGATTCCACTTCGCATAGAAAAGTGTGAAATGCTTTATCCTCCAAACACTGCTGATGAGGAACAGTACTTCGAATCCTGCTGACCATGATGCGCTTCCAAATGCCACCGTGATGGGATCCGGCAAGTGGGTTGAAAAACAGTTATTTTCTGTGCCAATTTTATTGTGATCTAATGAAGCTAACGCTTCTCTCAGCTCCCTTTCAGCTCCCACAAAGTTCCATTGTCACATCGAATCATAGAAACTTCCCGAGTCTTCTCGCGGGAAGTCCGTTCTCGCCGCCTTTATATACATATCTATGGTCTTAGGTATTGAGAAAGGGCCCCGGCCTCTACGGACGGAACGGGACAGGCGAGTCGCAGCCGAAGTGACGTATGTCAGCACGTCACAGGAAGTCGCTTCACGGTGGGATTTGACGGAAGATGCTGAATAAACGGGAGCTGCCGGTGAGTTACTGAACACTATATTTAAACTTATTTTAGATTATTGTTCACGAAACAAGCACATCCATGTCTTTGAATCCTTCTGGATAACGGGTGTATTCAATTCATGGTGGCTCACCTCCCGGTGAGCGGGGCTACTGTCAGCCACCGACACGGTGGTGGTGGTTGACCGAGATGACGACTCTGTATGTCTCAACTGACGATGTTAGCTAGCAAGCTAACACGAACCTGCACTGTGTGTGTGTGTGTGTGTGTGTGTGTGTGTGTGTGTGTGTGTGTACACGTTGCTAATGAACCAAATTAAGACACATCCTGCTGTGACGGATCTCAAATATAGCGACGCTCGTCTCTACCTTCGTGTTCTGTTTATTTAACGTCTAAGGTGGAGTTGGACGACATAAAGCGTTCAGGTGGAGTCGGAGGACGAGTCCGTTAGCTTCATGCTAGCTCAGTTAGCGGAGCTGCTCTCTGTTCTACAGGCTGCTGTCAGTTGTTGAAAGTAGGTGAGAAATACCTGAGAACCTGTTTGTCCCGCCGCTCAGGGGGCGGAGCCTGTGTTCTGTCACACCTCAGGGGCCCGTTCGGTCCATGGGCAGGGTACACATGCTGATTATTACCATTATTCTAACCATAGATACTTGTGTTTTACTATTAAATGCCACAAGTCAATAAGCCGCAAATGAAGAGGGCTCTCTTTGAAAAATCTTTGATTTGAATTCAATAATACAATCTGTCACTATCAGATCTCTTATGGTGGTCTGGATGATAACGGGGCCCGGTTCCTCGTACGGGGTTAACTGAGTTAGCCGGATCATTTTCAGGATGAGATGATGTAGTTCAGGCTTTTTGGTTCCCCGAAGCAGGTTTGTCTAAATCACCATAGCAACACATGGAAACACTTGAACCTGCTCCGGCGCAGCTTCATCTGAGCTGCTGGATCAGTTCATCTCTCCTCATTGATGAAGGAGCGACATCAGTTAGATTAACGTTGCAATGCAGAAAACATCTGGAAAGCCGCTGCATGTCGTGCACTTCGTAAAGTTCTGTTGGTTTATTTGGCGCTTAATAAACTTCTGGATGTTCCACATTTCACTGCTTCAATTGATCAAATGTCTGATGATGAACAATGGACACACATAATCAAACTCCTAGTTCTATATGGTCATCTACATACATATGATACACAAGCTGATACAGTACACAGTGTTTCCCACACATAGACTAATTTGTGGCGGTGCGCCACAGATTCAACACCGGCCGCCACACATTGTGTTTGGTGTTTTTTTAAATTTTTTTTTTAACTATTTAAATCACGCAGCGTATTCGTTCAGCTGCATTTCCTTTCCCTGCTCTCCCTCCGTGTGTCACTCACACACACACAGCCCCTCCCCTCCGTGCACACCGCGTCTGTCTCGCGTGTCATAAAAACGAGATCATACATGGAAGCGTGGCCTAGCCTGTTTGGTGCAGAGAAGACGGCTGGTGAAAGTTCAGGAAAGGTTGGTTATTCCAGTTCCGTGTTCAGCCCCCACACGTGGAAAGTTGGGTCTGTGGGAAACACTGGCACATATATCCTATTAATTCGTATCAATTAGACTCTTTAGGCTTGTTTTCATCTCCATACTGTGAAAGAGTTGAGATCATTATTCTCATTGGATGATGATCATCATGAAGCCTCCTGCAAGCAGACACATTTAAAGAAATATAATCTGATTTGATTACACCAATGCTTAAGCATTTAACGTTAACTTGTGTGTGATCAGGCTTATAGCCTCGCATGGGGGGGCAGTGTCAGTTTTTGCCATGATTATATGATTCATTTTGTATAGCACAATATCGCAAATTTGACTCCGAGCGTCTTTTTTCAAAGACGCTCTTCCTTTAAGTTTATTTGCTGTTAAACTGTTAAAAAATCCTGGTTTCTGTGATCGACTCTTCCGCCTTCAGACGTAAGACGATTATCCTGATGATTGACATCTGGTTCAAACTAACGAGACGTTTGAGCGCCGATCCGCCTTCGAGGAACCGAGATAGTCTGATGTCAATCATCTCGGTAATCTGAGCTGGGTAACGGGACATTTGATGGATTTAGTTGAACCACGTACGAGGAACAGGGTCCTGATCTCTTAAGGTGGTCTGAATGATGGATAACAGATCTCTTAAGGTGGTCTGAATGATGGATAACAGATCTCTTAAGGTGGTCTGAATGATGGATAACAGATCTCTTGAGGTGGTCTGAATGATGGATAACAGATCTCTTAAGGTGGTCTGAATGATGGATAACAGATCTCTTAAGGTGGTCTAGATCAGTGGTTCTCAATTGGTGGGTTGCAGTTCTTGGTCCCGGGTCTGTCTGCTCTGTCTGTAGCTGAGAAGGACTACGGCACTGCACGTGGGGTGGGCCACCTCTGCATGCTTTGGAGGAGGTGGGAGCCTCACGGCAGCACTCGTGGAAGACTGAGAACAACACCTGCCTCACATAAGTTATCAAAAACTCTCCAATTGCACCAGAAAACATTGCTACATTTTTCACCGGTTGCTTCTTTTTTGTTTGAAAGGGTATCGACAGGTGGCGTGAGCCAGGTTACATCCAACCATCCTGGTGTGGAGGGAGGGGGGCGGGGGCTCTGGGTTTTTAGGTTAATTAAATTGAATAGCCTTCTGATATATAATTCAGTGAATGATTATTTATTAAATAACTATTTTGAATGGAGGCTAATGTTAGAATAAATGTACTGATGGAGGAAAGCCCCTCCCAGTTGTTGTGCAGCAGCATGATGAGCAAGAGCAGTAAAAAGCCTCCTTCCATCCAGCACCACCTCTCTGAGTGAGGCTCCCCAGCTCTGGTTCTGAGGACTAACCAGAGGAACTCACTAGACATTGAGAGGACCTCATGTAGAAGAACTCGGGAGCCAAACGCATCCCCAGTTCTCCCACAATTCATTCTTCTTACATCATTGGAGTCTTTTTTTTTTTAAACCACTTCTCAGTCATTTTTATTTCATGTGTGTGCATGAAACGCTGTTGAGTCGCTTATAAAAAGCTGAAGTTACTGAATTGTTGTGTGACCTTGTGTCCTTAAGCTTATTATTCCATCCATCCATCCATCTGCAAACCACTTATCCGGGTCGCGGGGGGGCTGGAGTCCATCCCAGCCAACTTCTGGCGATAGACGGGTTCATCCTGGACGGGTCACCAGCCAATCACAGGGCTACACAGAGACACACAACCATTCACACTCACACACCTACGGGCAAGTTAGAGTCCCCAATCAACCTGATCACCAGAGCACGTCTCTGGACTGTGGGAGGAACCCGGAGAACCCGGAGAGAACCACACAGACACGGGGAGAACATGCAGACTGCACACAGAAAGGCCTCTGGGCGGAGTGGAACCAGGACCTTCTTGCTGTGAGACCGTGCTGACCACCGTGCCGCCACTTAAGCATTATTGTTGGTTTTAATTCAAATGCAGCTCATTGAATGTCAGATGAGCATCGTCTGTTTGGTTTAGCGGACTCCTGTCAAACAAACAATTGACTTCACTGAAACCACTGACTGGTTTAGGGCCAAAGTACATTTCTGATCTGCTGATACGTCACGAACTCTCAGGTCGTCTGGGACGGGTCTACTTTCTGCTCCCGTCCGAGCTAAACATGGAGAAGCAGCTTTCAGTTTGTCTGCTCCACATCTGGAACAAAGTCCCAGAAAGCTGCAGGTCTGCTGAGTACCTCAGCTCCTTTAAATCCAGATTAAAGACTTTTCTGTTTGCTGCTTTTTAATGTCTGATACATGGAAACATGTTCTTAACTGATATGAATCTCCTTGCTTTGTTTGTTTTAGTGGTTTTATGTGAAGCACTTTGAATTGCCTTGTTGAAATGTGCTATACAAATAAAATTGCCTTGCCATTCATCCTCCCGTCCCCACCTCCTCCACCTGTCGCCACGTCCTCTACCCATCCTCCTCCACCTGTCGTCCTCTACCCATCCTCCTCCACCTGTCGTCCTCTACCCATCCTCCTCCACCTGTCGTCCTCTACCCGTCCTCCTCCACCTATCGTCCTCTACCCGTCCTCCTCCACCTGTAGTCACGTCCTCTACCCATCCTCCTCCACCTGTCGTCCTCTACCCGTCCTCCTCCACCTGTCGTCCTCTACCCGTCCTCCTCCACCTGTTGTCACGTCCTCTACCCATCCTCCTCCACCTGTCGTCCTCTATTCATCCTCCTCCACCTGTCGTCCTCTACCCGTCCTCCTCCACCTGTCGTCACGTCCTCTATTCATCCTCCTCCACCTGTCGTCACGTCCTCTATTCATCCTCCTCCACCTGTCGTCCTCTACCCATCCTCCTCCACCTGTCGTCCTCTACCCATCCTCCTCCACCTGTCGTCCTCTACCCGTCCTCCTCCACCTGTCGTCCTCTACCCGTCCTCCTCCACCTGTCGTCACGTCCTCTATTCATCCTCCTCCACCTGTCGTCCTCTACCCATCCTCCTCCACCTGTCGTCCTCTACCCATCCTCCTCCACCTGTCGTCCTCTACCCGTCCTCCTCCACCTGTCGTCCTCTACCCGTCCTCCTCCACCTGTCGTCACGTCCTCTACCCGTCCTCCTCCACCTGTCGTCACGTCCTCTATTCATCCTCCTCCACCTGTCGTCCTCTACCCGTCCTCCTCCACCTGTCGTCCTCTACCCGTCCTCCTCCACCTGTCGTCACGTCCTCTATCCGTCCTCCCCCACCTGTCGTCACGTCCTCTATTCATCCTCCTGTCTCCACCCCCTCCACCCGTTAGTAAAGATTGTCTCTGTGTTGCAGCTTTCCCAGAGACCGTTCAGTGAAGATGAGACCATGGTCCCGGTACTGACCTCAAAGAAAGCCAGCGAGCTTCCCGTCCACGAAGTCCTGTGTGTGCTGCAGGTATGTGTCCCTTGTTGTGTCAATCGACATGCGTTGCTATAGCGACCCCAGCCAGTGATGGAAGAGGGACATATCTTTAGTTTCATTGAGAGTTTTTAATTCTATACGATAATGAACCTGATGGTTGCTGTCACGTGGTCCTCAAGGACTCTCTAGGGAAGAAGTCTTGTGATAGTAAATGCCGTTCCTCTCATGGTTGTGACCAGGCCGACCTGCAGGTGGGTCTGAACCAGGAGGAGGTGAGCAGGAGGAGAGCCTACCACGGCTGGAATGAGTTCGACATCAGTGAGGAGGAGCCTCTATGGAAGAAATACATCTCCCAGGTAACCGTTCTTCTTCTCAGGGGTCCTTCACTCACTGTCAGCCATGTGGTCCAAGGGGTGTGTCCATGGTCCATGTGGGACGTTGAGTATCGGTGTGTTCACACAATACTGACTCGCATGAATGAGGACTTTGAGAGACGCCTTGGTGAACTAGACTGTTCTCATTCCATCATAACAAAAGACCTGAACACACCATGAGTCTATGCCTGAGGGACGGTGTCTCTGACTGACGTCATGTAGCAGGTGGTTACAATGGCGATGACTAACTCTGCCCCCCCCCCCTCCCCCACACACAGTTCAAAGACCCTCTCATCCTGCTGCTGCTGGCCTCGGCCGTCATCAGCGTCCTCATGCACCAGTTTGATGACGCCATCAGCATCACTGTGGTAATAAAGTAATAAAGCATGGTTTTATTTTAGGGCATATAAGAGCAACACCTTACTAGAGAACATTATTAAATGAATGCTGTCCACATGGTGGAGCTCCAGGGACAAGAGACTGAGACCAGATTAACCAGTGTGCTCTTCTGTCTGTCTCTGTGTCCCTAACTGTCATTTGGCTTTTCTTTCTGTCCCCTGACAGGCCATCATCATAGTGGTGACAGTAGCTTTTGTCCAGGTGGGTCCTGTTTATAGTAAATAAAGTCCTGTTTATTTGTGTGGCCACCAACTGTGTGTGTGTGTGTGTGTGTGTGTGTGTGTGTGTAGGAGTATCGTTCAGAGAAGTCTCTGGAGGAGTTGGGGAAGTTGGTTCCTCCAGAATGTCACTGGTGAGACTTTTTCTTCATTAAATATAAAGTTGTCAGAAAAGTGTGTGTGTGTGTGTGTGTGTGTGTGTGTGTGTAAATACTAATCTGTGTGTCAGTTTGAGAGACGGCCACCTGCAGCACCTGCTGGCCAGAGACTTGGTTCCCGGAGACACCGTCTGTCTGTCTGTGGGGGAGAGGGTCCCAGCGGACCTCCGTCTGGTGGAGGTACGTACACACACACACACACACAGAGGGTCCCAGCTGGTTTGGATACATCTGTCACTCCGTAGACCAGGGGTGCCCAAACTACGGCCCACGGGCCATTTTTAATTGGCCCGTATCAAAGTCTATGAAGATAATGGACTATGGCCACTGTATCTGAAACTTCACCACAGTGAATTCCAAGCGTTGCTCTCTGATGTCGGTGCTGAATACGGGTCCTACTCCACATCCTGAGGCGCGCTGTTCTCCGTCGCGGCTCCGCGCTGCAGCGGTTTTATTCCCTGAGATCAAATATCGACACGTTTTTGAAAGAAAAGGGTAGCCGTCTCCATGAGATCACCTTTATGGTGGCAGACCTGGCGTGCCTAGTTGAACTCACTGATCATCTCCACACCCTGAACAAGAGACTACAAGGCAAAGAGCAGCTCCTACCATCTGAATGTGCACATGAACAACGCTGAACAAAAGCAGGCTGAGAACCAGAATGACCCACAGCATCTCTGTGACGTCCTTCACATCTCAACCACAAAACTCACCTGCCGGCTTTCCTTCAGACCAAAGCGCTAGATGAACAATGATTAACAATCCCAATCATTTATTTGTGTAATTGGCTTGAAATATCCACATCCCCTATTTCTCTTCTCTCCCAGGACAATGAAGGGGGATCAGCACCCTGAGAACCAATCTGAGGCTCACTGACAGAATGAGCTGCCAACCATTTTGTAAAAAATACAATGAAAATCTACTGATGGAGGCTTTTTTTCTTCAAACATCTTCAATTATCAAATATAATTTACCTGCATTCGATTTTGCCAATATTAGTAAATTAGAAGTGAGGCAGTATACCTCACATCTGGTGAGTGGCCCAGGCCCTCGGGGAAAAAGTTTGGACACCCCTGCCATAGACGGACATGGACAGTACATAGACCTGTCTGTCTGTCTGTACTGACGAGACCTGTCTGTCTGTTCTCCTTCTCTCAGGCCACAGACCTGTCTGTGGATGAATCCAGTCTTACAGGTGAGACGTCTCCCTGCTCCAAGTCTTCCGTCCACCAGCTGTCCTCCAACGGAGATATCACCTCCCGCACCAACGTGGCCTTCATGGGGACCCTGGTGCGCTGTGGGAGAGCCAAGGTACCTCCTGCTGCTTCTTCTCGTCCTACCGTTCCTCCTCTTTACCTTTTGTTCTACGCTTCCGCTTTCTCTTCCGCCTCTTGCTGGTTCTCCTCCTTTTGCTCCTGCTGCTCTCCACACGGATCCGGCCCCCCACAGGGTCCAGCCCGGCCCACCGGCTGACTTTGCCAAGTGTGAAAATAACAGAAAGACATAAATTGCATTCCTATAGAAGTAGCTGCTATTCCTAACCAGTCCACTGGGGATGTCACTCTGAGTGAGCGCATGTGTTCACCAAGGCAGTGCCAGTAGAACCCTTCTATTTAAAAAATAAATAAATAAATAAAAAAGACCCATCAGGCCACCTCGACCGCGGGAGCTAACAGAAAACTTATTATAAGTAATGCTTATTAGCGATCGGCTCTTAACTGACAAATTTATATTTCATTCAAAAGCAACCCTGGCTGACTCAACGGTGCAAGTCACCCGAGTAAGGTAACGACCAGGAATGTCTGACGGTTCCCTCGCTTACAACAGACAAGGGGCTCATTGTTATATGGATTTGTTTTGCGCTCACCGCATGCAGCGTTATTGTTCTGTTGGTTACCACCGGCCTGTTGACCAGACCATCGCCTGTGATTTTACTGGTCAGGCCCACTGGAGGAAAGTGGGCAGTATGTGGCCCCCTACCTAAAATGAGTTTGAAACACTTGCACTATATGGTCTGTTTCCACTGACCAGCATCAAGGGTGAAGATGTGTTACATCGTCAGGAGTAGAGTCTCCTTGTGAGTGACAGGAGGACCTGTGCTCTAAATACAGACCGAAGATCTCAAGTCAGATGGATTTCATGTCCGTGGTTTCTGTTCTCCTCAGGGCATCGTCATCGGGACCGGAGAGAACTCTGAGTTCGGGGAGGTTTTCAAGATGATGCAAGCAGAAGAGGTATAAGGGTCTTAATATGGTGTCAATAGAGTTACAACAGCAGGAAAGGTCATTTTAATGTATGACAAAATCCAAAGGGCTGACACAGAGAAGGTGATCAGCTGTTGTACCTTTATGTGAACGACGCTTCAAGACCAGAGAACAAGGAAGAATCGCTTGACTTTGTTGAAAGTGAGTTCCCTATTTATCAAATTCAGACTCAGGACCCAGAGCAGACTCTCTATTTCTGGTCAAGCATCTGTTCCACCTCCTGCAGGTACTTTATGTAGAGTTACAGAGGGGACGCTGCAGGTACTTTATGTAGAGTTACAGAGGGGACGCTGCAGGTACTTTATGTAGAGGTACAGAGGGGACGCTGCAGGTACTTTATGTAGAGGTACAGAGGGGACGCTGCAGGTACTTTATGTAGAGTTACAGAGAGGACGCTGCAGGTACTTTATGTAGAGTTACAGAGGGGACGCTGCAGGTACTTTATGTAGAGTTACAGAGGGGACGCTGCAGGTACTTTATGTAGAGGTACAGAGGGGACGCTGCAGGTACTTTATGTAGAGTTACAGAGGGGACGCTGCAGGTACTTTATGTAGAGGTACAGAGGGGACGCTGCAGGTTCTTTATGTAGAGTTACAGAGGAGACGCTGCAGGTACTTTATGTAGAGTTACAGAGGGGACGCTGCAGGTACTTTATGTAGAGGTACAGAGGGGACGCTGCAGGTACTTTATGTAGAGTTACAGAGGGGACGCTGCAGGTACTTTATGTAGAGGTACAGAGGGGACGCTGCAGGTTCTTTATGTAGAGTTACAGAGGAGACGCTGCAGGTACTTTATGTAGAGGTACAGAGGGGACGCTGCAGGTACTTTATGTAGAGTTACAGAGGGGACGCTGCAGGTACTTTATGTAGAGGTACAGAGGGGACGCTGCAGGTACTTTATGTAGACGTACAGAGGGGACGCTGCAGGTACTTTATGTAGACGTACAGAGGGGACGCTACAGGTACTTTATGTAGACGTACAGAGGGGACGCTACAGGTACTTTATGTAGACGTACAGAGGGGACGCTACAGGAGATTACTGACCTGCGTCATTAATCTGTTCCCTGTTTGTTGATTTCAGGCTCCTAAAACTCCGTTACAGAAGAGCATGGACCTTCTGGGGAAGCAGCTCTCGCTTTACTCCTTTCGGCATCATAGGTTTGTTGTTTGTTGTTCAGTCATCTTCATCTGGCCCCTCCTCTTCATCACCTCTCTGTGGTCACAGGTGAGTGCTCTTGTCTCAGGGGTCATCATGCTTGGAGGATGGATGTCGGGGAAGGAGGGTCCCGGGACATGTTCCCCTTCGGAGTGAGGTAGGCGGATGAAATATGTTTCTGGTCTGGCAGTCGCCTCCTGGAAATGTATTGGAATAAAAAGTTCTATTTCCATTAAAGTACAAACATTACCACGGGTTGTGTTTAATGATTTTTAATGAATGTGGACCCGGTTTATGATCTGGATCTCTTTAGAACCTCTACCCGCTGAGGTCTGATGGTGACTAGTTATGACACAGCCATTAACGGATTCTGGGGCCTGAAAATGTGCGTATAGCACGTCAAATGATACATAAACGGTAAACGCGCTTATTTTCTGCCCAGACGTTTACGTCCATCTCAGACTGTGGTGTCGTCGACACCAGAAGCTGCCATTGTCTTCTCTGTGGAACCGTTGGGTTTCTTAGGATTGAGAATTCAGGCTTCACAATCGTTTAACTGAGCCAAACCAGTAAGCACAGCGCCCCCTGTGGTGTCTATGGCTTAACCAATCAGATCTCAGGGCTGAGTTTCACCAAGAGAGAGGCATCCCCTGTTGGGGGTGAGGATCATCTTACATTAGTAATGGACCCAACTCCACCTTTGGTTTCATGCCATGGTGGGAGCACCACCCGGTACTGATTATTGATCGGTGTCTCTCCCGTCCCCCAGCCTGGCGGTAGCTGCCATCCCGGAGGGTTTACCCATCGTGGTGACGGTGACGCTGGCGCTGGGTGTGATGCGCATGGTGAAGAAACGAGCAATCATCAAGAAGCTTCCCATCGTAGAGACTCTGGGTATGTGACTTGACGTGGTCTCATGTCCCCTCATCAATTTAACATCCTTCATTACAAGTATCCATCATACATGTGACTGCTACTTCCTGTGGTCTTCATCGTCCTCTTCCTCAGGTTGCTGCAACGTGATCTGTTCAGACAAGACGGGAACTCTGACCAAGAACGAGATGACGGTCACTCAGCTGTTCACGTCGGATGGACTCCACGCAGAGGTGTGCTCATCTTCATCTTCATCACTCAAAGGCTGTGATAGCAATAATTATAATATGTTATGAGGTGAAGAGGAAACTACACTTGTACACAATTTTGAAACCCGTTTTACTACAATCAATATTTCAATTGTGGAGACATGAACTAAACTGCGGAACAGGAGACCTTGTCTGTGCTCCCAAAGGCACAATACTGTTGACAGGAAGTAGAAGTCTGTGTTGTGGGTTGCAGGGACAGACTGGGGGACAAAAGGGTCTGATTGCATTGCATTTATAACCCATGGCTTTTTACATTTTTGCCCGGGGAGCAGTTAGGGGTAAAAAACCCACACGCTTAACATTGTTTTGGATGATTACAAAGAAAATACTTAAAAAAAAAAAAAAATTTTATAACATTTGGATCCACCAATTTTCCTGATGGACACATGGAATAAAATGCTGCTGGCTATTGTAACCGTGCAGGTTTAGTTTTCTAGATGAATATGCTTCTCTCTGGGCTAGAGATGGTTACACGTAGAACTACAGAGCCTTAAGGAAGGAAGGTCAGCAGAGAAACCATTTTTGGATGTAGGATCTTCCTCCAGACGTCTCTTCTTTTTCTCCCTGAGATTTTTGGTTCCACTTTTAAAGGTACTGTAAAGACGTTTTGCTTTTGTCTGGCGCTCTAAAGCGGCTTCGTCTGCGAGCGAGCGAGCGAGCCAGGTGTTGAGTAGAGCGCCGTGGTGTCAAACTGCCCTAAACATCAAGATAGCAACATTCAGTAAATACCCCTCCATGTGCCCCTGTGAGCGCACCAGGCAGCCCGCCTCCTCCTCCAGGAGGGAAGTTGAGATTAAATGAGGAAGGAAAGAGTGAAACCATGAGTGTTAACACACATCGCGAGGAGTAGTGTAAATATCTGTCCCGATGGTGTCTCACAGGTGACGGGCGTAGGCTACAACGGATCAGGAGAAGTCCTGCTGGACGGAGACGTCGTCCACGGCTTCTCATGTCCATCCATCAGCAAGATCGTTGAGGTGAGTCTATGTGTACTAATGTGGTTAACGTCTACTCTCATTGATCTGCATGTGTGTGTCCTCAGGTTGGCTGTGTGTGTAACGACTCGCTCATCAGGAATCACAACGTGCTCGGCCGCCCCACGGAGGGAGCGCTCATCGCCCTCGCCATGAAGGTAGGCCGTCTATTTGGCCTTCTTTGTCTCGTCCAGTATGTCCCCCTAGGCTAGTTCTACAAAAAAGCCTTTTGATGTCACCAAAGTAGTATGTATTCACACTTGGAGGGACACTCAAAGTATTCAGGGCGTGAGACCTGTCCAACCTAAACATCCAGCTGTGCTTTTTGTGTTCCAGATGGGTCTTGAGAGCCTGCAGCAGGAGTACATCCGTCTGGAGGAGCAACCTTTCAACTCAGAGCAGAAGTGGATGTCTGTTCGCTGTGTTCATCGCACGCTGCAGGTCACATGACCCTGAACGTTGTTGCGCTGTATTTCTGTTGACGTGAGATTCTTTATCAGTGATTGATTGTCTGCGTCTCCTCTCAGGATAAACCAGGATTGTTCTTTGTGAAAGGAGCTTACGAGCAGGTAATTGGCCTCTGCAGCTCGTACAACAGCAGAGGAAGTGCTCTGTCCCTGAGCCACCAGCAGAGGGAGCTGTACCAGCAGCAGATCAGCTACATGGGCTCCGCTGGTCTGAGAGGTAGTTCCACCCACAGAAACATTGGTACCGCGTTCATTCATTCCGACTGACTGTTTCTTATTATTCTTATTATTTTGAAAGTCTGTCACTCACTCTGAATACACATACAGACACATGAGGGGGGAGGATTTATCATTACTGGCTTGGGAGGGGCGTCAATACGCATCCCATCCAAAGAGCACATCTCTTCCCGACAGTTGAACCACTACAACAAGCGTCTCTTTAGTATGTCTTTATTGCTCAGTGACCAATGCACACTGATGAACAGCGTTAGCCAGAGAGGCTGACTTCCATCTGCTGTCCCGCCCACATGATTTTTAAGGCAGCCTAAAATGAAAACGTAATTAAAATCCCCAGACAAACGGACACGACGCACACACAGCAAAGAAGTGTAAATATTGTAACTGTACTCAGGTAAGCAGCACGCTGCTCCCCCCTCACGTGTCTCCCACCATCCGAAGGCAAAAAGTCAGCCAACTTGACCCCACTGTTTATCACGTACATGGGTTTTCCATCTTTATGAATGTTTTATGTGATTTCTAGAGCTGCTTTTGACATTTTATTATACAATTTATAAAATGTTGACTTTTCTTTTGTGTGTAATATTGATATTTGTTTTCAACATAAACTGATGTTCCACATCGTAGCGCTGACACGGGGTTCCGCTTTATGCCCACTGAGCGACATAAAGTATATTTATTACACCTTCTATCATGGATTTGCCATTTCCAGAGGAAAAAACCTTTATGGTCTAAAAGGTTGTTTGCATAAATCAAATGAATGATTCAATTTTGCAATTAATTGAAAAAAAAAATCATGTGAGGAGGAAATTGTGGTCCGGAACTAATTAATACACATGAGTAAGTGTGTGTGTGTGTGTGTTTTTACACACAGTCAGCTCATTGGTCTGTGTCCTCCTGTAGTTCTGGCTTTTGCCTCCGGCTCTCAGATGGGGAACTTGACATTTGTGGGTCTGGTGGGCATCATCGACCCCCCGAGGTCAGGGGTCAAAGAAGCTGTGGCGATGCTCGTCAGCTCTGGAGTTGCCATCAAGATGATCACGGGAGACTCCCAGGAGACTGCCGTGTCCATCGGTGAGATCAGGAGAAGTTCTAGGACAGAAGCCATTAGGTACTCGTCATTCTCTAACAACCTGCTCCTGATATTGACCTCTGACCCTCTCTGCAGCCAGTCGTCTGGGTCTGTTCTCTAAAGGCTCTCAGTGTTTGTCTGGAGACGAGGTGGACCGCCTGGACCTGCAGCAGCTGTCTGACATCGTCACCCGAGTGAGTCTTTATTATAAGAGGAGGCTCTCCTAACATGTCTGTGGTTGGATTGATGTTAAACATCATGAGTTGTCTCGTGTCTCCACAGATTGCTGTATTTTATCGAGCGAGTCCTCGCCACAAGCTGAAGATCGTCAAGGTGAGCATGAGGAAGAACAACACCTGCAAACACTCCTTTTATCTGGCTGCCAAACACCTTCCACACCATGAGCTTTAGGGTTCGATGGTTAAATGATTAAACAAGGTCATTTGGGGTTGAAGGATTAGATGATGAGGATATATGGAGCCGAGATACAGCAGGTCTGACTCCTGACTCTTCAGTCCCTCCAGAACATCGGCGCTGTGGTGGCCATGACGGGCGACGGGGTGAATGACGCCGTGGCCTTGAAGGCCGCTGACATTGGCGTGGCGATGGGCCAGACGGGCACTGATGTCTGCAAGGAGGCGGCCGACATGATACTGGTGGACGACGACTTCCAGACCATCATGTGAGTCGGTCCTGACTCCCAGCTGTTCGGGGGGGTGGACGTCACTCACTACGAGTCCTTTCTGGAAGGTTTTATCTCTCTTCAGAGACACGTGACTCCTTCACTAACTAATTGAACAGAATTAGGTCAGCAGGTCGTTACTTTGCTGAATCCGACTGGACTCGACTTGCTCTGTTTCCAGGTCCGCCATCGAGGAAGGAAAAGGAATCTACAACAACATCAAAAACTTTGTGCGCTTCCAACTGAGCACGTGAGTGACAAATTCATTCATCGAGTCGTGACCCAAATGTGAGCTATTAACTATAAAGGTGGCGACGGGAGCCCACCCCCTCTATTTGAATGAAGTTTTAAATAGAATTGTGCTGTGCAGGAGCATCGCGGCTCTGACACTCATCTCCTTGGCAACGCTGATGAACTTCCCCAACCCGCTGAATGCCATGCAGATCCTGTGGATCAACATCATCATGGACGGCCCCCCAGCTCAGAGGTACAGGTGGAGGGTTAAGGAGTCTATGCCCGTTAGCTGCTAGCCGCCAGCTAGCGTTACGTGGAGGCAACAGAAATGCTCAGAACGTTCCTATCCATTGTTTGATGATGTAATCTGTTCCTGGATAAAAGGTGAATATAAAATGAGAACGTGAGCTGCATCTATAGAAATGTGTTTCATGGTTTGAGTAAGTAAGGAGCCACACATTCCCTCCAGAGGACTCAGCTGCTTTGTGCTTGTCAGTCTGGGCGTAGAGCCGGTGGACCGTGATGTCATCAGGCAGCCCCCCCGTGATGTCAGAGACAGCATCATCACCCGCAGCCTGCTGGTCAAAGTGCTGGTGTCGGCATTCGTCATCGTGTGTGGGACATTGTTCGTCTTCTGGAGAGAGGTGCCTCATGAAATTAGGACTAGGGATGGATCGAGTGCTTCTCTAAGCGGATAAACGTTGTACTGATTGATTACTGCGCTTGTGGTTGGCTTTCAGCTGCAGGACAACGTGATCACTCCTCGAGACACCACCATGACCTTCACCTGCTTTGTCTTCTTCGACATGTTCAACGCCCTGAGCTCTCGATCGCAGGTAGCTGCTCTAATCCACTTCCTCACACTGGATTTGCTCCTGCAAAACTTTGGTTACACATGTAGGAAATTACACGGTGCTTGGTCCTGATCTCTGGTTCTGGTCCTCCTCAGACCCGCATGGTCCATGAACTGGGCCTGTGCAGTAACAGGACCTTCTGCTACGCGGTCCTGGCCTCCATCATGGGTCAGCTGCTGGTCATCTACTTCCCTCCTCTGCAGAAAGTCTTCCAGACAGAGAGCCTCAGCCTCTTTGGTGAGTTCCAGGAGAAGGTAGAGGTACTAGTACTGTAGTGTGTGTGTGTGTGTCCATATATAAAAGGTTCCTGGTGCTTCTCAGACCTGCTGTTCCTGGTGACTCTGACCTCCTCGGTGTGTCTGGTGTCTGAGGCCATAAAGACGGTGGAGAGGTGGAGAGCAGCAGAGAGGACTCTTCCCTCCGACTGCTTCCACGAGGTATGACCCCTCAGCCCCGCGCCCCCCACCATCAAAGCACTCTGAGGATGAGTTTTACGCTTCAATAAGACTGAGGTCTTCTGGAGAAACTCTGGGCTGTGACCGGAGGAGCCACCCAGCCTCACCTGGAGGATCTGACCTAGGATCTGCTGAGAGTAGATCCGGACTGTCTACAGAAACCACCTCACCTCCAAATCTGCTCCTCTTGTTCAGCACCAGCACTCTGAAGAAAAGCCTTCTTTTGTAATCTCCTGGTTAGAAGGTGTCGACCACTATTGTGCTCTGGGTTCCTCTGTAGAAGGTTTAGGGTGAGTGGAGATGGAACGGGACAAAGCGCTACTTCCTTTCTGCTGTAAACACGAAGCACTGAAATGTTCTTCCTGTGTTCACGTGAACATTGCTTTAACTTAGATGATATAAAACTCTAAGAAAACATTCTAGTTCATTAAGAAACAACTGGCTACAAACTGCTTATTTGTGTTTAATGCAGTTTGTCTTATTTTACAATTTTAAAAGTATGTTTAACACTGATATTATTACGGTTAATATTAAGCTGGGCTTCTTTTAAGATTAGACTGACGGCTTCTGTACATTGATTGATTGATACGTCATTTTGGAATTGATTTAGCTGTTTCACACATTTAAATTAAAGTTCTATATGTGGGTTTCTATGTCGCTACGTCCGGTTTCGGCGGCTTGTTTTCATTTCAGGGTTCACAATGATGTTTTGATTTATTGATTATCTTTTTATTGTCGCTCACTATGAGACGACATTGCCATTCCATCTGGGTTTACTAATCAATGATGCTAATGTTAGCTTTGTGAGCTAGTTCACCTCAATAGTACGAGTTCGCTCAGTTTGCTTTGGCAACTTTCGGTTGACATGTGATTATTGTTACTATTTAATTCTATAAGTGAAACAAAGAACTTGAGTAAATTATTTTATTTTCCTTTGGACCAAATGAACCTAACTACACGTGAGCTCCGTAGAAGGAATGTTCCGCTCTTTGTTTCTTGTTTGTTTCAATAAACCGATACTTTAGTGACCAAGTTCTCCCAACTTTATGAAGCTGAACCGGCCCTAAAAAATGGACCTGAAAAGCCTTAAATATAATCTGCTTCCACAGACCAGAAGGGGCTGGTGGATGGAGTTCCTGTCAGACCGGCCCCAAAAAATGATATTGGCTTGGAACCCTCCAAGGTAGTATTGTAGAAATGAACAGAAGATCCGATGGGGTGTGAACATCAGTAGTGTTGCATGCTGGGCATCGTTTCCCCGTAAATAACAAGATATATGGATGAATTCATTTTATTTTGTATAACCCAAAATCGCAAATTACAGTTTTGCCTCAGAGGGCTTTACAGTGAATGAAAGCCCTTCTGTGGGGAGAAGGTCAGAGGAGGATCCGTCTCCTGATGTAGAAGATGAACAATACATTCAGGTCATATGACAGAGATGATTCAAATAATTAAATGATCAACTTATTTAAATATGAAAATTATGGAATGTACGACGTACACGTTGGTAAAATAACAAGAAAAAAGCAAGAATGTCCCTTGCTGATGGTCCGCTGAGACCAGAGGAGGTCAGTGCTTGGACTTGTTGCGTCCCCCTTTAGCTCTGTACCTCACCGACACCATCTCGCAGAGCCGCAGGTCCTCCTGAACCCTAATGGAGGATCTGGCTTCAGTCGCCTCGTCCTCGTTCAGGAGGAATAGGCGCTGCAGGTCGGGGGTCAGTTCGTCCAGAGGACGGCGCTGCAGAGGAGACGTCTTTTCTTGAGCCTCTAAAATCTTGTGAGTCTTCTGGCTCTGTAAAGTGTCTAAGGTCCAGGTCTCTGAGTTCTTCTGCGTCTTCTGGTTCTCTGAAGTCTCCTGAGTGTGAAACTGATTGACGACGTTCTGACAGGTTTTATAGAGTTTCTCAATCAGAGGCTTGTTCTCCACAGACACTTTTCTTCCAGATTTCATTCTGCGAACCAGCTGGTGGACCAAAGTCCCCTCAAACAACCTGGATGACATGAGGAACATCAGAGTACACTGTTGGTGGTACTTATCCTGAAAGTACCACCTGCTATTATATTGGTATTAGTCCAATTACTAGTAAATGTGGTGTTAGTACACTGTGTGTGTGTGTGTGTGTGTGTCGGAGGCTCACCTAGCGATCTGGGGCTCAGGTAAGGGGAAGCCCAGCAGCTGGTTCAGCTGGATGCTGACCTCCAGGCAGCTCTGCCATTGGTTGAAGGAGTGAGACACGCCCACGTGCCGCCTCACACAGGTTGTGCTGCTCGTTCTTGCTGTTTTCATTCATACATGAATACGTTTGAGTGTTTGTGGTGCAGAAAATACATCATGTTTGCATTTATTAATAATAATTTGCTATCTACCTTCTCCGGGTCCCCCAGTACCCTCAGCACTGAGTCTCCCAGTGTTCCCAGCACTGAGTCCCAGCAGCAGGGCCCCTAGCAGCTCCTCTTCAGGAGGCGGCACGGCGCTCTGCAGCCAGTAGCAGGTGGCGGCCACTGGGAGGCGCAGAGGAGGGGGCAGGCGGCTCAGAGGCTCCTCGCTCACCTGCAGAGCCTCGAGCAGCACTTTCAGTCGCTTGGGGGGCTCCACCTGGGGGGTCACATGGGTTATTGATCTCTTATTAGGTTACTAATGCTATTATGATTATTATATAGTCATGTCATTGTATTTTTGTGTAGTTGGGTGTCGGTGTTGTATTATTATCGTGTAGCTCCTCTTTTTGGAACCAGCTTCCACTTTCAGTCCAGGGGACTCGGTCAGCTCTTTTAAGATGAAGCTTAAAACGTTCCTCTTTGCTACCACTTATAGTTAGGGCTGGCTCAGGTTAGCCTGGACCAGCCCTATAGTTAAGCTGCTATAGGAGGCTTCATGATGATCATCATCCAATGAGAACAATGATCTCAACCCTTTCAGAATAAGTAGATTATAAACAGTAATTGATATGAATGAATAGGATACATGTACTGTATCAGCTTATGTATCATATGTATGTGTGATGACCATATGGAACTTTGAATCTGTGTGTGTATACAAAAGGTAGATAAATGATTTATTGTCTTCAGCATTGATGCCGCTTGTACTGTCATTTGGATCCATCACTTTGCCTGGAGTGATGTCACAACGGAACTTTGATCTCTCTATAAAACGTAAATCTAACTGATATCGCTCCTTCATCAATGATGAAGGGAGCTGCCCTTTTTCTGTTGGAGTGGTGAATTAATAAACCTGTGCTGGAGCATGATAATCAAAAGTTCTTTTCATGGGCTTAGTTGGGGGTTCGCTGTCTTGTCTTGATTTAAGAGTTAGGTAAGGAGCAGGCAGACACGAGTCTGACAGGATGGGGAGTCAGTTTATGTCCTGGCTGAGGAATGTAAGGTCTGCGGGTCAACTAGCAGATTTACCAGCCATAGGGGGGTTAGAGACACACCAACACGGACATTGGATGTGACCGGATCTTTAGATGTGGGGGGTGGAAGGTCCTCCTCTACGCCAGTTTAGGGCCAATAGAAATCTTTCCTTCTCTGTCTTTAAAGGGTTATAAAACATGATGTTCTTGCTGATGTTAGTTGTTCTTCCGGCCTGTGTGCTGCCTGAACTGCTCCTGCCTTTGCAAACGCAGCGCTGATACTTGACCTGTGATCTGACAAATAAATTTCACAGAACGAGAGAAGTCGTTCGGCTGAATTTTTGATAACCCCGACCAGGCTCCAAATCTTGAACACGTGTTCTTACAAGCAGGTTCAAGTTTTTCAATGTGTTGCTATGATGATTTTGCCAAACTCGCTTCGGGGAACCGAAGAGCCTGATCTACGTCATCTTATCCTGGAAATGATCCGGCTAACTCAGTTAGCCACGTACGAGGAACGGGGCCCTGACCTACTACTTTTTTGAATGATTTCTGTTAAAGGAATTGAATGTATTGTGCATCTTTTACATTGTTCATTCTGTACACATGACATCATTGTAGTCTGTCAAGGGGGCACATTACCCGCAAAAAGCATAGTGCCTTCTAACTAGAACCGGTGTGGATGGGAAGCAGACAGCTCTTATGCTGTGTGGTGCCTGTAAATAAAGTATTTAAATTGACATCGGTAATTGTACGAGGAGCACGGATTGAAGACACAGCGCACTGGACAGTGAATTTTGCTTATGGCAGAACACGCGTCCGAACATGTTCCTTCGCCGTGGTGGCTTTAACGCATACATTGTAAATGTGTGTCGGTATTGTTGTATTATTGTGTAGTTGCGTATCGGTGTATCATCGTGTACTAGTATTAGTGTGTCCTACCTGATGCAGTGAGGGGAGGACCAGCCCCCTGGAGCTCTTGGTGAAGGCCGTTCCGACCTGGATTAACTTCAGCTGGAGTCCCTCTCGGTCCCTCTCCTGCACCTCCTTCCCGTTGCCTAGCAACAGCCCGTACATCACCTGGCGGAGCGGCCTGGAGGCCAGGTGAGCGCTGGGCGAGTCACCACGGTCCACCGGGATGCGGAGGGACTTCCTCTTCAGCAGCAACACATCCAGGACCTCCGAGGACAGCCGGCCCTGGCTCAAAGGGAGCCGGGTCCATTGAGGGACGAGACCCCAGTCCTTCAGGAGAGAACTCCCGTTTATCATCAATAATCAATACAGGTTAAACAAATTCAGTCAATCGTCAACAGTGTGAGGGGGGGGAGGTGACTCACCTGTTCCTCCGGGGGAGGAGGAGGCGTCTCGTCGATGAAGAACTTGCTGAGGGAGCTGGAGGGGATCTGATACTCCTCCATCCCCAGGTGCAGGCCCCTCAGAAGCTCCGCCCTCCTGTCAACGCTCAGATCTTCCATCAGCCCCAGCGCCGCTTCCAAGGCCTCCGAAGGCCACTGGAAGTCCCTCAGCCAGCGGAGCAGCCATTCCAGGTGGCTCGTCCGCCCCGTGCCCTGCGGGCCGAACCGGGCCAGCTCAGTGCCCTCCAGCTTTACGTAGTCGTTCCCGGCCAAAGCAGCAAAGGCAGGCAGCATCTGCTTCTGGACGCCAAATAAGATGCTGAAGCTGGAGGTGTTGTAGCTCCTGCAGCGGATGAAGCTCTGGGAGCCGCTCCGCTGCACGTCCTCCCAGCAGAAGTAGGAGAGGGGCAGAATGCCTGCCGGCAGGTCGAAGACGTAGAAGTCGCTGTCCCCGGAGAGCACCGGGCAGCGCCACTCCTTCGCCAGGGCGGCGACCTCCCGGTCGGCCTCTCCGTAGCACTGAGCAAACCGGACCTCCAGCCGGGCCAGCGTCTGGAGGAGCACCACCTTGGCCAGCGCTGGCAGAATGTCCTCCCGCCCTCCCCTCACTGCCGCTCGGTTGGCCCTCTTGATCCGTTCCCCTGCTCTGCGAGTGACCTCCTGCAGCTTCTTGTCGGTGGGGTCAGAGCCCCCGTCCAGCACCACGTACGGAGAGATGCTGCAGTCTCTGAGGGCACGGATAAACTTCTCAATCAGGACCTCGAAGCTAGCGTACTCCCCTCCGTGGTTCTGGTCCAACCCTGAATAACCGACCACAGGACACACAGCACACAACCCACAGTTTGTCAGTACCACTTCAGTCCACAGTGAGCACATCAAAGCTCCTCTAGTTCCTTAACTGGGTTACGCTGCTTTTTAGACTGACTCGTTTCAATTCACGCAAGAAGGGGTAGAAAGACACGTCCGTGTCCATGTGTTACTCTGAAAACATATAAACTAGACTTTAGAGTCACTGGGTGGGCACTGTTTACCCTGCCGGAATTCAAACATAAAAATGTTTATTAAATAATTGTACTGTTTATTCTTGGGATTTATATATGCTATATGTGTGTTATTCCAATATTTTAGACGTTACGATGACAAATGTAGCAATTGTGCATAATCAAATACAAAAGAAACAAGTGGAAAAAAAGCATGTTGCGCATGCGCTCTTTGATCCTCTTCAACGTGTGCGGTAAAAAGCGCAACTTTTGTGCCTTTGCACGTACACGTGTTACGCCAGTAATCATCTACGTTACGTGTCAAACATGGACCAATTAAAACCGAGATGTTACTGGACATTTGCGCGGCTGACGTCACCACGCCAGCTACCTTGTTGCGTACGTTCAAAATGAGGGCGTGTCCCCTGATATCACGGATCACAGCGCTGTGATTGACGGCGGGTGGATTAAATGTTCGTGTCCTTAATGGTGAAGAGACGGTTGAAGGAAGACAGACTATGAGCCGTCTGCTGTCTTCATTGCTGCTGACTGACTTTGCTGTGTAATAATTCATCAATATGGTCCGAGAGGCCGGACTTTGTCATCAATGTTATAATCGGTTGTGAAAGCAAATGTTAGACCGCAAACGGACGCTGTTTCAACTCTTTCAGAATAAGATAAAAAGTAGATACAAACAAGCCCAAAGAGTCTACTTGATAGTTATGAGGACGTATGTACTGTATCAGCTTATGTATCATATGTATGTGTATATATATATATAATATATGTGTGTATATATATATATATATATATATATATATATATATATATATATATATATGCATGTGTAGATGACCATATCTATGTAAATCTGTGTATTGGTGAATTAAACAACAAATGACTTTGTCATCAGTAACACTCATAAATCATAAATCCTGCCTCGAGTATGTGCGTGTGTGTGATGTGTCATCCGATATGACATGTCTTGATATCGACCATGCGTGTGCGTGTGCGCGCGCCGCGCTTGGACGTGTTAGCCTAAACAACAGGAATCAGGAATCAGGAAACATTTATTAGCCAAAATATGTCAAACATACAAGGAATTTGTCTTGGCGGTTAGTGCGCGACAGTAGACAGACAAGACAACAGTGCACAAGTAATAAAATAAAGTGGAATGAAATGCTAATGCAATGGGTTAGTAGAATAAGGCTATGGGTTAGTATTAACAAATGAGGTAATGGGTTCGATAACTCGATGCATAGCCTCTCACTGACGTCACCGCACGTCACTGGTTAGATGAGTCACGTGGTTCATCCTGTGACCGTGTTATTGTACTAAGTGTAATTTAATGGGTTTTATAGTAAGACAATAAACATCTTTGATTTGTTACTTATGACCGAAAGAACTAGGTCACGGGTACAAGCGGCCGAAATGGGTTTCCTCAGGAGAGTGGCTGGCGTCTCCCTTAGGGATAGGGTGAGAAGCTCAGCCATTCGCGAGGAGCTCGGAGTAGAGCCGCTGCTCCTTTGCGTCGAAAGGAGCCAGTTGAGGTGGTTTGGGCATCTGGTGAGGATGCCCCCTGGCGCCTCCCTAGGGAGGTGTTTCAGGCACGGCCAGCTGGGAAGAGGCCCCGGGGAAGACCCAGGACTAGGTGGAGAGATTATATCTCTGCACTGGCCTGGGAACGCCTTGGGATCCCCCAGTCAGAGCTGGTGGATGTGGGAAAGGGAAGTTTGGGGTCCCCTGCTGGAGCTGTTGCCCCCGCGACCCGACCCCGGATAAGCGGTTGAAGATGGATGGATGGATGGATTTGTTACTTATTGAGGTTAAATTGATCTGCTTAACACAAAGTCTAATTCAATGTATGAATATGATCTTAATTAATCTTGTCCCAGTTACTTCATCTTCTTTAGTCACTCTTTAAATCGTCTTTTAAACAGAAAAAAATAAGATTATATATAATATATATAATGATGATTCTGTGATAAAACGCAATTAACAAAAGAAGTATAAGCGCTGGTCGCTCCTACCCGAGTCGAAGTACAACGCGTAGAGGAGGTTGCAACCATCAATCACCAGCCGGCTCCCCCTGCACCGGACGTCCCGGTAGACCTTCTGGTTTTTCTCCATCAAAGTGGTCAGGCCATGAACCCCCATCGCGGATCAGCACCTGCTCAGGTCCTGGATCTGGTCCCAGAGGTGATCCGCAGCGGAGGCTCTTATAGTGCTTCTGTTTCCCTAAGTTTCACTTTCCGGACGTCACACCCTAAACCGGCTCGTTCAGTTTAAATGTATAATTCTGTGCACATCTTTATGGTTGATGATATCTGTTGTGCTGATGTGAGCGTGTCTGGACAGAGGACGTCGTGTGTGTACAGACTGTAAAGACACAGGAGGCAAATTTGTAATTTGCGATTTTGGACCATACAAAATAAAATAAATTGAATTGAATTTGTATGCACATTAACATATGATATATCAAATATACCTTAACATGTTATTATATTAAATATATATAAATATATGTGTATATTACATCACATGTCATTTATCTGACGCTTTTATCCAAAGCGACTTACAATAAGAACATTTCAACCATAAGGAAACAAACTCAGAAGAACAAGAAACAAGAAAGTGCAATTTCATCAAATAAGCCGATGTACAACTTGCTGTTGATAAGAACCATTATAAGTCCAATGTAAGTGCTGCAGTTAGTTAGTGTGTTAGTGGAGGTAGAGTCTGAAGAGGTGTGTCTTTAGTCTGAAGATGTGAAGGCTCTCTGTGGTCCTGATGTCTTCAGAGACCTCCTTCCACCGTTTAGGAGCAGGACAGCAAAGAGTGGAGATCTAGTGGAGTGTTTTGCTCTCAGTGAGGAGGAACAAGCAGTTTATCACATGCAGAGCGGAGAGTGCGGGTCGGGATGTCGGGTTGGACCAGGTCCTGGATGGAAGCTGGACCCCATCCATTCACAGCATGGTACGTGAGCACCATGTTTAGAACTGGAAGAGCCACCGGTACCAGTGGAGAGAGCGGAGTGAGGGAGAAATATTACATGTATAGGAATATATACTGTATATTAAATATATACAAATGTATTATCACAGTAAAAAGTACATTATTTACCTTGTGAGATATAAAGGAGTACATGTTTATACATAAACTTAAAGTACAAGTACATCTAACATATTCTGAGATGTAGAGTACAAATTTATATGTCAAAGAAAAGTACCTCCAACATGTACCTGTGTACAGTAAATATTATGAACTGAATCAGCAACAACAGAAACTGAAGAGCATTTATTGACAGAGAAGAAGAGAAACAAAAGTGAAACCAAAAGAGCGAATGTGGAACTACAGCTGATCCCAGACCAGCAGATCCCAGACACGACAGAGTGTGTGATGACGTATTGAGCATAAGATGCTGATCATAGTGCACATGACAGGGAAATGTACTTATACCCTTGTGAATAGTAGTAGAATATTACTTCAATGGATGTCTTTGTTTCTTGCTCTGCTATCTCACTATGCTGACCTTGGAAAGTGAAACTTGTGTTTGTGTATCATTTCTCATGCAGACTGCCTGCACTCTGAACCACCATTGAACCGTCTCTGCAGTTGTGTGTTGGGGGTTGATCCCATGCACACAGTCTCTCGTCAATTTAGTCACCTACATTCTGGACCGGCACCGTGTTTATTGTCTTCTTTAAATTGTCCATCTGTCAAACATTGGTTGTCTATGGTCACACCTGTCTTCCTGCTCAAGTTCCTTTGTGCAGGGTGTCTTCTGATTGGACAACACAAACCTCTGTGACGTGTATTAAAGCTTCTCTAACACCGAGAAGCTGTGTCAGATCTTCCTGCTCCGGTGAGGGAGAAGGAACCATCCGTCCCTTTCCAGCTGAATTGAGTCATTGGACTCATCGGACTTCTGTCTGTAGGACTACAACTTATTTTTCCATATTCTTATAATTTTTCTCTATTCTTGTTAGTAATAAATACACATATAATCACATACAAGATACTTTTGATTTCTCACAAGGGCTTTACCACAAATTTCCACTACAAACTTGGCGATGAGGATGGGATGGACACGTGATCTGAATGCCGTATATTCAGTGGCGGGTGGTGGATGTCTTGGTGGGGCCAGCCCATCAGTTCCAGTAAACATCCCAGTATGATTCAATGCAAAAAAGGGTATCAAACACGCAGTTAAATATTTAACATTTATTACAGTTTAACACACACACACACACACACACACATATATATATAATATAATATTGAGATGCACCTGAACCTAGCGTGTTGGGGAAACACCTGAGGAACGAGCAACTGAAAACCCCCACAAAACTCAGCACCAGTGATCTGAACTGGAAGAGCCACCGGTACCAGTGAAGAGAGCGGAGGAGTGGAGGAGTGAGGGAGAACTTAGGAAGGTTAAAGACCAGTGGAGCTGCTGCATTGTGGATGAGCTGCAGAGGCTGAATGGTGGTAGCAGGAGACCTGCAGGAGAGAGTTGCAGTAGTCCAGGAGGGAGACGACAAGAGCCTGAATCAGAACCTTCTGAGTGAGAAGACCCGTCAGGTTCTGTGTAGGAGAATCTTTTCCTGGAAAGGGAAGTAGTTCAGTCTTGTCCATCTTGCTACAGTCAGCTCGCTCACCCATAACATTGTGTTGGTAGTGATGTAGTGATGTAATTTTTTTTCAACGGTTTGGTTTGTTATAAACGTCAGAGATGTATTTATGACACTGCATACTTATGAATCATTATAATTATCACCATGGGTTTTCACACAAAAATGATATTAAACAGAACGTTATTCATATGTATATGTATGCATGTATTCATATGTATGCAGTGTCATACTGACGTTTCGAACAAACCAAACCAAAGTTATTATTATTTAAAGTACAATGTTATGGGCGAGCGAGCGCTCCCTACCAAGATGGCCGTTTTACACTCCGCCTTCATATATGTATCTGTGGTCAATGAACGCATCCGAGTGCGATGTCACGTGATTAACGCATCCTTCTCCGTGCTGGTTGAGACCGGCAGAAAGCAGCCGGAGCTTCTGCAGAGACATTCCGCGGGCCATGTCCGCTCAGCGCCTCCTGAGGACCCGCTGCTTCCCGCGGCTGCCCGCCGCCATGCTCCGACGCTACAGCCTGGACGCCTCCAACCCGCTGCTCCGCACGCAGGGCTACGTCAACGGCCGCTGGCTCTCCGCTGCCTCGGACTTCCCGGTGGTGGACCCGGCTACCGGGGACGAGATTGCCCGGGTGTCCAACTGCGGCCCGGCGGAGGCCAAACAGGCCGTGGACGCGGCGTACGAGGCGTTTCATTCCTGGAAGCGGAACAGTGCCAAGGTGCGTCCCTACTGGTTTGAATCTACTGGTTTGAATCTACTGGTTTGAATCTACTGGTTTGAATCTACTGGTTTGCCTACGCGTGCATGCATGTTCGTGTTGTGCAGGTGTTTTCTGCCTCTGTCACCTGATTCGTCACACATTCGCAAACATATTGCTGAGAATGTTCAAAATGCAGCACGTGACGTGTATGGAATGCCGTTTTAGTCAAAATTAAATAAATAAATAAATACATATATACATGAAATATGCATTTGAAATACATCATGCAATAAATACATCATGCAAATAAATAAATGAGACCATAAATAATTTCATTTCATGGTGATTTTATTTCATAATGCCACTTTTTCATTTCCAAGAGTCTTTTTATTTCATATGACGTTTTACGTTTTGACGTTCTTATATACAAATCAGGGGGCGTGGCTACATCTAACGTTCAGAACAGACCACAGAGCCGTGTGCAAAAAGAAAGGCTGAGGGACGTGAGTGTTGACATGATGGACACCGGTGGGCTCCGAGGTAGCATGCTAGCATTAGCACATCAAATCGATCTACATGGGCTTTCTGCAGATACGGTTCTGACACATATTGAGGTTTTTTTGGGAAATACTAGGGCGGATAAGTGCTCTTCAAGATGTACACATAGACGACGAAGTTTAAAATAGTTTAAGACTGATTGAGCACCGCGTGCGTGTGGAAGAAGTCCAAGTTGAAGAAGTGAACATTAGCGCTGCTACTACAAGCACAGGTTCAAGTTCAAGTTCTTTATACAGCACATTTAAAAACCTCCTCGGTGGAGCAAAGGTGCTGGACGCCCCTCTGGACAAGCTGGCTCACTTTGTTGTCCGGTCATCAACCGAGAAATGTGTTCGGTGTGCAGTTCCAGAGTCAGAGGAGATGGGTGAGGTAAGTTAACCTACTTATTGAGCTAAAGAGCAGGCTACGGTGGGCAAAAACCTCTATAATACTGGCGCTTTTTGCCCCCCTTTACGGGCTGTGGATCCTGGACTAAATACTTTCCCATATATTCTAAAACCTTTAAACATCCCTAAATATTTGCACATACTGCCCACCATAAATAATTAAATGCAGGAGGCTGCGTCGCTTTGGACGCAAGGAGGTGTGAAAAGACACGCGAGGGACACGCGAGGGGCTCTTGCGTGTCTGAGAACGCAGAAGCATAAACCAGGCTTAGAAATCACTACATTACTGCCACTTATGAAGAAATACATTGAAGAAAATGTATTTATTAAAAGGTCGCCACGACCAGGATTTGCAAAATAACGTCTGCCACTCGACCGTACAAGTTTCCCTCCTGTGCGGGTCGGGGGGTCGGCAGGTCGGGAGGTCGGCAGGTCGGGAGGTCGGCAGGTCGGCAGGTCGGGTTTGATTGGTGATTGGTCTCCCTGCAGGAGCGGAGCGTCGTGTTGAGGAAGTGGTTCGACCTGATGATGCTGTACAAAGAAGAGCTGGCTCAGATCATCACCTACGAATGTGTGAGTCAGAAGGGGAACATGAATACCCCCACCGGGACAAGGGACCCGAGCTGGTGTCCTTAAGCTGCCTGTCTGTCTCTGTGTCTGTCTCTCAGGGTAAACCCATGTCTGAGTCTCTGGGGGAGGTGGCGTACTCCGCCTCCTTCCTCGAGTGGTTTTCAGAGGAGGCTCGACGAGTCTACGGAGATTTTGTCCCATCGCCCGCCAAAGACCGAAAAATCCTCCTCCTGAAACAGCCTGTGGGCGTGGCCTCCATCATCACACCGGTGAGCAGCCAATCAAAAGCAGGTCCCACCAGAGTACTGCAAAATAGCCCGCCCTCAAAGCTTTTAACTGTGAAGTATAATTTATGAAGATGGCAAAACCCGTTTGTAGGGCGGCTTCCTTCCCACACAGCTACACTTTTTATAAAAGTAGTATGGAAACTAATGGATTTGTGAAGCATGGAGTGTATCCCCTCCGAGA